TGTGTGTAAAGTCCGAAGTCTACGTATCGTTTGAAAACAACAGCACGTGGTCATACCGAAATAGTTTGTGTCACACATCGAGTTATAAACGGCTGATGTGCATAAACAATCAATAATGTTGTTATTAAAAGATACAAGTATGTATGGTGAGATCTTAGTCGGATAACGCATGATTGCGGTCTGGGGATTTCAGGATCAAATTCCAGTTTAAAACTCGAAATTTTTAAATTCAAAACATACAGCTGTCATCCAATAAACTTTTTAATAATTTTTTTTTATACAACTTAGAATGGCAAACAAGCTGCCGCCTTGATGCAAAGCGGAAACCGTCGCCCATAGACATGAGCAGTACCATGGACATAACAGAGTATACTGTTTCGCCCATGATACCCCCCATGCGTTGCCATCCCTGAGGACTCAGGTGTTATTCCTCTGTACCCTGTAAATTCAAGCCATATCCCACCCTTCAAACCGAAACACAGCTATGCAAACACAACTGCTTCACGGTAGAAACACGAATGGGACAGAGGTACCCAAGCAAACGACTTTTGTACAAAGTCTCCCTCTGGTATAGTATAAGAATGTTTTCTGCCTACCTTAATGGGAGACAGGCGTGACAGATATGTATGTATGTTTTCTATATATATATATATATATATATATATATATATATATATATATATATATATATATATATATATATATATATATATATATATATATATATATATATAATATATATAATTTGCTTTTCATCATCATATCAGCCGTTAAAGAATGTTCCTGAACCATCTGCATAGACTGACTCACTACAATGCATTTGAGGTCGTCAGTTGTCGGTTCTTCGAGCTATGTGATCACCCCATTGCCAAACGGCAATTGCTTATTCTGCGAGCTATGTTGGTCAGTTTGGTTCGTCTACCGATATCCTCATTTTGAACTTTATCATGTAAAGAAACTCCGAGCATAGCCCTATGGCGCTCTCTTTTTTGCGTTCTCCATACTTTTCTAAACAACTTGAAGCTTCTGCATACGCGAGTGTATTTGCCAATAAATGACATTGATGCCTTAGGGAAAGGTTGTTCTTTTATTGGGATGAAAATGGAATGGTAGCTGTATATATGTTTTTTTATTTTTTTTAATGGATGATTAATTGAATGGTAACCCCGCCTGCGCTATCGGTATAAACCGGTGGGGCACCAGTGAGGGGTGATAGGTGAATAATGAAAAAAGGCAGGTCAGTCAGCCCATCGTGATGAATACACATGGAACTCAGCACGATAGTTTCCAGGGGGAACCGCGTGGAGGCCGACCTGACAGGGTATATTGCTAGCAATGGGATTGGTAGCCCGCATTACTAACGATCCTTTCCCCCTAACCCGTGTATATGTTATCGGTATACGTTGGAAGAGTACCAGTGAGTAAAGATAGATGAAGATGAAGTCAGGTCATATAGCCTGTCATGATGTATTCATCAAGAATTCTCTACAACCTACTTCAAGGGAGCACGCGTGGAGGTCAACATAATAGGGGATTTTTTTTTTATTGGATGAAAATGGAATGGTAACCCCGCCTGCATTAACAGGATACGCTGACGGAGCACCAGTGAAGGGTGATAGATGAGAATGAAAACAGGCCAGTTAGCCCATCATGATGAATTCATCAGGAATTAACCATGATAGTTTCCAGAGGGAACCACGAGGAGATCGACCTAGTTGGGTATATTGCTAGCAATGGGATTCTCAGTGTCCATAACATTAACAATCCCTTTCCCCCCCCATGATAGGGGATATTGCTAGCATTGAGTTCACTGGTCATATTACAAATAATTGTCCCTCCGAGAGAAGTATTTATATTTTCCCTTAGTGAAGGCTGTATTCACGTAACATGAAACTAACATGAGCTAACAGTAAGCAGGGCTAAATTAGATTTAGTGACGAAACCGGCGCGTATCCAATTAATCGAGCGGGCGCCGGCGCCGGGGGGGCGGCTGCGACCCCCCTACTTGTTTGCGATAGTCACCGCATATGTTATGACTTAACACTACATGAGGGCAGCTTTAATGGCAAGATTGTGGAAAAATCTAGAACTATAGAGTTAAATGATCGTTTGTATTTAGAAATTCATATGAAGAGTAGTGGTAATGAACTGTCAGAATTTAAAATCTTCGTGTACAGTGTTAGAGGCCTGGAATAATTAAAACTTATGACATAGATAGATAGATACTCTTTATTGTTTCCTCAAAAAAGATTACAATAGTAAACTTATTATAAATATAAACAATTACAAGAAATAATCACAAGGAGAAAACAATGGGCGACCTTATCGCTAAAAGCGATCTCCTCCAGACAACCTTTGGATGGAGAGGAGTAATTAAATAAACAATTTGGTGGGAAGCACGATGAAAAATTTTGTTAGTTCTAAATATGGAAATGTGATACATATAAATATATAGGTTTACTAATCCCATTTCGGACAATCACTTTCCTCCAGATAAAGCAGTTATCTCGCTCCATGTTCGAGAACGGTGTACGTACAACGTGCACTTGAATATATTGACCATTATGAGCACAAGTGCTCTCAATATCGATTCAATTTATCGATCGACACAATCGATCCGTGAAGCAATGAAAACGTATCAGGTCATTAGTTCTGATAGCGTGAAATAGATCTTTTTCATTGCCCTGTCACTAATATTTATAGCGTCATAAATAGGGAAGCTGCAGAGCAATTGTAATAAAAATAAATACATTGTATTTTAATATTTTTGCATCGTGTTCAATCGATAGGATGTTTGCAATATATTCTATTGTTGTCTTATTATTGATATATATATATATATATTGCATTTAAAAATAACAGAAATTCCATCGTCCCTTTCTTTTTATACTACTTAAAATGGCAAACAAGCTGACGGCCCACCTGATGGAAAGTGGTAACCGTCGCCTGTAGACATGAGCAGTACCATGGACATAACAGAGTATACTGTTTCGTCCATGATACCCCCCATGCGTTGCCATTCCTGAGGACTCGGGTGTTATTCATCTGTACCCAGTAAATTCACGCCATATCCCACCCTTCAAACCGAAACACAGCCATGCAAACACAACTGCTTCACGGTAGAAACACAAATGGGGCAGAGGTACCCAAGCAAACGACTTTTGTACAAAGTCTACTGCCGATCAAACTGTTTATAATTACTACCTCCATTCAAAGGTTGCCTGGAAGAGATCACTGTTAGCGATAAGGCTGCCCATTGGTTTGTCAGTGTGATAAATTCTTGATGTTTGTATATGTATATATATATATATATATATATATATATATATATATATATATATATATATATATATATATATATATATATATATATATATATATATAAGTTTACTATTGTTATCTTTTGGAGGAAACAATGAATAATATCTAGCTATCTATCCCAATACCTAAGCCAGGAGGGAGAAGGGATTGTTAATAACGTAACGCTTGTCCTCATTGCTATCAATATACCCATCAAGTCGACCTCCACGCAGTTCCCCCTGGAAACCAACGTGACTAATTTATCGTTGAATTCGTCACGATGGCCTAACTGATTTGGCTTTTTATCCTCACCTATCACCTATTTTATCCCTCACTGGTGCCCCGCCAGTGTATACCGATACTGCAGGCGGGGTAATGGTAAAAATATCTAAGTCAGAATAGATTAGAAATAAACTTTATTCAAATAGGTTTGTTTACAAGTTTCAAAACATGAATCCAAATTTTTTTTTTATTATTCGATTACCGAGTTCTGAATGTTGTTATCTGCTGAAGAGAAAAAACCGCAAGAATCTCAATAGTTCTATTTTTAAATTATTTATGTGTTGTACAAGACAATTTTACATTTGTATGAGTACTGTATTTATAATTTGACATTGAGATTTATTTATATTATATTATTAAATGTGAAATAATCAAGTAAGTATGATTAGCACGTTCACGAGTATGACGGATGAGACAGTTATCGTTGCGCTCAATCATATTTTAAAGAGGTCGTTATCGGTCGGGTTCTTATAGTGAGCGTCACTTGTTTCAAGTTACCTGTTTACAAATTAATTTTTTTGTGGCTGTGTATGATTCTAATAAAAATGATTTATTATCGAAACTGGCATGTTATAAAATACGTATTTTATATACATAACATTCAGTTCTTTTCACGTGGATTGAAATCCCACCCGACCCAGAATGTTTTCAAGAAGGGATATGAAGTGAAATTACAGGAGACGGGGCTGTAACGTTTTATTTCTTAGAGGTTTTTCAATGGACGATAATGGATTGGTAACACCGCTTATACTATCTATACATACTAACGGGAGACTAGTGAAGGATAATAGATAAAGATAGAAGCAAGTCCGTTGGTCCATCGTGACGAATTCAACAAGAATTAACCAAGATAGTTTCCAGAGGGAGCCACGTGGAGGTCGACCTGATAGTGTATATAGTGCTAGTAATGGGATTGTGGGGGGGAAAGGGTTTATTAGTAATGAGGTTAAAAAGCCTCATTGCAAGCAATATACCCTCTCAGGTTGACCTCCACACGGTTCCCCCTGGAAAGCATCATGATTAATTCTTATCGAATTCATTATGGTGGACCAACTGACCTGCATTCATTCTCACCTATCACCCTTCACTGGTGCTTCGAGGATAGGTGAGAATGAACAGATCTGATAGCTCATCATGACGAAATCAACAAGAATTGTTCACGATGGTTTCCAGAGGAAGCCACGTGGAGGTCGACCTGATGGGGTGTATTGCTAGCAATGGGTTCATTAGACCCCATTATTAACAATCCCTTTCCCCCCACACTAGGGGTGTCACGTGCACTTTGCTGACCATGAATAAACTTTAATATACTCTTCTTGAAAAACCCCGTACCGTACCCCGTTATAGTCTCTTGGGAAAACCTTGGGAATAAATAAATAATGTGTCTAGGGAAATAAAATATGTTCTTATTGTTTCAGGTTACGGCACGTTCCAATGGCTGCTGTTGATGTCATGCGGCGCGGTGTACGCGGTGTGCGCGCTCAGCACCACCACCCTCAGCTTCGTGCTGCCCGCCGCCGAGAATGACTTCCACCTGTCCTCCAGTGACAAGGGCAGGCTCACCGCCACACCACTCATAGGTAAGATTCGCGACATTCCTCGGGTGACATAATTTTTTTCTTCTTTTCTTTTCATTTAAGAGTTTCCTCTTGTCGGTGCAACTAATTCGTGCATCTTCTTTCAGCCAGTTCTATTCCAGGCCATATCCTTGACCTCCCTATACGACATGACACTTAGTGTTTTTTTTTTTATGAGATGTAAATAAATTGGTAACCCCGTATGCGTTTCTAGTATAAGCTTAAGGGGTACCAGTAAGGGATGATGGGTAAGAATGAAGACAAGTCAGTTGACCAGAAATTAAACTTGACAGTTTCTGGGAGAAACTGCTTGGAGATCAATTTAAAAGAGTATATATTAGTAGCAACGGGGAAATTAGACTCTATTGCTGGCAATACCTTTACTCTTGTTTAGATTAATATTTTTTTTTTATTTATGATAATCGAATGTAAATCGCATGCAGAGTACAAGTCAGCAATATACCATAAAGATGAATAAATCATTGATAAAGTTAGGTCAATTAGGCCATCGTGATGAATTCACAAAAAACAAATAACTACAGTGGTTTCCAAGAAGATAGAAGAGTGATAAAATATATTAATAGAAATGGGTCCGTTAAATCATTATTAATAATCTTTTCCCCATAAATATGAAAGTCAGTATGTTTGTTTGTTGTTTGATTCAACCAATCGTCATAAAATTTGGTCTACAAGTAGCACTTGGGATAACTACTCTTTATCTCAGTTAATGAACATGTTCTGGTTACGAGAGAAAAGTTACAGGTGCTAGTCTAAACTAATTTTATGAAGAAATTATTTGTAATTGATAAACTCAAAAAATGTCATACATAACCGATTTTAAAAATTCTTTCATCTATAGAATGATACATCTCATCCGCTCTACTCGCTGACATTGATGCTCCTTTCCACTTTGGGTGTTGCTGGAAGAGAACTCTTTTAACTCTAAGCTCGCCTTTGTATATTTGATTACCTCTGTCATATATTTATATATAATTAGCGTGTACCATAAAGTATTAAATAAATAAAATAAATACATTATCAGTAACACTTCTTGTATTTTATTTAAAAAAAAATCGTGTCAAGACTGAGTGGGTCGCTAGATATCTATAAAATGTTGCAGGCATGTGCGTGGGCTCGTACTTCTGGGGCAACTTGGCAGACGCCCGTGGCCGCAAGAAGGCCATCATCGGAGCCCTGCTGCTGGACGCCCTGGCAGCCTTCCTCTCCAGTGTCGTGCAGTCATTTCCCGCCTTTTTGGCTTGCAGGTATCTTTATAGTTTTATCAAATATCATTATTTTAATATTACATTTAAAATGTATGCATTTAGTCTATGCATTTCAGAATATTTATGATCTAATTTTGAAATAATTTTTAGTTGACATAATAGAATGCGTTTCGTATGATGAATATTATAAACTGTAGGTACAAAGCATTACAAGATATTAAGCCGTATATTTTTACAAAAAAGTAGTATAATAGTTTTCCTATAGCACTATATATATATATATATATATATATATATATATATATATATATATATATATATATATATATATATATATATATATATATATATATATATATATATATATATATATATATATATATATATATATATATAATACTATATATTCACTCGATTAGTACTTAATTAAGTGCTTTACCAATTTGTCACAGTAAATTTTTTGACAATAGCAAAAACATTTTAGCCCAATTAAATTAAGATTGCAATAAGATACAAAAATATCTGTACGCTATGTTGTTGTTATATACCCAATTTAAATATATATATTTTTTAATTGTATATAATAAATATAAACCCAACAACAACATCAACAACTCAACAACACCTAACAACACTTTCGATCATTAAAATCGATTCAGAAATAGTGAAGATATTACGTAATTAAAAATGTTTTCCTTTTTGAAGTCCATTGAATAAATAAAACATATTTTTTTGTATTGTTTTAAAATAGCAACAAAATCAAAATTTTCGTCTAATTTTGCTTAATGTCTTTGTATCTTAGATGCATACAAAGCGCCGTAGGACTTATAAAATACTTTATAAAATTGGCTAAAACTATATATAACTATAACCATATCCCCCAAGATATATGGTTAGATCTATCTATATAGGTAGATCGCTTTATCTGTTAGGCAGTGTAGGCGACTGCCTAGAGGTCCTGCACCTCGACTAAAAGTGTTTATTCCAGAACGTGCCCTTACATAAAAATTACATTTGAAGATTTGTATTTAACAAACCTTAAATGACAATATTCATTTTTTGTATATTTCATAACGTTTTTTAAAATATACGTAAGAAAATAGGCTTTTTTTTGGGAAAGAAACGTCCATTGCCAAAGGAACGTTACATGTTTACACCAGTTTTGGGTCTAAAAATATAATATGGGCCGTATAACTTACAGTACTAACTTAGTTCATGATCAGATCGCGCCCCACATTTTCCAATGCTGACGTAACTATTCGTTGTAGACTTGCCACTTTTGCAGGTTCTTCTCTGGCTTCGGCATTATCGGAGCCACGGGGCTCATCTTCCCGTATTTTGGGGATTTCCTCTCGCTGCGGCACAGAGACGTGATGCTATGCAGACTGGAAGTGTTTTGGACAATTGGCACTATACTTTTGCCGGGTGTGTAATCATATACATTTTGATAAAACTTACATACATACATATCTGTCACGCCTGTCTCCCATTAGGATAGGCAAACACAATGGAATTGATAAAACTTTACATCAATAAAATCATCTATTATGTATGTGTCTCCAATCTCATTTTTTGTTTAGATGCATAGCATGCAACCACAGCTTACTAATCATGCTTGCATGCTGATTTTCTTTTAATTGATTGATAACCCAGCCATTGATTGGTGACAGATGTGCATGAAGATAGTATGTGATAAAAGAGAAATACTCGTAATCGTAATTGTTTTAGGAGAGACCACATGAAATCAGATTTCATAGAGTAGATTGGTAAAAATGTTACTGCTCATTTTCTAACAATCATTTCTCCCTTGCTGTGTTTTTATCATCATCATCATTTCAGCTTTGAACATAATTCTTCCCTAGGAGAGTTCTGCCAGTAGTTTTCGCGCTTGGCAGGCGGATTGGCAACCGCTGTTAGGCTTTGAAGATGTTTTAAGAGGGACGCTGCTGCCCATACAGCGTCCTCCCTTAGTCACCTCCTACGACCTCCACGGGAAAGTAGTGGCGGTCTATTCTATGCCGGGACCGCACGGAACTTTCTCTTTTGTTTCGTAAAAAAACAAGTAAAAGATAATACAAGTTTCTTCAATCTCCTTTGTTTTTTTAACTCACTCTATCTAATGTTAACAATCTGAGTTAAAGTAAAAGATTTAAAATCGATTATAAAGACTATTTTACCCTAATCATGAATTAAAGATATTATTATAAGAACTAGACAAAAACTAGCGCCTACCATTACACCACGTAAATCCTTTAAATAAACTATTTAATCACTATATTAATTTAATACTCAATGATTTCTTCAGGCATCGCCTATGGCATCATCAGGGGCGACACGTTCAACCTGACCGCAGAAGGTGCTGACTTCCAGTACAGCTCATGGCGGGTGTTCGTGGCGGCGTGCGGCATCCCCAGCCTGCTGGTGGTGCTGCTCCTCATACCGTTCCCGGAGAGCCCCCGGTACCTGCTGCATGCGAACATGGCTGAGCAAGCGCTGCAGGTGTTGCAAAGAATCTTCGTCGTCAACACGAAGTTAAATGAGAAGGACTTTCCTGTAAGTAGATACGCAGAATTATTTTAGTGTAATATCAACACTTTATCCCATGCAGTGTCCCAGTCCTTTCCGCAAATGCAGTGTCCCCCCCCCCCCCCCCTTTCCTTTCCCACATAAGTCCCTTATTCCCCTCATTCACTAATTTCCTTTACACATTCCCAACGTTCCTTTCCTTTTTTCCCCAACCCTTTCCACAATATCGTAGGTGGCGAAAACTACTAACAAATGCATTCCCAAAGAGGGTTGACGTCAGGCAGGTGACCGGTTGTAAAACTAAAAATCAAATCTTTTTGTAATATGGATAAAATCATATTACGCCGACCCCAAATGATTGGGATAAGGGTAGGAAGATGATGATGAACACTTCATCTATATTACCACGTATATCAACTAGTATCGATAGGATGAATTATTTGTTCGGGTTTTTAATTCAAAAATTTTTCAAAAACTTAAAATATTGCTTAAGTCGAAAAATTACATGCTTCTAGTTCTTGTGTCAGATGATGTACTGATTAATTAATGATAGGTATATGATTTAGAATTTCTCTCATTGTTTTTGCTAAATATTAATTTTATAAATTAAGGATTTAAACCTCGTATAGGGTATATATATTATATATATGGTAAACTATTCACCGTACAAGTCACTGAAAATTATTTTGTTATTTGTACTATAATATATAATAGTATAAAAATTGTATAGTGTACGTATGTTGTAAGGTGTACGTGGAACAATTAGTCTTTGTGACATTTTCTTAATAATTAACATTTGATATTATAAAATCCAGATAATAAGATTGACTTAGTAGCTATAAAAAAATAACAGGTCACACATATTTAACTCTGACAGCATATCCGATAAAATGTAGTATTAGAAATATCAAAATAACTGTATGATGGTAATCAATTTCAGGTGGAATCAATGATCAGCACAGGAGATGGCGATGAAGAGGAAGTAGTGTCAGCGGATAATAATGGCAATGAGACCAAAGCACCCTTGACGTGGAGCCAGCGTTGGCAAGCCTTCTGGATCCGAAAGAAAATGCTAGTGACACCGCCCTATATAGGACTTCTTGTGCTGTGCTGCTTTGTTGACTTTGGTCTCATGTTCAGGTATATATGTACATAAGATCATCATTAATCATCATCATCAGTCTTTAACTGTCCACTGCTGAACGTAAGCCTCCCCCTTGAGAAAGTTGTCAGTAGCTACCACGCTTGGCAGGCGGATTTGCAACCGTAATTAGACTTTAGAGATGTTTTAAAAAGGACGTTGCTGCTTATCTCTCGCCCTCCCTTAGTCGCCTCTTACGACATCCACGGGAAAGGAAGGGGTGGCCTATTCTATGCCGGGGCCACACGGCGAAATCTTTGTTTACGTTATGTTTATTATAATGCATTAAATAAAAGTTTGAGTAATCAGTGTAGTTGTCTTATATATTTTAAATCAAGGACAGGCAAAAATAGTTTTATAGCTTCAAGTCTAGTAAATAAATCGTAAATTCTCTCCGCTTTGCTATTTCATACGCTATTACGTTTTCTTTTTTTTTATACCACTGAGGTGCCAAACAAGCACACGGTCCACCTGATGGTAAGTGATTACCGTAGCCTATAAACGCCTGCAAAACTAGGGGTATTACACACGCGTTGCCGACCCTGAAGAAACCTCTTTACCTTCCTTCTGAAGAACCCCATGCTGTAGTCTCTTGGAAAAACCTCGACAGGGAGCTCAATCATAACCTGAATGTTCGTGGGAGAAAACATCACTGAAACCGCGTTATACGGGACCATCTGGGCTGTAGGGTATGAGGGTGAACTCCCTGTCGATGGCGAGACGTACGATGATAGAAAGTGGCCGTCATTTTTTATTTTCGTTTTAATTTCCCAGTTACTACACATTGATGATGTGGTTCCCTGATCTGTTCGAGCGATTCAGTCAGTTTTCCTCTCTGTACCCTGACGTGTCTGCCGGAGTTTGCGAGGTCTCACTCAAAGTTGCCAACGAAACCAGCATATTGGCGGTAAGTGTTTTCAAAATTTTTAATGGATATTGTTTAATTTTTCAAAGGAGGGCAAAAATTTTAAGAAGAATGAAGGCTGTTGTAAAAGGTCTTTGTTCAAAATGAACCTTTTTACATACATTGACAATCAATATAAATAATAAATAAATAGATAAATATATAGATAGATACTCTTTATTGTTTCCTCCAAAAGATTTCAATAGTAAACTTATTATAAATATAAATAATAATATATAACAACAAGAACCAGCATATTTTTAAACAGTACTTATGGTTGATACTACTAGTACAAAGTTATCTCTAGGTTCGAAGTTTTTTAATTCATAAAGGCCTCTAAACGTAGCTTTTAAAACAACGTCTTTCCTTGCCCTCCTAAATATTAGATAATCAACTGATAATATTTTTTTTATACCACTGACGTGGCAAACAAGTCTACGGCCCACCCGATGGTAAGCGGTTACTGCAGCTTGTGAACGCCTGCAATACCAGGGATATTACGCTCGCGATGCCGGCCCTGAAGAAAAAGAGGTCTCTTCAGGGTCGGCAACACGCGCATAATACCCCATTTTGAAGAATTTAATTGTCAAATCATTCTAATGATTTTGAAAAATTCAGAGATTAGGGATAAATTTGATCTTGAGATTTCTGTAGATCTTGAGAGATTCCAGTTTTGTAGATTTCAGCAAACCATCTTCAACTAAGGTATTAATGAATTATACGTAATAAATATTAATCTAATGCATTTGTTTTTAAATCTATAATTTTTTTTTTATTCTATTATGTAGATCAGTGGTTCCCAACCAGTGGTCCATGGACCACTAGTGGTCCGCAGAAGCTAAAATATGGTTCGCGAATGATTTTAAATTTAGCAGGCGATTAGCCGTTGGTCGCCGTGCAATGAGCTATTTCTTCTTCTACTATTAGTACTAATTATTTCTCATTCCACATTGTAGATGAAGCCCGTGACCCTGGATGACAATGTGTACACACATACATTGGTAGTCGCTCTAAGCTGTCTGCCGACCGCGCTCTGGGTCGGCATTACCATCAACATCGTCGGCAAGAAGCTCATGCTTGGTAAACATAAAATAGATAGATAGATAGATAAATACTCTTTATTGTTTCCTCCATAAGATTACAATAGTAAACTTATTATAAATATAAACAATTACAAGAAATAATCACAGTGAGAAAACAATGGGCGGCCTTATCGCTAAGAGCGATCTCTTCCAGGCAACCTTTGGACGAAGAAAAGTAAAATAATATCTATAATAGATCAGCCCGAATTTAATTATTGTTGTGTATAGGTTTCTTCATGGCTTCGCTAATTTATTTAATGCTAACTGCGGTTGCCAACCTGCCTGCCCAGCGTGGCAAAGGCAAAGGCCTCCGAACGAGAGGCCTATGTTCAGCAGTGGTCAATTAACGGCTGATTTTTTATGTATTTTTTATACAACTTCGAATGGCAAACAAGCTGACGGTCCACCTGATGGAAAATGGTAACCGTCGCCTATAGACATGAGCAGTACCATGGACATAACAGAGTATACTGTTTCGCCCATGATAGCCCCCATGCGTTGCCATTCCTGAGGACTCAGATGTTATTCCTCTGTACCCTGTAAATTCACGCCGTATCCCACCCTTCAAACCAAAACACAGCCATGCTAACATGACGCTATTGATAAAACTATATAAAGCACTATGGTATTCACGATACACCTCATGCGTTGCCAATCTCAAAGACTATTTTGTAATACATGTACCTTGTAATTTGACAACAATGCAAGTATTAATAAAGATTATCCAATAACCAGACTCCAAATAGACTTAGAATGTTGTGTTCGGCAGTTATGATGCTGATCAGTTCAGGACTGGCAGCGCTCGGTTTAAACCTGGTGCGCTCCTCGCTCGAGAACTTGATCCTGTCGTGCGTGTTTGAAGCGATAGTCAGCTGCACTGAGGCTGTGCTCTTCTGTGTTATCTGCGAGATATTCCCCACCAAAGTTGCGTAAGTATACTCGTATGTTGTTGCTTAGAAGTTTGGTGTATTAAATGAGCGTGTTACGTCCCAGTGGTATACTATCTCAACTTATATATTCCCGAGATAATGAAAGTATGACAAAGCCACAGACACTCTTAAAGAAATACATAGGAGATGAGATCCTATGGTTGTCAACCCGCCTTCAAAGAGTGGCAATTACTGGCAAATCCCCTTGTTTATGTTCAGCATGAACGGCATGGCTGACATGATGACATATGATGACCTGAATCACATTTTGGATCTCACAAGTCATTGTATATACGCCGTACCAGCGGGTTCGAAATCTCCGGTTTTCATAGAATATGGATTTGGTATTCACAGCGTGTTTTTTTTTATTATACTGTATGAAATCCGCGGAATCTTTGCAAGTGCCCCATGATTACTGACTGGTTTGCGCCTGTGCAGGGCGACCGCGATGGCAGTGACGGTGATGTGCGGCCGCGTTGGCGCCATCGTGGGCAACGTGGTATTCGGCGCGCTCGTCGACCACCACTGCGTCGTGCCCATATACATGTTTGGCACCTTCCTTATAAGTGAGTACAGCAAAAGCAAATCATTTATACCTAAATATTTTACTGAGCTAGGTTTTACCTTGCTCCATATTATATAGAAGTCCATATTACTGGTTATTTGATTGAAATTATTTTGTTTAATTCGGGAGTTGGCAGTCACACCAGATACCAGGGGAAGACTTTGTACAAAAGCCGTTTGCTTGGGTACCTCCACTGTACTGCTCATGTCTATAGGCGACAGTTACTACTTCCCAGCAGGTGGGCCGTCAGCTTGTTTGCCATTCTAAGTTGCATAAAAAAACATATACTAATGGTAACGGAATAAAACAAAACAATTCTAATCAAGTAACCACTGAAGCGTGATACTGATAGAATCCGAAACGAGGATATCCGCAAAAGAACCAAAGCAACCGACATAGCCCGAAGGATAAGCAAGCTGAAATGGCAATGGGCTGGTCACATAGCTCGAAGACCCAACAACCAATGAGGAAGAAATGTTCTGGAAAGGCGACTTCGACGGACAAACGCAATGTAGGATGACCCCCCACTAGATGGAGTGATGACCTCAGAAACATTGAAGGAAGTCAGTGGATGCAGGTGGCTCAGGACCATTCTTTATGGCAGACTATGGCTGAAGCCTATGTCTAGCAGGGGACGGATAATGGCTGAAATGATGATAATGGTGTAGTAATATTGCTTAACTGTTAATTTCACCAGAAGGAGACTTTGTACAAAAGTCGTTTGCTTGGGTACCTCTGGCCCATTCATGTTTCAACCGTAAAGCAGTTGTGTTTGCATGGCTGTGTTTCGGTTTAAAGGGTGGGATATGGCGTGAATTTACTGGGTACAGAGGAATAACACATGAATCCTCAGGAATACGTACTCTGCTAAATTTGAAAAGATCTTGAAAGAAGTCCGTCAACAGTCAAACGGTATATTTTATTATGAACTTGATTATACTTAATTGTCTGTAATTCTGCTTGTATTACTGTGTATGGTATATGTAATGCAGTTGTTTCACCAATTCTAGAATGTTTTTGATATCTTTTTGGTTTTGAGGAAATAATACACCCTTTTGGTTCCTGTTTGGCACGGGATTCTCGCTGGCCACTAAGACATTTCACAATCAAAACTGATGGCTTGGGACAAAACAAAAGGAGTTGAAAAAAACGTAGACGGACATAATTTTAATGACAAATTTGCCTTTTAATTTTTAATACATTTCGACGACAATTTCGGACCTTCGCCCCTACAAGCGGCGCATCGACCTTTCAGTTACATTACCCGTATATATTATTATTGAAATTAGAATCTGGACACTAATATTCATTGAAGATGTACCCTTTTCGGTAGACCTTAAAATGTGCGCATTATGTATATATACATATGTTTGTGTATCTGTTACAGCGAGTGGGCTACTATGTATAATCCTGCCGAAGAGCACGAGACCGGAGCGGCCGCAGTAACCACTGGAGCGCATTGTAATTACTGTTGTATTTTTATATGATTAAAACTATTATATTACAGACACAAATTATGATTTTTCTTTATATATTCCTTCCATTGCTGTGTGGTTTCAGCGTAGAATAGGCCACCACTTCCTTTCCCGTAAGTATCGTAAGAAGCAATTAAAGCAACTGGTCGAGGTGATGTAAATGATAATGGAATGGTAGCCCCACCCGCGCTATCGGTTACACCGACGGGGCACCAGTGATGGATAATAGGTGAGGATGAAGTAGGTCAGTTAGCCCATCGTGACGAATTCAATGATAAATTAGTCACGATAGTTTCCAGGGGAAACGGCGTGGAGATCGACCCGACAGGGTATATTGATAGCAATGGGTACTAACCTCTCCATTACTAACAATCCTCTCCCCCCAACTGGTCGAGATATGGGCAGTAGTGTCCCTTTTTTAAAATCATCAAAAGCTTAACTGCGGTTACCAATTCGCCTACAATTCAATTCAACACCACCCGCGCTATCGGTATACACCGGCGGGGCACCAGTAAAGGATGATAGGTGAGGATGTAACAGGTCAGTTAGCCCATCGTGATGAATTCAACGAGAATTGTTCACGATGGTTTCCAGGGGAACCGCGTGGAGGTCGACCTGATAGGGCATATTACTAATGGGGCTGTCAAACTCCCATTACTAAAATCCCTCCCCCCAGTATACGCGTACTATATGGGATGGAGAAGGTTATTGGCTATTTTTATCCCGGTGGATAAACATATCCTGACCACACCCAAAGTCATTGCCCGGGCCAACGGGTCTTCAATGTCAACAGGCTACTGTTGCATGAAGTTCCACTGCTGCGTCTTCATTTTCACGTGCAGCGCCTGCGCGTATAGTAAGAGCAAAATTGCACTTTTTTGAGAATATCTGAGGGGCTACCGTGAAATATTTTCCGAAATTTCGAGGACGAACAAAACAGAAAATTGATGGTAAAATGACATAACACATGCCGTTTAAAATGATTAAAAATGTTAAAATATCGTTCCTCTGAACTATTAGGATAGGGTTTATGATGCACGAAATATTAAGTTTCATTTACTGGGTCGATTTCGGTACAAACAAAAACACGAAATTGAGCGCGAAAATTTGGAATTTCATTTCATGGTAGACCATCAGAGGGCCTACACACATTTGTTGAAACACAAATTTGATGTTAAAATTACATAATACTTACCGTTTAAAAATATGAAAATATTATTCCTTTGGACTTTTATGGCAGGATTTATTGCGACGAAATGTTATGAAATCTCATTTACTGGCTCGATTTCGTGACGAATGCAACAAAAACACAAATTGAGTGTCAAAATTCGAATTTCATTTCAATGGGGCTATCAATCCACATTACTAACAATCCCTTTCCCCCTAGACCATCAGATTAGGAGCGTTCATAACGAACTATGGTAAAGCAATTCAATTTTTAAAAACAATTGATCATTTTTCAATATTTCTGATTGATTGTTCATAAAATGTTTTGCTAATTAACTAAAACGTTCAAACATTCACAAATATTCTCATTAAACTATCTCTGATTGGTTTATGATGGCAAAAATGTATTTTAAAAATTTTGAATCATATTTGAAGCAGGCGCAAACTTTTTAATGGTAGATTTAAATCCTATGTATTTTATAATTAACAATTTAGTTCGTTGACAGAGCACTTTTTAAACAAACAGTCGGAAACATTGAAAAATTATATATTTTTTAATTGACAGATAATTTAACATTGTTTGCCAACTGCTTTAACCATGCTGCGTGTACACCTGTCTGGGACTTAATCTAGTTCATAATCTTTCTATAAATGTTTATAAAACTAAAATAAAGCTAAAGTTATGGACGCTCTCTGTATTTATGTTTATTTGTATTTTTTCAGGTGGATTGATTGCTACATACAGATTCTACTTCTCTCTCTCTCTCTCTCTCTCTCTCTCTCTCTCTCTCTCTCTATATATATATATATATATATATATATATATATATATATATATATATATATATATATATATATATATATATAATTTTTCTTATTATAATAGGATTTTCTTTAAATTTGACAAATCAGTGATATATATGTATTTCTAAAAATACAGTGTAATCTTATTGAAATAACAATATTATCTTCAAAGCAGATCTCTGCTCTGCAGACAACAATATAAAAGATATGCAAAAATTTAAAGTTTGTTGTACTAACTGTAATTATGATTATTGTCTTGATTTTTTTTTAAATTAACAATTAAGCAATATTACTACGTCATTATCAAACATTTCAGCCGTCCACTGCTGGACATAAGCATCTCCCATAGACTGCCATAAAGATCGGTTCTGAACCACCTGCCACTTCAGCTTGCTTATCCTTCGGGCTAGCCCATTATTTTGGTTTTTTTGCGGATCCAAAACGAGGATATTACTATGTTATATACTCTGCGGGAACCGAGATATTATTATTAATCTATGTTCATGTTCAAATGTTGAGTATTTTTGTCAATGGCTTGCAATCATAGATTAAGGATAGTATCTGCGGACAGACCGATAGGAAAAAAATAATAGGTGTAGGGACCGTAAGTACACACTACCTTAATCTATGTCTAAAAAATAACAAATTACCTAATAAGAAACTTTATATTCATTAGTTAAAACAGGCATTTTAAATGATTAATTAAAAAAGTTATAGAGATTATAACGTAGAAGGGGAATACAAGAGATATTATCCTTAATCTACGATCTGGAACTTTTCCTAATGCAAATTTTGAAAATAGAATATTTATTGGTTCAAGCATACACTTAGTATAACGTATTAAGGTACTTATTTACTTCTCAATCTAAGGGTTCAAGATTTTCAAACATAGTAATTACTTACTCTGTGTTTTTCAAGTAGATATTTTTTCCGAGAAATTTTGGCGGGAAGTTTTGCAGCAATGGAGCTCGATATAATGCTAAGATTTTCGTGTTACATGGGTCGACTCTGATTATTGTGAGTTAATTATAAAAGATTTATTAAGAATTTGGTAACTATTGGTGAGTTCACTTGTTCGATATATAAAGGATATCCGCAATAGAACAAGTGACCAACGTAACCCGAAGGTTAAGCAAGTTGAAGCGGCAACGGGCTCGTCAGAGAGCTCATAAAACTAACAACCGATTGGGAAATAAGGTTCTTGAGTGGCGATCCCGTTACAGGCAAGAAGGACCCCTCCACTAGAAGGAGCGACGACCTGAAATGGATTGCAAGGAGTTTGGATGCTGGTGGCTTGAGATCGTTCCTTATGGTAATCTATGGGATAGGTCTTTGTTCAGCAGTGGACAGATAACGGCTTATATGATGATGATACTGGTAATGTATTTTTTTATGGATGATAATGGAATGGTTATGGAATGGCCTGCGCTATCGGTATACACTAGTGGGGTATCAGTGAGAGATGATAGGCGAGGATGAAAATACAGGTCAGTTAGCCCATCGTGACGAATTTAACGATAAATTTGTCACGATGGTTTCCAGGGGAACTGCGTGAAAGTATATATATATATATATATATATATATATATATATATATATATATAATATAATATAATAAATATATATATATATAATAAATAATAACTTGATTTTCTTTTTTCTATACTTTGACATTGGTAGATTGTTGAAACTCCAACAAAATTCAAAACAGTCCGTAGTGTTTGCATGTAGGTATACTTTTTTGTTAAGTTCTGAGGTCATGCCGTGTAACGTATCTTCTTATATTATACAATTTGGAAACTACACACCTACACTAATTTCCTAGTTTTGTTACGAGTTAACAACTTAACAGATTTTTTTTTATAGAGTGATAATGGAATGGTTATCCCGCCTGCGCTATCGGTATACGCTGGCGGGGCACCAGTGAGAGATGATAGTTGTGGATAAAAGCAGGCCAGTTAACCCATCGTGAAGAATTACATGACAATTAACCACGATGGTTTCCAGAGGGAACCGCGTGGAGGTCGACCTGATAGGATGTATTGCTAGCAATGGGTCAGTTAGACCCCATTGCTAAGAATCCCTTTCCCCTCACTTACTAGATAATTTTCTAACAATATAGCGTATATTTTCGATCGATATACTTTTAAATAATTAAATATAGATACGTTAAAAAAAAATGTGTGCGTAAGTATATGGAACACTAATAAAAAAAAAACGACTCAGCTGATTTGATAATTAGCTGACAAAAAGTTGACTCGTTTTTGAGGCTCGAGGCTCTCTCTATACAATTTAATAGCTATATATTATTTTTCAAAATTATATCAATCCGTGGGATGATTTTTTTTTATACGACTTAGAATGGCAAACAAACTGACGGCCCACCTGATGGAAAGTGGTAACCGTCGCCTATACACATGAGCAGTACCATGGACATAACAGAGTATACTGTTTCGCCCATTATACCCCCCCATGCGTTGCCATTCCTGAGGACTCAGGTGTTATTCCTCTGATAGTAAGACATAGCTTTTTTTTTATGGACGAAAATGGTATGGTAACCCCGCCTGCGCTAACGGTATACGCTGGTGGAGCACCAGTGAAGGGTGATAGATGAGAATGAAAACAGGCCCATTAGCCCATCATGATGAATTCATCAGGAATTAACCATGATAGTTTCCAGGGGAACCGCGAGTAGGTCGACCTGGTTGGGTATATTGCAAGCAATGGGATTCTCAGTCTCCATTACTAACAATCCCTTTCCCCTCTAGTAGGACATAGCTAGGTTACTTTTTATATCGGTCAATTGAATGAAATTCTAAAAACATTGTAACTTGGTGTATAAAACTATTCAAAAGTCAGACGTAGAATTTGATATAGACTTTTTCTTATAAATTTGTAAACAAAGTGACAATATTCCAACTTTGAAACTGTGTATTTCATAATTTCACGTACCATTGCTCGCTTACAAGAGCAATGCAAAGAAGCGCGATACTCAAAATGATCTGTCGATGACAAATGTGCGAGATTCGCACCAAAACGCGACCATTGATCAGTCTCACTCAGATACGATGGGGTATCTCGAGAGATAAGACCGTATGACCTTCTCAATACCTATTTAAAAGTATGTATAGCTGTTGGTCAGTATTTCTCGGCCTTTAATACAGACCGGTTCTGTATGAGTGCCGAATCGAAAACTATACTTCGCGTAAATATAAACAAAAAATGGTTATTCCAAAGTATTTTATTAAATGCCAGTGAAGACAGTGTATTTATAAGTGACTAGTTACTCGCCCTGACTTCACACGGGTACATAATTGGATCGATTGTTTTTTTAATGAAATATAAACCATATTACTCGCTGATAAAGTAGTTTTCTATAAATGCAGGAATTTTAAAAATCGTTTAAGTGTATTTTGAATTTATCAATTACAAACAAAACATCAAATATTTTCCTTTTATGATATTAGTTTAGATTGGAGAGACAAAACATTGCAAATGGCGGCGGTTAACGAGAGTTACGATAAGACTGGAGACCTGGATGACATAGAGATGAACTCTATGGGAGCAGCTAGGAAAAAGGAAGACATCGGTCGATACAGTTACGAGGAAGCGTTAGATTTAACAGGTTTGTTAAACCTATGTTCCCTTATGATGATACTGCACTTCATTAATACTTTAACAGATCAGTCAGTAGTTTTACTTTTTTTTATTTATTTATTTTTATTTTTTATTTATTTATTTTGTGATACATAGGTAACAATGGTTGGTAAAACAAGATAAGTCCTCTATGATCAACCCCATCTATTGAGGTATACAAATTCGCAATTACGAGTACATAAGAAAAAATATATATAAAAAAATGAACAGTGTCACATTTACAGTAAAAAACACATTTATAGTATAAATGTATTTTTTTCATACAACTTAGAATGGCAAACAAGCTGACGGCCCCCTGGTGGAAAGTGGTAAAAGTTATTTGTTTGGACACCTCTGTCCCATACTTGTTTCTACTGTGAAGCAGTTGTGTTTGCAGGGCTGTGTTTTGGTTTGAAGAATCAAATATGGCGTCAATTTTACAGGGTACAGAGGAATAACACCTGAGTCCTCAGGAATGGCAACGCATGGGGGTATCATGGGCGAAACAGTATACACAGCCCATGGTAACTCAACTGTCTATAGGCGACGGTTAAACTTCCCATCAGGTGGGCCGTCAGCTTGTTTGCCATTATAAGTTGTATATAAAAAAAAAAACATTTCCCATCACTGACATCACGCTGACGGATTACCTTATTTAGGTGGGCCGGCAGCTTGTTTGCCAGTTTAAGTATTTAAAAATAAATGTTATTAATTATACTGCAGTCGACGCTCTTAAGGTAAAGTTAGCCGGATTCAATTCGAGGCCTAAAACTGGTATTGTAATATTTAACCTTTTGCAAAATTATGTTATTATATTTTATAACAAATATAAATAAACATTACGAGTTGATGAGAATCAAAATAGAAATAGGCTTTTGTCTGAAATATGTAAGTTATGTATTAAGTTGCTAAATAAATCAATATATTACTTATTAATATTATAAATATGAAAATGAGTTTATTAAATTTTATTTGTTTAACAAATTTACTAGGTATATACATACTGTATGCGTATATGTATGTATGTATTGGGGGGAGAGGGATAGGCAGCAGCGTCCCTTTCAAAACCTCACTAAAGCCTAACTGCGGTTTTTTTTTTAATGGGTGATAATGGAATGGTAACCCCGCCTGCGCTATCGGTATACACCGGCGGGGCACCAGTGAACGATGATAGGTGAGGATGAAGTAGGTCAGTTAGCCCATCGTGGCGAATTCAACAAGAATTGTTCGGAATGGTTTCCAGGGGGAACCACGTGGAGGTCGACCTGATATTGCTAGCAGCGGGGCTGTCAAACTCCATTGATAATCCCTTTCCCCCCGCCTAACTGCGGTTGCCAATCCGCCTGCCAAGCGTGGCAACTACTGGCAGAACCCCCTAAAGAGGAGGTTTATGTTCAGCAGTGGACAGTTAAAGACTGATTACGTATTTAGGGCCTACTGAAAATCAGTGTCGTAACTTCAGATTTGTAACTGCGACATACGCTGAGTTAGGTCCTTTGCACAAACACTGCTACATTCATTGTGTTTTTCTTTTTATTCTAAATTCAAAGTAAAATAGTAACGTTATTATATAATTGCGTAATCTTCATCATTATGTTGTTTTGTTATATTTAATATGTATAATTTATATAATTTTTCTTAAAGAACGATTGTATCTAATTAATTATATTATTTAAATGAAAAGTTTGTTTAGTTTATGTGTAAATAAATAAATAAATATCAATAATTTCAAACATTACATTATAGTAACGCAATTAGTTCCACAGTTTGACCTCGGATATTTGACCTCAAATATTCGAAATAGTCAAAACGCACTCTCGTGATAAAAACCTGTTTTTGTAATGTCGATATTATTACCGGAGCATGTGTTGTATATTATTAAATTAATTAATATAATTAAGTACTTATTTAGAAGGCTTTTAAATTCAATTTGCGTCAATTCAATGATGAAGGCACTACTGAGGTATAACTTAGGCCTCAGGAATAGCAATCTATGAGTCATAGGGGCTTTTTTTATGGTTTGCAGTACAGTGTTTAAGGCATCCCGTCCTCGCTATTGAATACGGGTGACGGAATGCCTATACGAGAGGGTACTTGGTGGGCGCAATATTTGAGGAGCATTAGGAAGATAAATGAACGGCCGGATACTACAACAAATGAGTATGTGGTCGGCCTCCGAACTGGCGACTTTTGCTGTCTACCAATTCAAGGGACGACCGATCACCGGACGTAAGAGTCATAGGGGCTTTTTTTGATGGATGACAATGAAATGGTAATCTTGTTTGTGCAAACGGTATACGCTGGCGGGGCACCAGTAAGGGATGATAGGTGAGAATGAAAAGACAGGTCTATTAGCCTAATAGGTAGGCCGTTAATTTGTTTTTTTTTTTTATTTAATACTTTATGGTACACACTAATTATATATAAACATATAACAGAGGTAAACAAATGTACAAAGGCGAGCTTAACTCTAATAGAGTTCTCTTCTAGCAACACCCAAAGTGGAAAGGAGCATCAATGTCAGCAGATACAGCAGTGTACAATATTGTGAGAATTTTCAAACAGACAAAATTAAATTAATTACATTATATTTAATCGTACAAATACACATATACATATACATAAATATATACCTACATCTATGCATATACTTACACACACATACACATATATATACAATATACGTACATACATATATAGATAAATAAATATATGTTCATAGAGATAGAAGATGCTCATTAAGTCTTCTCTTAAAAATATTTAGGGATTGACTTTCACGGATAGATATGGGAAGAGAATACCACAATCCAGCAGCATGGACGGTAAAAGATCCACTATACCGCGTAGATGAGTGTGAAGGGATTTTGAGGATAAGAGATTTCGTCGAACGGGAGGACACGTCATGGGGAACTAGAAAATCGTTTGTTATTCTAAGTTGCGCAAAACAAACTTACTGTCGTGAAACGTATAAGAGTATAAAAAAACTGTGACGTCTTTAAACTTTTTCATGAACTGATAGGTTTCTACTTATTTGTTTTATGTGTAATGAATACAATGGGTTCCTTCTTTTCCCGTGGGTATTTTTTTTTGATGGATGGGTAACCCTGCCTGCGCTAACGGGATACGCTGGCGGAGCACCAGTTAAAGGTGATAGATGAGAATGAAAACAGGCCAGTTAGCCCATCATGATGAATTCATCAGGAATTAACCATGATAGTTTCCAGGGAGAACCGCGAGGAGGTCGACCTGGTTGGGTATATTGCTAGCAAAGGGGTCTCAGTCTCCATTCCTAACAATCCCTTTCCCCCCTTCCCGTGGGTATTGTAAAAACCGACTAAGTGAGGACGAAGGATGGGCAGCAGCGTCCCTAAAACATAGAGGATAGAATATTTGTTATTATTTATATCTCTGAAGTTAGTACGTAATATGAAATACTGTATGACTCACGATATTTATCATTTAATGATAGTTTATAATTATAAAGATATCCAGCGTAGGCAATCCGACGTTGAAACGGTGCAAGCGTTATGGGGACCTTTGGGTCGGGTACGGAATGTGAAAGTTGTTTTGACTGATTGTTAGTTTAAAATTATATTTATTTTTTAGATTTATTCAAAATTTACAAATTAGGATTTTTAGATTATTTATTTTGTATATAATTTTTATAGGTACTTGTTCATATTATCGATTTTATGAAAAAAAATATTAAAAAGAAAAAGATAAAAATTACATTTTTGAAAAATTAAAAGTTGTGTGCCTATAAATAACAATTATTTTGATTTAAAATTAAATTACTGCACCGATTGTAATAAAATTTCTATAGAACAAATCTGTAACTACATTCTTTCAGACAAAAAATATTTTTTTAGATCAGTTTAAAACTGACGGAGTTATTTTTTTATTTTATTTATTTATTTATTTTTAGATAACTTGGATCCATTTTTGTTGTTATGAGGTAACTAATATAAAAAAAATTAACATTATTGAGAACCTCCTTAATTTTGAAATCGGTTAATAAATAGTCTATAACGTTTGCTAAATAAAATGTACATGTATTAATTGTTAAAGGTCACGGCAAATACAACCTGGGTTTGTTGATGGCCTGTTTCATGGTGATCACCGCCATGGGCATCGACATCTTCGGACTGGGCATCATCGTCACAGCAGCCACGTGCGACCTGGGCATGGGACTTGCGGAGATCGGGGTACTCTCTTCCATGCCATTTGCTGGTTAGTATATAATATGGCTGACCGGCATAGAATAGGCCACCTCTTTCAATGGGGGGTATCATAGGTGAAACAGTATACTCTGTTATGTCCATGGTACTGCTCATGTGTATAGGCGACGGTTACTACTTTCACTCAGGTGGGCCGTCAGCTTGTTTGTCATTCTAAGTTGTATAAAAAAAACATAAAAAAGAAGTCGGCTCTTACGACACCCACGGGATAGTGGGTGACCATGGACATAACAGAGTATACTGTTTCGCCCATGATACCCCCATGCGTTGCCATTCCTGAGGACTCAGGTGTTATTCCTCCGTACCCAGTAAATTCACGCCATATCCTACCCTTCAAACCGAAACACAGTCATGCAAACACAACTGCTTTACGGTTGAAACACGAAGGGATGGGCAGCAGCGTCCTTCTTAATACATCTGTAAAGCCTAACTGCGGTTACCAATCCACCTGCCAAGCGTGGTAACTACTGGCAAAACCCACCAAGGGGAAGGCTTATGTTCAGCAGTGGACAGTTAAAGGCTGATATGACGATATAATAGAATTCCTTCTTTTCTTTTCTGTGGTTGTCGTAAGAGGCGACTAAGGGAACTTAATAGTCTAAGGATGGGCAGTAACGTCCCTTTTAAAACGTAACTAAAACCTATCTGCGGTAACCAGGGGGAAAGGGATTGTTAGTAATGGAGACTGAGAATCCCATTGCTAGAATATACCCAGCCATGATTAATTCCAGAAACTATCATGGTTAATTCCAATCATGATGGGCTAACTGGATTGTTTTCATTCTCATCGATCACCCTTCACTGGTGCTCCGCCAGCGTATTCCGTTAGCGCAGGCTACCATTCCATTATCATTCAATAAAAAAACTGCCAACTTACCTGCCAAGCGTGGTACTTGCAACTACATTTACATATAAACACTAAACGATTTCTTGAATGACAAATGTGCATGGTGTTAGTCGACCATGCAAGAGCTTTTAACAACCATGTGATTTTAAACAAAGTACATTTAAATAAATACACATAATCTTTGTACCCTCTACACTCTTCTTCGAAACCCCCAGTCTCCTGACTACTTAAGCAGTAAATTCCAGTATCTTTTTGAAACTCACGAACGTAACCTTCGTTCCAATAATACTCTCCAATTATCTTTCCCCTCTCACCGTACTGGTTACGCTTCAAACTCTTTTCTCAACATTCTTTTTTCTGGAACAAAGCTATGCCATTAATTAAATACCGACTAAACCGTCTTTAAAAAAAACGTTCACGCTCACTTTTTTACTTTATCTGAGCAGTAAGTACTTTATATTATTCTCAATTTCGTGTATAATATAGTATATATCATATATGTGTAAGTATATTTGTTATTCATATATATTTATTCGTTTATATATATATATATAATTTTTGTATGTATGTATATCAATAATTACTAGTACCGCATTCGAGTATTCTGACACTTCCTCGTGGTTGACTGGGAGAGAATGCTTTTAGCATTAAATCCGCCATGTACATATACACCTATCCTCCGATTTACACGGTACTTGTTTTACACGTTTTCCGTCTTTACAAAATAAGGGTTTTTTTTCACTTTTTCGACTTACTAAATGCTACTGTGTTTGAACCGCCGTAAGACGTGCGCTTATACATCTCACAATCCCGTGTATGATTAGTATATATCATATATGTGTCTGTATTTCTTCGCATAAAATTAAATATTATCTACTGAAAATATATTATATATTTCACAGTGTCATTCACATATATTAAATAAAAAAACAGTTTATATATATTACATAATTTTATTTTTATTTCTGTATATCAAAAAATCACAACTGTTAAATAGCAAAATTATGCATTTTCTGACATTTACATGGTTTTGACTGGGAGAAATTTTGAATTTTCGATTTACAGTTTTCTCATGTACACATATATGTATTTGTACTAATGAATAAATAAATAAATAAACAATGTCAACAGAGATTTAAAAGATTAACTGTTTAGTTTCTTGCGAGCTCTTCGCAACAGATAACAATTTTCCGGACCCTGTATTCATAAAAAAATGAGAATTTAAAAGTGGCTGAATTTAAAAGCATTTAAACTTGAATGTCACGATAAGTCATGTAAGCAACAACTTATGTCTCATGCACCTCACTTATAATGCTGTTTGCGGTCTCCAGGTATAATAGTGATGTCGTACCCGTGGGGCTACCTGTCGGACACCAGGGGCAGGAAGCTGGTGCTCATGTGGGCCATGTGCGGTAGCTTCCTCAGCTCCGTGTTCAGCAGCTTCGCGCCCAACTGGCAGATGCTGGCCGCCTTCAGATTTATAAGTTCTGCTTTGTAAGTTTCATTTTGCTGGATAAGAATGGAGAGCGAGCGTATTGGAAGACTGTAAGGCTCACCCAGTGGATGTAATAAATAAATAAATAAAAGCTTCCTCTTGTCGGTGCAAAAAAAAAATTTGCTGGAAAGATTAAGGTCGACAACGCGCGCGTAATGCCACTGGTATTGCAAGCGTTCATAGGCTATGGTAACCGCTGAGCATCAGGTGGACCGTATGCTTGGTTGCCACCTCAGTGGTATAAAAATAGATCGAATAAGTAATGAGGAGGTCCTACTTAGGGTTAAGGAAAAGAGACAAATTATAAGAACTATTGAGGTCAGAAGGGAAAAAATGTTGGGACACTTGATACGACACGACGAACTTATGAACATTATAATAGAAGGTAAGATAGAAGGAAGGAGGGGAGGAGGAAGACCGAGACATTGTTACATCAGGCAGATTTTTTTTTATACAACTTAGAACTCGCAATGTGTCTTCAAACATAACGTCGTACGGCGTTTTTTTTGTTTACGGTTAAAGTCGCTTTTTAGGTATCAAGATACACTCGTTTGCATATTCATTGGGCACGTGATTATGCTAATTCGATGATTCATTCTTGATGATGACGATTTCATTAAACCGAAATCATTTATTTCCATTTAATTTCCAATTTCTTTTAAATGTCATTAACGTCCAGCATCTATGCTAAACATAAACCCTCCTCACAGACCGCCATAAGAAACTGCCCTGAGCCACCAGTCTGTTTATTGTACGGATAATCTGGTAGTATTGTTTTATTGTTACCCTATTCCCTTTGGCCGCAACAGAATATCAGTGCTTTGCTCTTTTGAGGGCGAAGCAATAAACTGAGTTGTGGCCATTTTGTATTGTTATGGCACACGCACAAAAGAAAATTGTACTTGGCTTTTTTTTTCTTTTTATACAACTTAGAATGGCAAACAGTTGACGGCCCACCTGATGGAAAGTGGTAACCGTTGCCTATTGTCATGAGCAATACCATAGACATAACAGAGTATACTGTTTCGCCCATGATACCCCCCATGCGTTGCCATTCCTGAGGACTCGGGTGTTATTCCTCTGTACCCTGTAAATTCACGCCATATCCCACCCTTCAAACCGAAACATAGCCATGCAAACACAACTGCTTCACGGTAGAAACATGAATGGGACAGAGGTATCCAAGCAATATTTTTTTTAATCATTTATGTTAACTCGTTTTTTTTTATGTAGTTTTTATGTATTATGTAGCTATGTTACAAGTAATGCAAGTAAATTATCTATCTATCTATCTACCTGTATCCACTGACTCCCTGCAACGCATTTGAGGTGGGGGATCGCTCTACACTGCGTTTGCTCGTACAGGATAGCCACTCAAGAACCTTTTTTCCCCATAAATATCTTAATTACTCACACATTAGAAATATTGTTTATAAAATCTATTTTTTAACGTAAAAAGTAAATAATTTGTAATAATTTAAAACTTGAAATGGATTGTAGTTTGCTATTAATATAAAATCTATAATTTTTATTTGCTATTAAAATAAAATACTATAATTTAGACTTTTAATATGTAAGATCAAATTAAATAATATAATTGAATTATAATTTTGTTTACCGCTTTTTTTTATAAAATATAAAATATTTGCATGCCTACATCTGTGAAGGCAATTTGCAAAGAAAACAAAAAAATTAATACCACATAGCTTTTGTAATAATTTTAAACTGTTTAATAATAATAAACTCATTTCATTTTATTTCAAAATAAAAAATGTAATTATTAATTTTACTTTGTCTTTGTCATATACTTGTACAAATTTATTGGTTTATTGTAAATTTATTTTTTCATTAATTTTAATAATCAACAATATTATTACATTAAATTTGCATGCCTACAATTGTATGGCAATTAAACAGATGCCAAACAGTTCAATAGCCTTTATTACGTTAAATATCTGTTAAAAGCAAATAAATATTCCATTTCATTTCAAAGAAACTCCGAGCACAGGAACTATATAAAGTGTTAAATAACGTGTAACTTTATTCTTTTTTTAAAAATTGTTTATTTAGCAAACATAAACAATATGAAATATTTTAAGTTTTTACATAAACACGGAATAAGTACAATACTGGTTATTTAGACGTAATCTTCAATACAAACGTCGTAAAGCAATGCTAATGATTCCCTTCAACCTTGTACACGAACACTGCTTGCTGCTATTCATGATACTGCGCCATAGTTCAACTATTATGAAAAACTATTACATTTAACTTCATTACTAACTAAATATAATTGATTAGAGTAATTAAGACTAGTCATATTTCGCAGCTTCATCCGCGTGGATCAGTACATTAAGTATACTATTTGCTAAGTAAGGATATAGGGTGGAAAGGGATTGTTAGCGATGGGGTCTAACAGCCCCATTGTTAGCATTGTTAGCAAGCCAAGCGCGATAACGGTATCCGTATGGATCCATTCAATAGTTTTTGCACATCCATTCATCCATCCATTCTGATGTTATAACTTACTATATTGGATGGGCATTTGAATGAATAAACTCTGCCTGTATGAATAGAATAAAATGTGAAATAGAGTTTTTTTCCTTTTTTTTGCACCATTTAAAGAATGATACAAAACAATCTATAATATACAATATCAGACATATAGAACTTACATAAATTATACATACTCGTACATAAATCATGCTACAATACAATACTATTTTTTTATACAACTCAGAATGGCAGACAAGCTGACGGCCCGACTGATGGAAAGTGATAACCGTCGCCTATAAACATGAGCAGTACCATGGACATAACAGAGTATACTGTTTCGTCCATGATACCCCCATATTTTCTGAGGACTCAGGTGTTATTCCTCTGTACCCAGTAAATTCACGCCATATCCTAACCTTTAAATCGTAGGGGGAATTCTTCATTGCCAGATGGGTCGACCTCCACGCGGTTCCCCCTGGAAACCATCGTGGTTAACTCTAGTGAAATTTGTCACGATGGGCTAACTGACCTGCCTTCATCGTCACCCATCATCCCTCACTGGTGCCCCGCCAGTGTATACCGATAGCGCAGACGGGGTTACCATTCTAATATCACCCATTAACTTAAAAATCTTCAAATCGTGACGAATTCGACAATAAATCGATCACGATGGTTTTCAGGGAGAACATAAAAAAGTATACATAAAACATATTTCATTATGTAATTTACTTTTTTTTATAACATAGGGGGCTACGAGCGTGCGGCTCACCTGACAGTAAATGACTACCGCCACCCATGATCACCCACAACACCAGAGGTATTGCAGATGTGAAGCAGTTGTGTTTGCATGGCTGTGTTTCGGTTTGAAGGGAATAACACCCGAGTCCTCAGGAATGGCAACGCATGGGGGGTATCATGAACGAAACAGTATACTCTGTTATATCCATGGTACTGCTCATGTCTATAGGCGACGGTTACTACTTTCCATCAGGTGGGCAGTCAGCTTGTTTGCCATTCTAAGTTGTATAAAAAAAAAATTGCTGCCGGCCTTTTAAAAAGGAATATGTTCTTTTCTCGTAAGGTTACGAAGTCATATCGGTTGGGAAATGCTGCTGCTGGAAGTTGATACAATGGGATTGCTAATGTTCTCAATAGAGGTTGTATACGGTGTATAGGTCAAGCGCGGCGGAGTCGGCGACGTACGCGCTGCTGGGCGAGTGCTGCGCGGCGCGGCTGCGCGCGCGCTACATGCTGCTTGTGACCAGCGCACTCATGATCACGCCCACCATATACTACGGTCAGTATTTGTTTTTACACAACTTAAAATGGCAAACAAGCTGACGGCCCACCTGATGGAAAGTGGTAACTATCGCCTATAGACATGAGCAGTATCACGGACATAACAGAGTATACTGTTTCGTTCATGATACCCCCATGCGTTGCCATTCCTGAGGACTCAGGTGTTATTCCTCTGTACCCAGTAAATTCACGCCATATCCCACCCTTCAAACCGAAACACAGCCATGCAAACACAACTGCTTCACGGTTGAAACACGAATGGGACAGAGGTACCAAAGCAATCGACTTTTGTACAAAGTCTCCCTCTGGTATGGTTTGTTATCGATGTATTCCATCATTGGAGAGTTAGTTGGCAATGTAAATTCCCACAAAAAGTCAAGTTTCTGAGAATATCTTCACCATCAGGCGTTATTTCTATCATTAATAGTATGGGGTTACCTGATAATGAAGCTGGACTTCTCGTTCCAATTTCTGGCGATCGTGTACCGGCCGTGGCGACTGCTCACTCAGGTCATGGCGCTGCCGCTGGGGCTAGGCGCGCTGATGCTGTATTTCTACAGCGAGAGTCCCAAATTCTTGGCCAACGTTGGACGAAACGAAGAAAGTATAGATGTTCTGAAGAGGATATATGTGAAGAATGGTGGTGATGAAAAAGACTTCCCTGTAAGTATTGCGACATTAATATGAGTAGGCCGGCAGCACACCTGCAATGCCGCTGGTGTTGTGGGTGATCATGGGCGGCGGTAGTCACTTACCATCAGGTGAGCCGCATGCTCGTTTGCCCCCTGTGTTGTAAAAAAAAAAAAGAGTAAAAATTTTATTAGATATGATAAATAGGGATGTAATGTAATATGTTTGTCGTTTTCGACAATTGTTTCATTTTCATCCGGAAGTCTTCTTCTAGGGGTTCTACGGTTTGCATTCCGATGCAATTCTCTTCCAGAAAAGATGCAGAAAGCGAAGCTCTTAGATACTGCTTGCATAATACGTTAGTTTCTCTACCTAGAGCTCTGAAATTCGGCCTGGAGTTAGTGGCCATCTGGGAAGATGGCTAACGAACTATCAACAAGATGGGGTCCTTAAGAGGGAAGTTATGAATTATGTAAAAATAATAATATAAATTCACTTATTTGTTTAAATTTGTGGTAAAACAAGAAGACAGTAGTAAATAAAATCCTATCATACTCTACTATTTCTAGTACAGAAATGACATCGAATAAACCTTTCTCTTTCCATGAAAAATCTGATAACTTACAAATTTTTTTCTAGGTTAAAGAAATATATCTGTTGGATGGTAGTACTGAGGAGGTGGGCGAGTTCTCGCTGCGTTCCCTGTGGACACAAATAGCGCCACTGTTCAAACCGCCTCTACTCACTAGAACTATACTATTATATTACTTGACTTTCGTCATTTATATCGCGTACGTAGGTATTAATTTTTTGTTTTTTTAAAGCTTTATGGTCCTAATTAATATTTGTTATTTTGTATCAATGAACGTGAGTTCTTTTTGAGATCCCAAAGAGGGTTGACGTCAGGCAGGTGGCCGGTCGTAAAACTAAAAAACCAAATCTTTTTGTAATATGGATAAAATCATATTACGCCGACCCCAAATGATTGGGATAAGGGTAGGAAGATGATGATAAACGTGAGTTCTTTTTGGGTATATATAATTGCGCCAATTTTGAAACGATTTTAACGGTTCATTCATTCATCAAGACGGTTGAGTTCCTTGTCTGTACCATAAGTACTGATTTTCTTTAATAGTGAAGTAATTTTTTTAAGTATATTGATAGTTTGATAATTAAAATAAAAGAAATACAAGCACATGTTGGTTTCATATCAATTTTGTTAAAATCGAAGTATATTTTTATGGAGCATAATCTACACAGTCATAAAAAATTGACAGAAAATATTTTTGTCCCAATATATTTTTTAATAATACTGCCAAGTATGGCAACTACTGGCAAAGCCCCCAAGGGGAGGCTTATGTTCAGCTATTATGATGATATTACTTAACTAATAAATTAATTTCATTCTAATTGTTCCGTCATTTTTATACTTTTCTCGATCATTTAAGATATTGTACAAAGATCCAAAATCAGCCCAAGAAGGCGCAAGATCACCTCGTTTGTTCGTGATTTACAGAAATAACAGCTTTGCCATAATCCTGCCGACGATCTTCAACGTTTTCTTCACGTCGTACGCGACGAGCGCGGCCGACGCCAGCTTCTGTGATCTGTTTGCTCTATCTAACTCTACCACAGTAGATGAAACTGAGACACAGGTATACCATCATCTTTATATGTATCTTTTTTATTTTATACAACATTGGCCAACCAAAGATATTTGGATCGCATACAGCAGTACCATGGACATAACAGTTTTCTGTTCCGCAACATGATACTCCCCATGCGTTGCCATTCCTGAGGACTCAGGTGTTATTCCTCTGTACAGAATAAACGTCGTTTAAACTGAAACACAGCCATGCAAACACAACTGCTTCACGGTTGAAACACGAATGGGATAGGTTCCTGCTCGACTTTATACAACATCTCCCGAAATCATCATCCATTGGCCAACCAAAGATATTTGGATCCCTTACAGCGGCCTGAGAGAATCAGTTTTCTGGTCTTCTGCAACAGTGTAAGTTAGGTGGAGTAGTCACATCAAGGTTAAGTACAGAATAAACGTCGTTTATGAATGTGCACAGTACTCCAGATATCACAGTAACAGGTACTGAGCGGTACTCCTCTTACAGTTCGTTTCTAAGTATTGAGGTGTTATGCTTCTGTACCCAGACGTCTCAGCGAAATCATCATCTTCCTACCCTTATTCCAATTATTATTTGGGATCGGCATAATATGATTTTATCCATATTACCATAGGATTTGGCTTATAGTTTTCCAACCGGCCGCCTACCTGACGTCAACCCTCTTTGGGAACAAAAACTTAGCGAAATCACGAAATAATAACCGGGAAATGTCTGTCTGTCGTTGAAGGTACAGGACGCGTCAGTGTGCACGGACACGATCAACGACCTGACGATCCTGGCGGGCTGCGTGCACGGCCTCTCGTTCTTCGTACTCAACGCGCTCATATCGCAGTGCGCGCACAAGCGGAAGGTACTTACAAATACCACACAACACATGACAAACTAAACGGAGCTTATTCTATCGTTATAAGAACAAGTACTTTTCGCACCGCAAATAAAAAAAAATACAAGACAATCCTAGTAAATTATTTTTCATATTTCACATTCGGGATGACGAAAGATTCTAATGATATGGTGGAATAAGTTACATGCATATTTACTTGAATCCTGTGCAGTGTACTCTGCAGTTTAGCCAAAAAGTGCTCTTCTGTCCTTCAGATCTCGCTTAGGTTGGGGACTACCCTAGTCACAAATTTATTCGTATTTAACAAATAACTAGAAGTTTTAGGAAATGGTGACTAAAAACTGACATTTTAAGACAGCTCGTGTGTTTATTTAAATTTGACTTTGTAACAAGCAGTCTTTGTCTTTATAATTTTGTAACTGAAGTCGCAAATAAAAATGGCGACTTCAATTACAAAATTTATAAGAGAGTAACGCGGGAGTAAACTCTAAAGATTAAAATGGATTATCCTCCAAATTGGTGACGTCAAAGCAAAATATACTATAAGAAATCAAGCAAAGTGGAACATCTTTTAGTAGTCGCATAAAAAAACGAGGGTTAATTACCAGGCAATGACCATCGTAATCATGGTGATAGCAGCGGCGGCGGCGGTGGGTCTGAACAACCTGCAGCAGCCCATCGCTGGGCTGGCCCTCTTCTACGTGTACCTCACCACCGCCATGGTGTTTGGGGTCGTCTCCTCGTATTTTGTGGACTTGTTCCCAACCTCTTACAGGTAATGTACATTACGATATATTCCTGTAGGCTAATTTTGATGTAGTCAAAAAAGAATCACGTCGAATAGACGGTAAATAGTACCAATTTAAAGTTCTTCAAAAGTCAATTATGCTGGTTGACATCAATACTTCGTACCTACTAGGAATGGCAACGCACGAGAAGTATCATCAGCGTTTCAGTAGGTTTTGTGATGCCCATAATGGATATTACTAATGTATGTATGTATGAATAGATAAGTGGTGATCTTAAAAATTTTCGAGTCCAGTGGAACACATGGCATGGTTCTGAGATTTAGTAAATTTATTTAAAATGAAATTCAAAGAGCAAAATCAGGGGTGCATAATAAGAATTAGAGGAGTCAAAAAGTTCGAAATCGATTTCTGTTTGTCACATCCACTGTGACAATATCATTGTCAACAGGGGCATGGTGGCATGCGTGGGCATGATGGTGGCGAGGCTGAGCGCGTTCTTCGGCACGAACATCGTGAGCCGAGCGATGACCGACCACTGCCACGAGACTATGTACGGTGCTGCTGGTTTGGTCATTAGTAAGTACCTTTAATCTGATAAAATGTAAGAAAGACTCTGTTTTCCGCACTTAGCCTCTCATTTGGGCCGTTGTGCGTTTTAATCTGATAAGTAAATATAAAAGTAAAATCCCAAAAGTACACAAATGTCGACAGATTACGGCAACTGCTTGCAACTGGCGAATTCTCCTTAAACTTAAAGCGAAAATTTACAAGAGAATATTCCAGCCTGATGTCTTGTACGGAACGGAGTGTTGGCCAGCAAAGGTGACGGATGAAAGACGACTTCATGTAGCTAAGATGGATATATGACGTGACAATTTCAATTCTCAATTAATATTACAGGTGGGGCGGTCGCAGCATCTTTCCTGCCTGCGGATACCAATGTCTTTCCGAATTAGCAATAGGGAATTTCCAAAATTCTTTAAAGCAATCATTAACATGACACTACGTTCAGAGTCAATAGCCAAATCCTGGTCGTCTATTAATTTGTCTATTTATTATCAAGACAAATTTAACGAATTTAAAGTTAACGAAGTTGTTGGCTTCGCCTGCGTAACCGGGAATTCGTCCTCACACGCTTGAACCTAAATGGTCACGTACAGTGCGGTTTCAAAGGAATTTTTTTCGCGAACGCTCAGGCTTTGGAATGAGCTCCATGCTGATGTTTTCCCTAGAGACTACAGTATGGGGTTCTTCAAAAAGGTTTAAGGTTTCTTCAGGATCGGCAATGCACACGTGGCGCCTCTAATGTTGCAAGCCTTAGTCTTAGGTTACAGTGGCCGTTTACCATCAGACGGGCTGTATGCTTGTTTGCCACTATATCCTTTTACATCCCCTATAGTACTTGATATAAACATTATTAACAAGCTGTTAAAACACAAAGGTAATATAAACAAACTCGCATTTACATTCATACTATTCATAAGGATTACAGGATACGGAGACATAACATGTCGTCATTTTAAACCGACTTTAAAAAAAGGAGGTTCGACTGTATATATTTTTTACATTTGTCTACCGATTTCGCTGTCAAATATGAACCGAATTTCAAGAGTTTTGATTTTTTTTATTTTAAAAGGTATAAGTTTCAATGGATACGGACTTGTCCTATCGATATTTCATCAAAATCGGTTCTGTAATTTGATTTTTAAATCAGAATAACTAATTTTGCTACGGTATACTTGTTTATCAAAGTGCAGGTGACTCAGGGTCATAGCAGTGTATGAGCGCAGCCTGAATGCAACTATATTAAAGGTGATATTTACAAGACTTACAAGGAATTATAATTAACAGTTTGTTTTGATGAAATTTAATGAAAATGTAATGGTGATGATGATGATGATGATGCCGATATCAGTCGATAACTGTCCACTGCGGAATATTGGCCTCCCCTTGCCAGTTTTGCCAGTAATTGCCACGCTTGGCAGGCAGATTGGCAACGGCAGTTAGGATTTGTCGATGTTTTAAGAGGGACGCTGCTGCCCATCCCTTGACCAATGATTAATAAATTGAATATATAATTTTATTAAATTTATTGAAAGACAGTATAATATAAGATGTATAATATTTAGAATTAAGTTATTAATATTGTAGAATAATATATATATATATATATATATATATATATATATATATATATATATATATATATATATATATATATATATATATATATATATATATATATATATATATATATATTAATAAATGGATTTATTTGCATTGGACGTTTTTATTTTTGTTTGTATTTATTTCGTACTAGCGGCCCGTCCCGCCGTCGCACGGGTGGACATTTTTACATTTTAAAAAGTGGCCATTAAGGATGCACACGCGACGGAAGCTTAAAAATGGAGTAACTTCTCCAGTTTTCCCAACATTTCCCCTCACTGCTCTGCTCCTATTTATCGCAGTGTGATGAAAAGTATACTATAACCTGTCCAGGAGTATGAAGAATAATTGTACCAAGTTTCGTTAAAATCCATCGAGTAGTTTTTGTTTCTATTACGAATATACAGACAGAGAGACAAAAATTTTACTGATTGCATTTTTGGCATCAGTATCACTAATCACCCGCTGATAGTCATTTTGGAAATATATTTCATGTACAGAATTGACCTCTCTACAGATTTATTATAAGTATAGATTACTGTACCTAATCAACTACGTTTGCAAAGTTTTTTTTTAATAGATGATAAAGGAAACCCCGCCAGTGGTAACGGTATACGCTGGCGTGACACCAGTGAGGTATGATAGGTTATTTTTCTATACAACTTAGAATGGCAAACAAGCTGACGGCCCACCTGATGGAAAGTGGTAACCGTCGCCTATAGACATGAGCAGTACCATGGACATAATGGAGTATACTGTTTCGCTCATGATACCCCCCATGCGTTGCCATTGCGTCAGGATGAAGAGGCAGGTCAGTTAGCCCATCGTGACGAATATACCTGGAACTGAGCACGGTGATTACTAGAAGGAACCACGCTGTATTTTTTTTTCAAGTGCAATATAAAAAAAATATATAAAGTAATCCCTTTATTCGTAAAAACTAAAATATTCTACAAATCTACTTCATCTGTTACACTGTTTTGTTACTTTCTTTCAAATTGGGAATTTAGTGTACAAGAAAGAGACAAAACAGTTCGATCTCTATTTTACGATATTACTACTTTCTATCACGTATTGATACTACAACATACAACATATTTACATAAATGCATCAAAATCGATTGAGCGTTTTTGGAGTTTTCTATTGTTGGATGAAAATGGAATGGTAACTCCGCCTGCGCTAACGGGATACGCTGGCGGAGCACCAGTGAAGGGTGATCGATGAGAATGAAAGCAGGCCAGTTAGCCCATCATGAAGAATTCATTAGGAATTAACTACGATAGTTTCCAGGGGGAAACGCGTGGAGGTCGACCTGGTTAGGTATATTGCTAGCAATGGGATTTATAATATCCATTACTAACATTCCCTTTCTCCCCCGGTTTTGGAGATTTACATGAATAAACATTGTAACACGGGATTTTTATATATGAAAAAGAAAAGAAGTAAGAAATTATTTTCTGAATTTTAACACGTTATATTGAACTTATATATACTTAGATATATTAAAACTCTAATGAACAAATAGTACATTACTGCAGCGGCCAGCAACTGAGGCATTGATGGACGAACGTGCAAATGTGAGCCGAGGTGTAGCCGAGGCACACATACGTGTGTCCATCAATTAGTTACCTTCTTGGTAGCCATGTTTCGAAATAAAAGGTCATTCCATTTTCAATTACAGGACAGATATGAGTTTACATAGTAATTTATCTGGCCGTAAAACACGACAGATATGGATTTTCATACAACTTTTGCCATCCGCTTCCCGCATGCCTACATGACCAGTACGGCAATTTTGATTTATCTCTAAGAAGATTGTCAAAATAATGCTCACGTTTCCAAGCATGTTTGAGAAAACGTCTTTATAAAAATAATAATAAAAAAAAACTATTTTTTTTTATTTCTTCTTTGTTTTCATCAGCCATTACACCGGAGTGGCGTGATGGCTTGACGTCAATATGTTAACAAAATAGTAATTTTACATGCGCCCAAGGACATTGAATAATTAATATTTACCGTATGGAATCCCCTGAAATATCATACATTTGTATATAGTAACTATATTTTTTTAAACTTCTAAATATAGTACCGATAATAATGTTAGTAATATAATAAAATTGTGACTAGACGGTGTCTGTACATGAGAGACATTTAAGAAGTTAAGATTTAAGTTTACCAGAGGGAGACTTTGTACAAAAGTCGATTGCTTGGGTACCTCTGTCCTATTCGTGTTTCAACCGTGAAGCAGTTGTGTTTGCAAGGCTGTGTTTTGGTTTGAAGGGTGGGATATGGCGTGAATTTACTGGGTACAGAGGAATAACATCTGAGTTCTTAGGAATGGCAACACATGGGGAGTGTCTATAGGCGACGGTTACCACTTTCCATCAGGTGGGCTGTCAGCTTGTTTGCCATTCTAAGTTGTATAGAAAAAAAGATGGCATATCTCATTATACTAGTACGATAATCAATGATTGTATCACAGAAAAACCAACTTAAACTGGAATAAAACCATTTATTTTGATTTATGGTAAAACTAAACTACTAAACCGATTTTGATAAAATTTCTATAAGAATAATCTGCAAGTATACCCTTTCAGATGAAAAATAATTTTTAAACACACAGTCGGGATTTAACACGATGAAAAAGCTTTTACAGCTAAATAGTACTTACTTACCTGCTTCCTCACAGTTCTGCTATGAGTACGTAATCACGACGTGGTACAGTACAATCCACGTCGAAACGTCAGCAATAATGAAGCAGGTGTGTACGTACTATTTACCTGTAAAAGCTTTTTCATAGCGTTAAGTCCTGTTTGTTTATTTAAAAATATGTGTAAACAAGGCAAAAGTTTAAAATTAAAAACTTAATTTTTCAAATCGGTTTAACAACTGACGTAGTTTTTAGGTGACAAACAAAAAAAAAATACAAACGAATCGAGAACCTTCTACTTTCGGTTGAAAAGATAGAAGACTCGAATTAAATCCAATTGAACAAATGACCGGCTAAATGATAAAAAGTGATAACCGTAGCCTGTAAACATGAACAGCGCTATAGACGTTACAGAATATACTGCGATACCCATGTTACTTTTCAAGTGTTGCCATTCCTAGGGACTATGGAGTTTGTTAGATCCCTAGGGATCCCTTCCATCTTAGAGATTACTTAAAAAAAAAAATTACAAATGCGGTCACTTGCAAACCATTACATAAAGTGAGAATTCTTTTCTATCGCTTTTCTCAAGAGCGACAATGAAGCATACGGCCCACCTGATTGCAACTAGACTCGCGTCGTCCTTTTAATATTACTCAGCCGTCAATTGCTTTATTACTGACCACGGCTGTAATGCGCTATTATAGAACACGTCACAGGATGGTAAATCCAATTGTGCGTAGGTGGTCGTGATAATGATCTTCCTCCGTCGTTTGGCCATACTCTCGTATCCCGTTGTTTATCAAGGTAGAAGGTATACGGTCAAAAAGACACGAATATATTGATCTAAGAAAAATTTACGTCTGCATTTTGATGTTTGTCCTGAGCCTATCGTAACGATAAAAAGGAAAAAGTTTTATTGTAACTTTTTTTTTTATATAAAACAATAAAAACAATATGGACGACAATCTTTGAATGAGCAGTAATCGTGTTTTGTGAATTAACCCGCTAATGATGCTTCGTTTATACATAACCTTAGCCTTAAACTCTGTGTCAGCTTGTGTTCATACAAAATCATATTTTAAGTTTGTAAAAAAATTGTTACTGCTACGGTAATGTTGGTTGACAGGCCTCCAAGTGTGGAAGGTTTTGGGAGTGTGCTGAAATAACAAGACAGTTATCGAATTTAACTATTTTTTTATTTGATTTATTTGTTTATGTGAAATTAAATTATATAATTCATTTAAAGTGTGACTTCAATAAAATTGTAATTAATTAAAGTGTTAATGATTGTGGTAAGTGTTTATTTAATTTTTTTTTTAAATAAGTTTCAATTTTAGCAAATTTATTTACGCCCATTCTTGATTTAAAAAATTTGTTAAGTCAAATGACGTTCTCAATTAATAAATTACTTATTTAAAATTAAAATTGTTTCTTTCTATTTAAATCTATTTTTTGCATTGTTTTTTTTTTCAAACTACAACCATAAACGAAATTTTCATTTTCAGTATTTTTTAATTATAAATATTTTTAAATTATCACCAAATTCGTCAAGCAGTTTCAGCTAAAAAAAAACAATCACGAATCTCGACTTTTAAAAGAAATTTGACTGTTTTTGATATGGTAATTTAGCCTATGGCACGTCTCATGAAACATATTAGATTGCGTGGAATATTAAACAAATTTCTAAATTTATATCTCATACTAGTACATAAGAGTCTTCATAAAACGTCACTGTAACTAGCTACATTTGAAGTCATCACATGAACCTGAAGTACACCAGTTTACAACCATCAACGAGAGTTTAACTCTCCTCCAAACTTTCTTATTGCAGCGTGAATGCAAACTAGTCGTGCCTATTTTAAATAATGTAAAATCTGTAATTACTGTATTTATAATAATATAATTAACTTAGATTGTATAGGTAAAGCATCGAGCTTCAAAAACGGGTCTACTTTTTGTCAGCCAATTATGAAATTAGCTAACTCGTTTTTTACTATATATTTACGGATAAAATGTATATTGACGTATTATTTAATAAATAAAATGAGTGTTAACGAATTAAAAAGGTGCAGAATTTATAAGACATAATGAATATAGAAGGTATAAAGGAATCACTCATAACTATTTATCACGCAAAATTGTATGAAAATGTGAACCCGTTTTTTTTTAAACATTTCAGTGGAGACACTTATATAATCTAAGATAATTGTACACCGCTTTACCCGCTGACGTTGATGCTCCTTTACACTTTGGGTGTTGCTGGAAGAGAACTCTTTTAACTCTAAGCTCGCCTTTGTACATTTGATTAGCTCTATCATATTTTTCCATATAATTAGTGTGTACAATAAAGTATTAAATAAAAAATAAAATAAAACTACCGTAGTATTTAAACATATATATATATATATATATATATATATATATATATATATATATATATATATATATATATATATATATATAGAAACGAGAGATAAATTTTATGAAATAAAATATTGTATACGAGGTCTGTCCGGATTCGTATAAAAGTGTTCTGGAATGCGAGAAAGAGGAGTGGGGAGGCCAGGTAAGCGCAGGACCCCTTCCTTATAACAATGCTTCATTCTGGTCTGTGCGGTGTATCTGTGAATAAACGAAACCCCGTCGGCATATTAAATAAAAAATAAAATAAAACTCAGAACAGTTTATGGGGATGATGCTGTGAAGGAACCATCCACAAGTGAGCTAAAATATATATAGATTCAGAGAGGGCATATATATATATATATATATATATATATATATATATATATATATATATATATATATATATATATATATATATATATATATATATAAAAAAAGCTACGACGGGGCAGCTGAGAAACCTAAACCAGAGGACTAAATTTTATGAAATAAAATTGATTTACCTGAATAATTGTAAAATAAAATTTTTAAAAAAACTTTTATACGTATATATGTCCAATAATCTCACTAATATAATAAAATTGTAACTACATAGATAAAGACCGACATGGAAGATATTTAAGAAAAATTAATACGAAGTGTCAATCGAAGGCAAAACAATCATTGTTATATATTTTTTCCTTATTTTTTTTATACAACTTAGAATGGCAAACAAGCTAACGGCCCACCTGATGGAAATTAGTAACCGTTGCCTACAGACATGAGCAGTGGCGCGGACATAACAGAGTATACTGTTTCGTCCATGATCCCCCTCTCCCCCATGCGTTGCCATTCCTGATGACTCAGGTGTTATTCCTCTGTACCCTGTAAATTCACGCCATATCCCATCCTTCAAACCGAAACACAGCCATGTAAACACAACTGCTTCACGGTAGAAACACGAATGGGACAGAGGTAGCCAAGCAATCGACTTTTGTACAAAGTCTCCCTCTGGTAGACTATCTATCTTGTATGTTTGTTTCGGCATTACGCAAAATCTACTGAACCAAAATGGATGCAGTTATCACAGTTGTGTTCCTGAAGGTGGAACTTAGAATCTGGTGTGTACATCTAGAAGTTAACAATTATATTGATTGTCTGTCTTCTGATATCCACGCAAACAAGATAGGGGGCGAAAAACTATTGATAAAATGTAAAAATATTTTTTATGGATCTTTCGAGTGTTACAATCACCACGAAAGTAACATGCAAATGCCTCTGATCAGCCCTTATCATCGTTAGAAGTTGTAATCGTGAGCATATTTAATTTAATTTAATTCTTTATTGTACACACTAGTTTTAAAAATAAGACAGAGATAAGATGAGATGAGATGTCTCATCAAAATTTATAACTTTTTAATTATGTGTGTATCTAGATGTGTGTATCTGTATATATGTGTGTGTATGTATCTATATATATATATATATATATATATATATATATATATATATATATATATATATATATATATATGTGTGTGTATGTATGTATGTGTATGTATGTATTTTGCATATATAAAAACCGATCATTGTCATCACGCAAATGTGAGAACGATTCATGGCTTAACATAGATATAAATTTGATTATGTATTGACTGTAATTCAGCTGTACGTTTTCCAATAAATAAATAAATAAATAAATAATCAAAAGTACAAAGGCGAGCTTAACTCTGATAGAGTTTATTGACCAGTCATGACAGTATTTTGTCAGAAATAAAAAGAAAGAAGATATTTTTTTAGTAATTAAAAAAAAAAAGCAGAAATTCATTACAGATTCCATTTTCAAAGTTATAGTAATTATATAATTTATTTTCAGATATTTTATATAAAGTAATTAATTATAACTGAAAAAAGAAATACAAATGGATTACATTAGCAAAAATAGACGTTTCAATCCGCAGAGCCCGAGCAGGAGTAAGTATCACATGTTTATTTAATACTAGTGATCCGGCCCGTTTTTGCTCGAGTAAATAGAATTTTCGAAAATAATATATAGCCTCTTTTACTTGCTGATAATGTAGCTTTCTAAAGGTGAAGGAATTTTTAAATTCGATTGAATAGTTTTCGAGTTTTGGTAATAGAAATTAGTGTCACACAATCACACTGTTTCTCTGATCATCAAGCCAGGATACTGTGTGTTATGTGGAACCAGACGACCAATATCTGGGAACACAAAATAAAACACCCAGAACCGAGACAATACAGGAAAGTTCATTTCCTAAACTAGCCCGACCGAAAATCGAATCTGGGCCCACATTAGGCCTACCACTGCATCACGGAGGTTCTTTTAATGGATGATAATGGAATGGTAACTGCGCCTGCACTACATACACTGGCGGGGTACCAATGATGGATGATAAGAGAGAATGAAAAGGCAGGTCAATTAGCCCACGCATAGGTCGACCTGATAGAGTATATTGCTGGCAATGGGACTGGTAGTCCGCATTACTAACAACCCCCCCCCCCCTCTCCCAGCTGCCACGGAGGTTGACGTAATGAAATGAAATGAAATGAAATGAAATGAAATGAAATGAAATGAAATGAAATGAAATGAAATTATATGAAATGAAATGAAATTATATGAAATTTATTTGTTATAAAAGTAGTACATAATAGATGGTATGGTTATTTATGTTATATAGATCTCACTTTTATGTCATTGTACGATAACTTCCATGACGCAGTAAGTTACAAGCGATTATCTATGTATATAGACTCCTACTAGAGCCATCACGTACTTATTTCGGACCCAAAAGAAACCTAGTTTTATGCATTTAACAAAGAGACCCGTACTGTTGGCTGGACTTGAGAAAACTTTTTGTTTTATACAACTTAGAATGGCAAACAAGCTGACGTCCCACCTGATGGAAAGTGGTAACCGTCGCCTATAGACATGAGCAGTACCATGGACATAACATATACTGTTTCGCCCATGATGCCCATACGCCCATGATACCCCCCATGCGTTGCCATTCCTGAGGACTCAGGTGTTATACCTCTGTACCCAGTAAATTCACGCCATATCCCACCCTTTAAACCGAAACACAGCTATGCAAACACATGGTCCTCGCGAGATTACTCCTGCTATCACATGACTTATAAACTTTACAACCCAGGAAGAAATTGTATAAAATTTTCCTATTGGGTACCTCTGACCAAATATATCTAAATAAAAACGTTTAAGATGAAAAAATATACCTAAATAGGTATATATTTTCGTGTTTTTGCCGCGCAGCAGGTATGCTTGCATCGTTGCATCTCGCTTTAAACTGTGCGATAAGTCAGGGAAATTATAGGATACGAAGGCATGACGTACTGTGTGGTCCCCTTTTGATGGGAATCCCGTGGATGTCGTAAAAGGCGGCTAAGGAAGAGCTAGGGATGAGTAGCAGCGACCCTCTTAAAACATCTCCAAAGACCGTCTGCGGTTGCCAATCTGCCTGTCAAGCGTGGCAACTACTGGCAAAGCCTGCCTTATGGGGGAGGCTTATGTTCAGCAGTGGACAGTTAAAAGCTGATATAATGAAAGCATAACATGTTAGTTTTCAGGAATAACGATTCATGTGGACACCATAAGTTGTCACCTTATTTGCTATGCCATATTGTATAAAAACCCAAAACAAATTGTCTCTGCATTGCAAGAGTCAATAATAATTTGATTTTTTAAGCGCATAACGTATTTTCTAATGATTGTTAATAGAAAAATACTTACACATGTTATTTTGTTTTTCAGAAAAGCTACTGATATGTTTCTCTATAGGAATCAGTAGCTTAATAATAGGAATTGTGCTGATGACCATTGATCCTGTTTTAATCATAGCTCAGTATGTAAGTACACCTATATTTGTTGATATTTTTGTGTTCCTATTTATTAAATCATGCCCCTATTTATTAGATCCAACCGGTCGACAGGGGGGAAAGGGATCGTTTGTGATTGGGTCTAATTTCCCCCATTATTAGCAATGCATATATAATATAAATATATAAAATGAGTCGTGCTGCTGGACCTGCTTATGGATATGGTGGCTTTAGTCGTTAGTTGTTAAGCATTTAATAATAGTTGTAAGCTATATATATATATATATATATATATATATATATATATATATATATATATATATATATATATATATATATATATATATATATATATATATATATGCTGTGTTTGCCTATAAACAGTTGTTACACTTAGTTCTAAGCTCCATGCTTGTATGTATATTTACATTATTTTGTGGAAACAATTGTTGGTGAAACTAAATAAATAAATAAATATCGACCTAATAGGATAGAGTAGATTGTTAGCAATAGGATAACTAATCCCCATTACTGATAATCCTTTCCCCCCGGGGGAGAGTTGGCTAGTAATCCTCTTAAAATATCAACATAACCTAACTGCAATTATGAACCCGCTGTGGAAAATTGATTTTTTATTCAAAAGCATATATTTACATATCGGCTCATAGAAATTTTATCAAAATCGATTCACTAATTTAATTTTTAAATCAAAATTACCTTTTTTGCCATATTTGAAGTTCTTTTTTTTTAACACAAACCTTAATTACAGATAAGTCGCGTGGCCAAAGACACTGTAGTTCATAAAGCGCTCTCAAACGAGATGTCCGGAGTATTCGTTGACACGTATTTGTTCAACGTGACTAACCCTGAGGAGTTCTTGTCTGGGGAGCATGACAAGTTGAAGGTGGAGGAAGTCGGCCCATTTACTTATCAGTTAGTTATCTTCTATAGTTACAACTGAATATGAAGTTTTTTATATGAAAACCTTTTCTTCTTTAATGCAATAACTGCAGGTTTAATTTACGTGTAATTAGATCGAAAAAGCTCGACTAGTTTAGGAATCAATTCGTGATCCTTAATCATGAGCGATGCATGATTCATATGATATCATGTAAGGTCTATTCCATATTTTCCTACTTACCTATTTCCAAGCTTGTCATTATTAAGATATTATGACTATGGGGATATTTTGTTAAATAGTTCTATGCATTTTACAGAGAAATACGTTCGCAAGAGGATTTAGAGTTGGTACCTGAGGCGGGCCTGATGAGGTACTCTCCTCGGACTAAAACTGTATTCGTACCTGAGAAGTCAATAGCACATCCCAAGGACGTCATGGTCACCATGCCAAATATTGCTTACTTGGTACATCATGTTCATTTATCCTTAAATACACCAAAGAGTTTTGAACAGCGCTAAATAATATGGAACATCAATTGATATACTTCATTCATGGGACTAAATGTGCAAATAGTCTTTGTTATGGGACGTAACTATGAATGAATAAAAATTTATTTCAATAATCCAAATTCAAATTTGGCTGCCAGTAATAACAATAATAAAATAACAACAAAAAAAAAAACAAATTTGCACATAAATATCATAACAAGGTCTAGTTGAATTCTCTCAGTGTTATGGACAAGAAAGAGGACGCTAATTCAGTTTAAAGTTATTGCAGAAGCAGAAACACCGATTTTCAAATAGCGCCTCGTCTTGTCTGGTCCCTGAAAATTAAAAATTAACATTTAGAGTAACATAATACGCAAACATGTACAAAACAGTAGGCAAGTAACGAAGATATCAGAAAAAAAAACAGCAAAATAAAAACTATGCAATTTTTTATGATGGAACGGCAAATAAAGTGATTCATTAAGGGCACCATGGGCATACTAGAATATACTGTGCCTATGGTGCCATTCCTGAGGACTATGGTGTTTTTTACGAGTAAGAATGGAATGGTAACCTCGCCTGCGCTGTCGGTATACCCTGGCGGTGCACCAATGAAGAATGATAGGTGAGGAGAAAAGCAGGTCAGTTAGCCCGTTGTGACCAATTTTACAAGAATTAACTACGATAGTTTGCAAGGGGAACTGCGTGGAGGTGGACAATCCTTTTTCGGATCCAGACTATGGTGTTATATTCCAACCATTAAACCGAAACAACTATAAAAACATGTTTTTTTATGCAACTTAGAATGACAAACTTAGAAAGTAATAACCGTCACCTATAGACATGAGCAGTACCATGGACATAACAGTGTATACTGTCGCCCATGATACCTCCCATACGTTACCATTCCTGAGGACTCAGGTGTTATTCCTCTGTACCCTATAAATTCACTGTCATATCCCACCATTCAAACCGAAACACAGCCATGCAAACACAACTGCTTCACGGTAGAAACACGAATGGGCCAGAGGTATCCAAGTTGATGACTTTTGTATAGTCTCTCTTTATTTATATGACAGAGCATGACTTCAATGGTCAGTACAATGCCCTTCTTCACCAAAATGGGCTTCAACCTGTTGGCGATGCGACTCAACTCTCAGTCTATAAAGACGATGACTGTATTCGACTACTTGTGGGGCTATAAGGAAGATCTCATTACGCTCGGCAACAACTTCCTGCCCGGCTGGATCGGTTTTGGTAAAATGGGAATATTGGATAGGGTAAGTTGTTATTTATGGATGAACTAACGACCCTTCCCGGCTTGTCATGATTTTTTTTTAATATATAAAACATAATATGTTATTTGCTTATAATGTAGCTTTCTGTAAGTGAAAATATTTAAAATTGGTTAAATATAGGTTTTAACCGGTTTCATTCTGCTATTCCGGTTGCTGACAAATTCAATAAATTAAAAACCACGAGAATTGGTTCAGCCGTTCTCGAGTTGTAAATGTTCGAACAAACATATTTGCTCTTTCTAATATTAGTTTAGATGACATTCGAGTATTTTTATAATCTTTTCATATATAGAAATTTTGTGGCACGGTTTTTGTTTACGCTAATCTCCGAAACCGCTCAACGAATATCAGATAATTTTTATAAATTCTTATTGTTTACTCCATAAGAAAAAAAAAATTACCTGATAGATTACGCTAAGGAACAAAATAACATTTGTCTAGTCAGCAAATTATATTATAATTATTTAGAATTAAACTCCATGTTACAAACATTACAGCTTTCGTCGACTAATTATTAACTCTCTTGCATTATAATTCGATAGGTCATTAAATATATTTAGTTTTTTTTTATTTTATTAAATTGGATTTTTATCTTTTCTCTCTCTCTCTGTTTTTCTGTATGTCCTTCATGTGTCCAACCTCGGTTCGAACCTGCATAAAGCAATAAACATACAAAAAATCACAGTAATCCAAATAATTTGCAGATGTACGACAACACAGTGGACTATCGTATCGATTTGGGCGCCACTAACGATGACAAGTTTGAAATAAAAAAAATGAACGGCAGAGATCGACTTACTGTATGGGACGATAAGGATCCTGATAAAAGGTACATTTTAGTACTCAGGGTTGGAGTTGGTGAAATAGAAAGGTGGTTTACTGAACTTAATTGCCGTGTGGTCCCTGCATAGAATAGGTAACCGCTTCCTTTACCATGGGCGTAGTAAGAGTCGACTAAGGAAGAGCGAGGAATAAGGGTAGCAGCGTCCCGCTTAAAACATCTTAAAAGCCTAACTATGATTGTCAATCCGCTTGCCAAGCGTGGCAACTAGTGACAAAACTTCTCTTATGAGGAAGGCTTATGTTCAGCAGTGGACAGTTACCGGCTGAAATAATAATAATAAAAACACTGAACCTAAAGCGAATAATAACATTACATTGGATGCAAAAGTGAAGGTGTAGGTAGTCCGCACACCGCCGGTGCATCAACGGATGCTTTCACATTTAGTAAACGTAATATCCGGACTTCTAGACGATCGTCTAAAACTTTCCATTGGGAGGATCACCAAGCAATAGTTTGGTTGTAATGATTTTATCGAATAGAAATAACTTATATGTTAATATAACTAGATACAACACATAAGCTTAAACCACAGAGAAATACCAACGACAAACAGAGCAGCAGCGAACAATATTAGTTTCAAAGCATTTAAAACTACAAGTGAATTAATGGAATCCTGTTCTTTAATTATTAAGAGCAACGTACTACCGGGAAGAAGTAATTGTTAGTGTCGATACAGAATCAATCCGACAAGACAATCCGCGATATCTGATTGAGTTTTAAATTGTTTGCAGATCCAAATGCAATGAGTTTCACAACGCCTACGAGGGTATTGCATATCCGGCAAATATGAACCCAGAAAAAGAGATCAGGATATACAGAAATGTCCTTTGTCGATTTCTGGAGCTGGACTTCGTTGAGACTAGACCCATGGAACGAGGCGTCGACGGTCTGGTGTACAGGATAAGCAATAGAACGTTTACACTGAATCCTGACACGGAATGCTTATGCAGGAGAGGAATGTGTATTGAAGGAATATCAGATTTATCTCCATGTTTTTATGGTACTATACAAAAATACGTATTTCTTAGATTAATAACATTTAGTTAGATTGTTACTTTACAAACACCAAAAACTTTTTCTTCGCTAGAAGAAGACTTTGTACAAAAGTTGTCTGTTCGAATACCTTTGTCCTATTCGTGTTCTGCGTTTGCCGGCTGCTGCTTGGATAGCTGTGTTTCGATTTGAATTTTGGGATATATCATATGAGTGGCACAGTGTATGCTGTAACGTTCATAGTGCTGTCATGTCTATATGCGATGATTACCACTTTAGTACAAGGTCTCCCTCTACTTTTATCTCTTACACTATTGCTATTGCTTGCTTACCTTGTTCAGCTTGTTTGCTTTTGAATATTTATATGTAGTTATAATTGTTATTTTAGGACTCCCGTTATCTCTATCCGCCGCTCACTTTACTGGAGCTAACCCTAAACTGTACGATCGTATTGAAGGGATGAAACCAGATCCTAAGCGGTTTTCGAGTGAGTTTATTATTGAGCCGGTAAGTAGCTACAACATTAAAAGTTATTACCATAATTTATATTCTTCTCTATTCCAAATACTAACTGTATATCAAATTTCATGAAGGTTGGTTGAGCTATTAAGGCGCTAAGATGTAAATAAACAAATGAACTGAATTGGGTTAGCTTAACCCTGTATTAAATTTTATTTAAATTAATTTGAAAGCTTTCACTGGAAAGAGAAACAAACATCCATCTGTTCATACATCCACACAAACTTTCGCGTTTATTAATTCTATTAAAATTAGTAAGAGAATTCTGTAATATGATCATGTCTATATATCAGAAATAGTTGTAAAGTATATCATAACATTATGTTTCAATTTCTAACATTTTATGGCTATCAAAACAAATTTCAGTTTCCATGTTACGCGATGTCTTCATCCATTCTCATCTGATTTTAATGATTCATTTTAATTGAAAAATATCACCTATTGATCCTATACTCATATTGTCAATATTAAAATAGTTTTTTTAAGGTAAATTTCAAAGTATTAAATTAGTGTACTTTTACTTATTATTTGACGTGTACCTGTACAAAGGGTGTCGAATATTTTCAGATTTGATTCAATGTCATTATGTTTACTTTTTCCAGAAAATCGGTATGGTGCTGGACACATTTTTCTCTGTGCAAGTGAATATTGTAATGAGAGACGTCCGGTTCAACGACCTGGCCAAGAAGTTCGCTGATATTGTTATACCGGTTGCGTTTTTCACAATTGTAAGTTGTATAATATTGAAAAATAAAAGAAATTCTAATTGTTCATCTATATCTAGAGTCAACATTTCTTAGATAGCCCTACGTGGTCCCCGCATAGAATACTACTCGTGGCTATTTGCGAGTCATATGCTGCATGCCACGGACTGATATACAATGCTGTGAAAAGTGTGGTCATGGTCTTTGAGAGCAAAGGCAAAAACTCAATAGGCTTTCCAGATATTAAACTTAAGGGTATAGCGCTGAAGAGGGTGTATAAATTTAAATATTTAGGACATCAATTGGCCTCGCATCTCAAAGATGATGATGACATTGAACGGGAGCGGAGGGCGCTGGCGGTGAGGGCGAGTATGATAGCACGCAGGTTTGCGCGGTGCTCTGGACAAGTTAAAATTACGTTATTTAGATCACATTGCACATCTTTCTATGCATGCAACCTGTGGGCTGTATATACTCAAAAATCCTACAGCGACCTCCGTATCCAATATAATAACGCGTTCAGGGTGTTGATGGGGCTGCCACGATTCTGCAGCGCGTCAGGGATGTTCGCTGAGCATCGTGTAGATTGTTTTTATGCCACGATGCGAAAAAGGTGTGCATCCCTGGTGCGCAGAGTACGTGCCAGCACCAACAGCATCCTGAGTATGATAGCAAGCAGGCTGGACTGTGTGTACGTTAATCACTGCTGCGCAAGTTCCAATGGAATTGTGCAGCGGTGATTATCTGTATACTGCTTAATATACGAGGTTTGTCCGGAAAGTACGTATAAAAGTTTTTTAAAAATTTTATTTTACAATTATTCAGGTAAATCAATTTTATCCCCTTCAAAGTACTCCCCCTGTGACATAATGCACTTGTGCCAACGCCGTTTCCACTGTGAGAAGGCTCCTGAAAGTCCTCTGGTTGTAGGTTTCTCAGCTGCCCCGTCGTAGCTTTTTTTATCTCATTTATGTCCCCCAAATGCCGCCCCCGAAGTACCAATGTGGTTTTTGGGAACAAGAAGAAGTCACACGGGGCCAAATCCGGCGAATAGGGGGGTGTTCGGTCACCGTAATGGAATTTTTACTCAAAAACTCACGGAACGATCTTGGCGCAAATTTTTTTCATTTGAAGTTCGTTTCTTAGAATTTCGTGGACCACGGTTTTGCCCAAATTAAGCTCTTCAGCCACCTGTCTGACCGTTAAACGACGGTCCCCATTAACACAAGTTCGAATTCTTTCCACGTTTTCGTCGGAATGTGAAGTGGAAGGACGTCCTGAACGTGGGTCATCTTGAACGCTTTCTCGGCCCTCTCTGAATCTTTTTAGCCACTTGTGGACGGTTGGTTCCTTCACAGCATCATCCCCATAAACTGTTCTGAGATCGTTTTCACGGCCATTCTTGCCGAGTTTCGAGAGAAACTTGATTACGACGCGCTGCTCTTCAACGGAAGCGGGCTCCATGCCGACGGGGTTTCGTTAAGAGGTAACTTCACAGATGGCGTGACAAGCCAGTTCGCACCGCACGGCGGTCAGACCAGAACTGAAGCATTGTTAGGGACATAAGGAAGGGGTCCTGCGCTTACCTGGCCTCCCCACTCCTCTTTCTCGCATTCCAGAACACTTTTATACGAACTTTCCGGACAGACCTCGTATTGTATGTGTGTATGTGTGTGTGTGTGTATGTGTGTGTGTGTGTATTGTGTATGTAAATTTACTAACATTAGTTTTTAAGAATATTGTTACTAATAAATATTTAATGGACCAAAAAGTCTGAAATAAAAATTATTATTATTATTATTATTATAGAATACGCCACCTCTTCTTTTCTCGTGATTGTCGTAACAGGCGACTAAGGGAACTTAATGGTCGAGAGATGAACAGCAGCGTCCCTTTTTTTAAGAATTAGTACTAGTACCCAGTGGTTGCCATACTTGGCAGGCGGATTGGCAGCTGCATTTTGACTTTGATGGTAGTTTAAGGGGGATGCTGCATTAAGTTCCATTAGTCGTCTCTTACGATGCTTACGGAAAAGGAAGGGTGGCTAATTCTATGCCGGGACTACACGGATAACACTCCATTTGAATGAATGCTAATAGTTTCGAATTCTCCTTTTAGGTACTGGTATAATTTTCTGTCAAGAATTAGGATGAGATTTATAATATCACCAAATTCTTTTTTCAGTACCAACCACCGTTGACAAAAGAAAACCATCAAACTCTGCAACTTATGTACATCAGTGGACCTTACATCACTCTGGGTGTTGCCATCACGCTACTTCTACTATCCGCTGTGACGTTATCATACTGGATACGCATGATGTACTGGAACTGGCTGTGCAGACAGGACAGAGGCATCGCCTTCCAAACCCCAAGCACTTCAAAACTTAAGGGAGGATTTTTAACATCGGCTTTGCCTCTTTTACGCTAAGATAACTAAGATAAATCGTAATAAGTCTGTCCAGCATTTTTCGATGACCAACGTAACGCAGTGGTGAGCCTGCTCTACGTGAATGGGGTCCCAGGTTGGATATGCAGTCGGGGCAATTTAGGAAACAAATTTATCACTATTGACCCGAGTATTGGTGTTTTGGGCTGTGACTCCAGATGTTTGTTGCCTGGTACTTTATAACACAGGGTATCTTAGCTTGAGATGCAAGCTATTTTTGTGATTGTAACTGATTGTACATTATTACTATTGATTTTGTAAAATGGCTGATATTTATAAGTATTATATCGAAGACAGGAACTGCTATTGATAGGTACATATTTTACATTGTTGTATCAGTCATTAATCGTTCACTGCTGAACATACCCTTCTCCATAAGGAGGGTTTTCCCAGTAGGTGCTACGCTTGGCTGGCGAGTTGGCAATTGCAGTTTGGGTTTTGGTGATGTTCTAAGAGGGACGCTACTGCCCGTCCCTCCAATTTAAGCTTCCTTAATCGTCTCTTACGATACTCACGGGAAAAGAAGGTGTGGCCTATCCTATGTGGGGATCTACACGGCGATATATATTTACATTACAGGGAAGAAAGTATTTAGACAGGCACACGTGTCCAAACTACTAAATGCCTTTAATATTGTGTAGGTGTGTGGTAGGTTCTTAGGTTATTTTAAGTATCTATTTAGACATAGGATGACTGAAATAGCAGATGAAACATATTTCGCGGACATACAATGTTTTCCAGGAGTTCTCCCGTAGAAGCTTTGTTTTTATACCACGAAGGTAGCAAACAAGGATACAGCGCGTCTGATGGTAAACGGTCACTGTAGTATGTGGACGCCTGCAACACTAGGGGTGTCACGTGCACGTTGCCGATCCTGAAGAAACCTTAATACGTCTTTCTTGAAGAACCCCATACTGTAGTCTCTAGGGAACACCTCGGCAGGGAGCTTATTCTACAGCCTGAGCATTCGCAGGAGAAAATTTCTTTGAAACTGCACTGTACACGACCAGGTTTGAGCGTGTAAGGATGAATTCCTTGTCGATGACGAGCGGTGCGATGGTAAAATTATTTCGAACATTATTATTTTGGAATCGAAATATGGGTCGATAAAAAATTATTATTGCATCGAATTATACAGTAAAAGGACGGAGAAAGGAAGATGGTACACGTGCAGTCGGATGAAAAAATAGACCTGTTTTTGGTAAATCATTTGTGTATAATGAAATTATGCTTATAAAAAATGAGGAAAATGTAGACTACGTCTCTAGAAGGACGCTATGATTTTTTTTTATACAACTTCGAATGGCAAACAAGCTGACGGCCCACCTGATGGAAAGTGGTAACCGTCGCCTATAGACATAAGCAGTACCATGGACATAACAGAGTATACTGTTTCGCCCATGATACCCCCCATGCGTTGCCATTCTTGAGGACTCAGGTGTTATTCCTCTGTACCCAGTAAATTCACGCCATATCCCACCTTTCAAACCGAAACACAGCCATGCAAACACAACTGCTTCACGGTTGAAACACGAATGGAACAGAGGTACCCAAGCAATCGATATTTTCGAATTTCGTCTTCCAATACTATAGTTTGTTGAGGTTTATTTACACTCCCTTCGTATACTCATAGCACAGGTTTATTTTAATGGGTGAACAAGGAATAGTGACCACGCCTGCACTATCAGTATATGCTGGAGTGGCACCAGCAAGGGTTGACAGATGAGAGCAGGTCAGTTGGCCCATCGTGACGTATTCAAAGAGAATTAACCACGATGGTTGCTAGAAGGAACCTCGTGGATGGCAACCTGATAGGATATATTGCTAGCAATGGGGCCTAGCAATTGCATAGCAATGAAACCCTAGTTTTATTATTAACAATCCCTCTTCCCCCATAATATCGGGTTAGGAGTTTCCAAGCTCTAGGTATTATAATGTTTTGAAGATATTTACTTAGTTATTAGATGTTTTTTTTGTATTGTAGTTGGAATTTTTACCATTTACCTCGCTATCATGGTGTCACATTTGTTTTTTTACGTTTACAACGCCATCTAGTATTCCTATGGTACGGTATTGTTGTAGTATAAGAAAGAAAATGATGTTGTATACAAATTAAATTTATCAGTTTTTATTCGAGAAATCAGAAGATTTTTAAAATGGACAGACTTTGAAATATTTCATAAAAGGTTTTCTTTTTTAATTTTGTGAGCCTCGAAGCAGAAAGAATATTTTTTGTCTACTTTCAGCTTTCAAGGGCACTTCAATAAAATGCATTTAAAAAAAATCTTTTTATTATTTTTTTTTTATTAATATTTGCAATTAACATCTCAATTATAATAGTTTTAGAATGTTTTAAGGAACTCGCTTAAAGGAATCTCATAGGTGTAGCAAAATGTTAGTAATCGACGTTGTTTATTTTATTTGTGGTTATCACATGCTCAATCGAATGTTAAAATTATTAATTATTATATATTCATTCTAAGTTTTATATATATATATATATATATATATATATATATATATATATATATATATATATATATATATATATATATATATATATATATATATATATATATATATATATATATATATATATATATATATACTGCGTCGACCCCAAACAAACGGGATAATTTAATTTGCCAATGCACAACAGATGCCAATAAGTTTTGTCACATGGCCCTTATAATGTCAAATGTCTGTTTAAAGCAAATAAATATTACATTTCATTACTACTTTTATTTGTAGCACATAGGCACTGAAGTAGATAAGCTAAGTTTTGAAGTAAATAGTAAATTTTGAAGCTAAATTTGTTTTTTATGCAACTTAGAATGGTCAACAAGCTGACAGCCGACCTGATGGAAAGTGGTAACCGTCGCCTATAAACGTGAGCAGTATCATAGACATAACAGCGTATACTGTTTCGCCCATGAATCCCTCCATAACCTGTAGACATAATGGAAAACTTTAAATATGGAAGTAAAAGTAAATATTGAAAATAGTTTATTTTAAATACACAATACGGACTTAACGTCTACATTAAAAATCAGGCATATATGTTAAGTATTATCTACCTGCAACGCGTCGCGGTAAATCCCTATAGTGTATTTAAAACATGTGTTAACAATGCGAAAGTTTAAAATTAAGTATTGGAGATAATTTTTACTGAATGACAAAATTTTTTTTGTATCGAAAAGGTATTGAATAAATAAAAAGATGTTTACCAACTAACCGTTTTATTCATAAAAATATTAACCCATTATAAACTTTATATAACAAGGAAATAACGTTGGTATATAAATCTTCATTCATATATGCAGTACAGCTCTCCTTTAACTATTTTACTAGAGGGAGACTTTGTACAAAAGTCGTTTGGGTACCTCTGTCCCATTCGTGTTTCAACCGTGAAGCAGTTGTGTGTGCATGGCTGTGTTTCGGTTTGAAGGGTGGGATATGGCGTGAATTTACACCTGATTCCTCAGGAATGGCAACGCATGTGGGGTATCATGGGTGAAACAGTATACTCTGTTGTGTCCATGGCACTGCTCATGTCTGTAGGCGACGGTTACCACTTGTCATCAGGTAGGGTGTCAGCTTGTTTGCCATTCTAAGTTGTATAAAAAAATCTTGCGTTGCCATTCCTGAGGAATCGTCAACATAATGATAATAATTTTAAATCTGGACACTTCATTATATATATTATAATTATTAACATAGTCTAGTTTCCGATCCTTACGAATTCAATAAAAAAAGAATGAAAAATTGCTAAGTCTTACAGACAAAGCAGCAACAATTTTTGTAACCTAGTCAAAATAAAAATCAGTATCAGAACTCGTGTCACTATAGTCTGCATCACAACTGCTGCTGCTGCTTCTACTACTGCCAGTGCGATACATTGGCTTCCTCCTTCTTTTTTTGCTGATAATCTTCGATATCTCTTCTAAAGGTGGATGGTCGTGCACCACCGGTTCGTAAACAGTTCTCGCAGGAAGTACGACGGTTAGAGGCGGGGGGTAAACAGGCAGCGGCGCTGGTAAGGCTGGATACAGAACTGGACACGGGTTAAAGCAACCATACGAAATGCAGCACGTCCTGTTTTGTAAATTCTCCGTTGGAGCTTCAATGCTGTTTGTTTTATTTTTGCTTTCACTATTACCCAATATTTTATTATTCAACAAATCAGATTTTGGTTTCGAATTAGATGCTTCTGATAGTAAATCCAACAGTACCTCTTCATCAGCTACTAAGTTTGGTCTACCGTTTGCATAAATGGTGATTTCTAAAAGAATCATTGAAAACAAAGCAACTGTATATTGATATCCAGCACACATGACTTTAGACAAATGAAATGTTTCTGAAACGTTACATCTACGAATATAGTCTTTTATTACTTATTAGGAATTGTTTACAGCATATCGATCTTTCTTTTGTTCTGTTGAGAATGACTTATGTAAGTAAGTGAGGTATATTTGCTCAAATTGTGGCTAATTAGTTTTCAAGACTCCTCAACTTTGAATGTTACGAAAATTGCCAGGTTAAATCCGATTTACTGTTTTAGTAACAAAGATTGAAAATGATGTGATCTTTAGGATATTAAAAATGACATCCTTTGGATCATCATCATCTTTCTACCCTTGTTCCAATTATTATTTGAGGTCGGCGTAATATGGTTTCCTCTTCCATGCTTTTCTATTCCCAGGACCCAGTCATTTCCGAATTTCCAATCCTTTTTCATTCATTCCTTTTAATAAATTATAAAAATAGTGCAAACATAAATATATAAATACAAAAAAATAGAACTAATTACATCTCAGAAGTTAAAAGTCTGGTGATACATTCCGGAGATCCCAAATCAAATTTATGGTTTAATCTGTAACCTATATAAAAGAAAAACACGAAACGAACGAACGAGAAAATGTTGGCGCTATCGTGGGTAAAATTGCTGGTTTATCCCCAGCAATCGACTGAGCAATACAAGTGACTCTTCTACCTTTTACAAACAACTGATTTAGCTCCTCAACTAATTTACCAATTATTTAATACAATTTACTCAGATTCTTTATTCTTGAAGTACTTTCCATTTGAAAATGTTCTCTATTCCTCAATCGACTTTATTGTTAAGATTTTATCTTTTCTTATATCGTGTACTTCTGATATTTTTTTAATACATACATACATTTAATACATATGTATATATATTTATCTATTTACTTGTTTACGTATTTATTTATTTATATATTTATTCACAATTTGTGTTTGTTGTATTTACATTATTTTCACCGGTACCTTTCCTGCACTGGATTACCCAAATTAAATTATTTTCTCTCTAACTACATTGGGTTGGCTGGAAGAGATCTCTTTTAGAGAGCCCTCCCTTGCTAACAAGTTGTAAACTAATCGTCGCATGTATTGTTTAAGTGCAATAAAGAATATATACAATTAGCATTTGTTGTCGTAGTTTTATAGTGCTTCCTCAAGGAAGTACCCTCTTCTTTTACAATCCTTTATTATACTCTATAAATTGTGAAAAAGATCATAATGTTTGAAGAACTGAATTTGGTAAGAAATAAGATGAATAAAGAAAAGACCCAATAGGTGAAGCAGGAAAAGGGATTGCTAACGCTGGGCCTAGCACCGGTCGTGGCGGTGTAGGCGGTAAAGGTTCGGGGACGTCTTCTCTCTTGCGACATCTGCATTTCTGATGGCACGGAGAACAGTACGAAAAGAAAGATGGTGTACAGGACGGCTTGCATAGACAAGGTGGACAGCGCGGACAACTTCTGTGTTTAGATTTATTTGAACAGAAGTGAGGCGGTGGCATCGCTTGGACAGCGACTTGAATTGGCATCGGTACCGGTACAGGTAAGGCCACAGCCATGTTTTGTTCTATAGTTGTGGTTGTACTTGGCGTTGTTACTGTATTTTCCGTCTATTCCGCTATCGTATCTATTATCATTGGTGATATTACCAAGGCTACTGACGGCGGTGGATGCACAACGTACATAGGTGCTGGATACATCGGATAAGCCATTTGTACATCTCCATATTTTATGGAAGAAAAAAGATATATCAGTAGAGTCCAGTCATGTTTAACAATCTGTAAGTAAAATTACATGTGTGATGTACAACACAAATAACAGTCATAGCAATAATATTTTTTATTAAACTTATTTACAAACCACAAACAAGCCACTTTCAGAGTGGAAAGCAGCTTCTTCTCTACAATGAGGCTATATAATTCTTGGGGCGAAAGGAATTAACATTGTTGGCAATGGAGTTAGACAGCCCCGTTTCCAGCAATATGCCTTATCAGGGCGACCTCCACGTGATTCCCCCTGGAAACTATTGTGAACAATTCTTGTAGAATTCGTCTCGATGGGCTAACTGACCTGCATCATCCTCATCTATCATCCTTCACTGGTGTCCCACCAGTGTATACAGATAGCGCGGGTTACCATTCCATTATCACCCATAAAAAAAAAATTCTTACCCTCAATGACTTTCAATGTATTAATAAGTGTGTACTCACAAAACTCATACTGTATGAATGCAGTTTGTAATTCAACAAATCTCAGCGATTTCACTTTATTCATGATTGTAAAACACTTTTATACATTTGCCTTATTTATTGCATAAACCACTTCATTGTAATAGTGCTATTAACAAAAAGAGTAAGAAAGATGAAGGAGTAAGAAACATTATCAGTACTTATTTTTTTTTAATATAACGAAACAATTTTTTTTATACAACATAGAATGGCAAACAAGCTGACGGCCCACCTGGTGGAAAGTGGTAACCGTCGCCTATAGACATGAGCAGTATCATGGACATAACAGAGTATACTGTTTCGCCCATGATACCCCCCATGCGTTGCCATTCCTGAGGAATCAGGTGTTATTCCTCTGTACCCTGTAAATTCACGTCATATCCCACACTTCAAACCGAAACACAGCCATGCAAACAACTGCTTCACGGTTGAAACACGAATGAATTTATGAACACGTACATTGTTTATTACGAATATTCAAAAATAATTGTTATAATATGTCGTATAATTGATGTATTTATTAAAAAAATATATAACTTCACAAATACTACGTGCGCCGCAGTTAATATTATCTAATGTTACCAGAGGGAGACTTTGTACAAAAGTCGTTTGCTTGGGTATCTCTGTCTCATTCGTGTTTCAACCGTAAAGCAGTTGTGTTTGCATGGCTGTGTTTCGGCTTGAAGGGTGGGATATGGCGTGAATTTACTGGGTACAGAGGAATAACACCTGAGTACTCAGGGATGGCAACGCATGGGGGGGTGTCATGGTCGAAACAGTATACTCTGTTATGTCCACGGTACTGCTTATGTATATAGGCGACAGTTACCACTTTCCATCAAGTGGACTGTCAGCTTGTTTGCCATTCTAAGTTGTATAAAAAAAATATTAGCTCCTTATATGAGCATTTATATTTTGGTTATATTTTTCAATTTATTGTTACCTAATTTACCGACTTTACTAAATTATCATCTAATTTTATATTTATTTCATATATCTAGTTCAATTACAAGATAAATACAAACTTATTAAACAGTGAATGACATTCATATTTAAAAATCAAAAATATGTTCAACAAACGGTTTTAATTTTGATAAAGTATTAATTATATAAAAAATTACAAATTGTCTTATTTATAAGGCATTATATTATTTGAAAAGACAATGATAAATTGCTTATCCTTTTATCAGCTGGCGGTTTAAATACGATCTGTTTTTTACCCTCTCCCAAGACGTGGTTAGCTCCATCATTCCTCAAGACTATACGTTTGCGTTTGTAATCATCGAAATGTATAGTGTCTGCGTCCTCTGAAATCACTACCAGTCGTGAATTTGCCGGTTCATTTCCTGTCATCACGCGAACTGTTTGCGGTTGTTGCCTCGAATTGTCATCACCAAGTAACTTGTCTGCTTCGTATCTACTAATGCGTTTTGTAAATTTGACATCTCCATTTCTTGATATATATGACAACACTGGCTGAACGAGTTCATTATCACTCACTTCTATCCTGCTGGGATTTAAATGTCTCCTGTTTGCAAACAAGCGTTTCTTTATTCCTCTATGCCTCTTACTGTAACGACCTTCACGTGTGTAACATTTAGATGAACTACTACAAGTCATGCTATCACTTGTATCGCTAGTATCACTGGATTCAGAATCAGAAGACGACGGTCTTCTTGAAGGCCGAATGCGTATAGGAGGTTGTGGACGCAGTGGAAAAGGTAAAACTATGACAGGCGGTTGCGCAACTATAGAAGGTATACCGAAACCAGTGGCTGAATATGCTGGAGGCGGTGGAAGCGGTGGCCTGTTGTCTCTTTCGTTAAGTTCAGGCTTTTTGCTTGGCCAATGTGGAGGACGCATCATCGGATATGGCACAGCGCCTGACATTAGTACAGGTACAGGCATACGCATGGCGATGTTTGCTTCTGTAGTCGACGTGGTCGTTGTTCTTTCAGTCGTTTTGAATGGCATACGCATAGCTATTGGTACAGCCACTGCTACCGCTATTGGAGGTGGTGGAACTGCGTAAACAGGTGGCGGGTACATAGGTACAGCTATCTGTACGTTCACCGATCTTATAATGATAAGAAACCACGTCGCCAGTGTCCATTTATGTTTTATAATCTGAAAGAGTTGACAGTCATTTGTAAATTGTAATATATTTTATTTAATTTTGGTTATCACAAAAAAATGATTGATTAATTTTTTTTTATTATCGTCATCATCAAATCAGCCATAAACTGTCCACTGTTGAACATAGGCCTCGCCCATAAAGAGGGTTTTGCTGGTATTTGCCACGCTTAGCATTAGGGTTGGCAATCGCAATTAGGTTTTGGTGATGTTTTAAAAGGGACGCTGCTTCTCATCCCTCGACCATTAAGTTCCTTTAGTCGCCTTTTATGACACCCACGGGAAAGGAACGCTTTGTCCATTCTATGCCGGAACTACACGGCGATTTATATATGCCAATCATTAAATGCGTAATTTATATCGAAACTTATATTAGTATAATACATTGTTGTGAAAGGGAAGGGATTGTTAGTAATGCAGTCATATTACTAGCAATATACCCTGTCAGGTCGACCTCTACGTAGTCCTCCCCGGAGACCATTGTGCTGAATTCCAAGTTCAGCACGATGGGCTAACTGACCAGCCGTTTCACTCTCACCTGATCATATCATCTGTCACTGGTATACCGTTAGCGCAGGCGGGGCTACCCTTCCATTATCATTCATTAAAAAAATGCTATTCTCTTCGTTCTTTCGCTGCTCACGAAACTAGAGATATTTCAGTTTGTTTGTCCACTTACATAGCAATTAATCTTTGTATAAACAGTCGTAATATTAAACTTACAAAAGTCATGCTGCATATGGTTTATGTTTCTACTAATCTCAGAGTTCTCATGGTTGTTTAAGACTTTTATACATTCCCATTATTTGTTACATAACTTCAGCTCATTGTACTCGTATGCCGTGGTACGTACTCATACAGGCGAGGGAAACAAGTGGTCTTGCTTTCAGTAACTGATAATAGTGCTCGATAAATGTTTATGGCAATCGATGTTAAAAGAATAAATTGTTTCAGAGACGATAAGGTTGAGGTAAAATATATACGTAAATGTACTTGTATTGTGAATTCCGAGCCGAAACAAGATTTTTTATAAATTTTGTTTCACCTGAACTATATTGTTCATGTCCGTCGACAGGTAGAGATGAAGTTACTACTGCCGATGCCATAGACTTGTCTATAGCATCGGCCTCTATGGTATCCCATTACTTATAGAAGCAGCACTGATTACATTGGGGCGCTATTGACGATTAATGCCTTGTTACTTTTGATAAGTACTCAGGTATTATGCACCTACACCCAGTAATTAGGGAGGAAAGGATTGTAAGTAATGCGGACTACCAGTCCCATTGCTCGCAATATACCCTATCAGGTCGACCTCCACGCGGTTCCCCCTGGAAACCATCGTGCTGAATTCCAGGTGTATTCATCACGATAGGCTAACTGAAAGGGCTTTCATCTCACCTATCATTCCCCACTGGTGCCCCGCCAGCGTATACCAATAGCGCAGGCGGGGCACTTTAAAAAAGAACGGTTGTCTAAGGACATACGCAACAATTTGTCCCAAGTTCCTTATTTAATTAATAAACTGTCGTGAGTGTAAACACCTCTTTTTAAAATCCTATTTGAAGAAATCCGCATAACAGGTACGGAGGCATAGTATCATAGTCCTTAGGAATAGAAATGCAAGAATACCGTGGTCATTATGTACTCGTATCTTGCAATATCCATGATTCATGTCGAATTTAAATTTCCGTCTCTTATATAGTTACGTAGGTTTCGGCATACAATGGGACACCCCTCCCTATCCCGTGGGTGTCGTAAGAGGCGATTAAGGGAATTTAATGGTAGAGGAATTTAGCAGCGTCCCTCTTAAAATATATCTAAAAATCTAACTGCGGTTGCCAACTTGCCTGCCAAGCGTGGCAATTACTGGCAAGACACCCCTTCTGGGAAAGGCTTATGTCCAGCAGTGTCCAGTTAAGGCCTGATGATATAGTTACATAGATAAAGTATAGATCCCAATGTTTTTTTAATGGGTGATAATGGAATGGTTACCTCACCCGCGCTATCGGTATACACCGGCGGGGCTGGTGCCCCGTGTGAAGGATGATAGATGAGGATGAAGCGGGTCAGTCAGCCCATCTTGACGAATTTAACAAGAATTGTTCACGATGGTTTCCAGGAGGAACCACGTGGAGGTCGACTTGATAATGGGCATATTGCTAGCAATGTCGAACTCCATTGCTAACAATCCCTTTCCCCCCATGATCCCAATGTTAGGTAATACTTAACAAAAGGATTTTTTTATGGTTTTCGAGCAAATAAACTTACGAGTTTCATACTGCTTTCCTATTTTGATTGAAATAAAAATATTAATCTTTACATTTTTCTAAATAAATACATTTGTAGATTAAATCTGTTCTTGTGTGATTTTCATGTAAAAGTAAATAATAAAATGAAATTTTACTGCTAATACTTTATGGGTTGTTTGAATTGGTATTGAAACGGCTATTTCTAATATTTCTTTTTTTTATTTATGTCGGTAGGGGCCGCCCTAGACGGACGTATGTTGACCAAATAGGCGACGTGCTGAAGAAGGGCCAAATTAAAAGTACCCGTAACCGGCGAGCGTGTATGAAAAGATTGATGAATGTGTAAGAAGCGAAAGAGGTTTGTTTGAATCGAAGCATTTGGCGTTCCATTGTTTCTGCCTACCCTAATGGGAGACAGGCGTGACAGATATGTATGTATGTATGTATGGATTTAAAAAAATGAAAAGGCAAGCCGTATTATGTATAGTTAGTTAGAAAAGTAAGGTTTCAAAATTTTTTATTCATTTTTTGGGATAAATTTATAATTACCATCATTATCTTAAAAATAATTTATAATAAGATAGATCATGTGTAACAATGAAGTCGTAGTCGATGGTGTCGACTTATCAGTTGACAATAAAAAAATATATTTTTATACCATTGAGGTGGCAAAAAAGTATACAGCCCACTTGATGGTAAGCAGTTACCGTAGCCTATGAACGTCTGCAATACCAACCAGTATTACGCGCGCGTTGCTGACCCTGAAGAAATCTCTTTACGCCCCTTTTGAAGAACCCCATGCTGTAGTCTCTTGGGAAAACGTCGGCAGGTAGCTCATTCCATAACCTGAGTGTTCGTGGGAGAAAACATCTCTGAAACCGCGTTGTACGCGACCACAGTATATACAAAAACAACATTATTAATAAAAATATTGTGTATTTTTTACAATAATAATAAATAAACATGTAAAAGTACAAAAAATTTAAGTTATCTTTAAATATTAAACAATTTCTAGTTTATTTTTTGCCTACTCATTTTAGTCTTCAATATATTGACTTTTCGGTGACTACGTTTTTTAGTAACACTCCTGTGAGTTGTTAACTCCGCTCCTTCTTTGCTGTTCTTTCTTTTATGTTCTTTGTCCGCTTCCTCGTAATCATTACTCTCTGCTTCGTTTTCTCGGTCCTTTTTAACTTTATTCGCAGCTGTTTTCTTCACACTTAACCAATCTTTTGCTTCATCTTTTGTTATTTTCTTTTCAAATATGACGTACCCATCTTTTGTCACGTATTGAAGAATCGGTGTAAGCAGATCTTTCCTAGCGTGCTTCTTTCTTCGAGGTCGATGTCGTTTATTAAGTCTTCTACCACTTCGTCTCCAGCCTTTTCCTTTCCACCAACCGCGACCATCAGAGGACGTATCACTCGAAGTGTCAGATGCAGATTCATTATCAGCGTCCGTGTCACTGCTAGTATCAGAATAGAAAGGTCTTCTCGTGTGTATTTCTATTATTCTTTTAGATGGTCGACGGATTGGAGGCTTTTGGTAGGAATGATCGGGTGAATAGAATGGCATTACTATGACAGGTAATTTATGGGCAGGTCCTGGAGGAACCATGGCCATTGGCATCGGTATAGGCATCGGCCCTGGAATTCCGGGAGGCACGGGGACTGGTAACGGACCTCCTTCCTTACCTGATGGGAAATATGGTGGGGCAAACGCTGGAGATAAGGGTGGTTGTGCTGGAAATGGAGGCATTGTGTTACTTAACATATTTTCAGGGAAAGCGGGGTAGTTCACATTGCGAGGCATTCGACAATGCATCGGTAAATTCTGCGGAAAATATTGTACGTTGGTGGGGCATGGTGGTAGTTCAGGTCCTTTGCTGAGAACCAATCCGCTGAAGAGCACCACAAGGCTTAGATCGTTGAGCATCTATACCTGTAAAAAGAATATTAAATCTTCAACTTTCAAATATATCTTCATTATCATCCCAGCCGATAACCGTCTACTGTTGAACATAGACCTTCCTCATGAAGGAGGTTCTGCTAATATTTGCAAGGTTTGGTAAGGTTGGGCTTTTGGTGATAGTTTATGAGGGACCTTTTCCTTGACTATTGAATTCCTTTAGTGACCTCTTACGACACCCACGAGAACCAGAGTGAGACTTTATACAAAAGTCGTTTGCGTCTACCTCTGTCCCACTCGTGTTTCAACCGTGAAGCAATTGTGTTTCGGTTTGAAGGGTGGGATATGGTGTGAATTTACAGGGTACAGAGGAATAACACCTGAGTCCTCAGGAATGCATGGGGGGTATGGTACTGCTCATGTACATAGGCGACGGTTACCACTTTCCATCAGGTGAGCCGTCAGCTTGTTTGCTATTCTAAGTTGTATAAAAAAAAGAAGAAAAGAACGGGTGGCTCGCTCTACGTCAGGATCGTACAGCAAGTATATACCAACTGAGAAAGTGTATTTGGGATGTTAAGATTTGTATTATTCAATAATACCTACAAGACTAACCTATCCATATTGGGGGGAAAGGGATTGTTAGTAATGGAGACTGAGAATCCCATTGCTAACAATATACCCAACCAGGTTGACCTCCTCACGGTTCTCCCTGTAAACTATTATGGTTAATTCCTAATGAACTCATCATGGTGGGCTAACTGGCCTGCTTTCATTCTCATCTATCATCCTTCACTGGTGCTCCGCCAGCGTATACCGTTAGCGCAGGCGGATTTACCATACCATTTTCACCCATCAAAAAAAAACCTATCCATATTAACAATATCATATGTGCTCATACATTTTTGAGTCTATCTCCTATATATATATATATATATATATATATATATATATATATATTACAACACAGGGGGCAAACGAGTCTGCAGCTCACCTGATTGTAAGTGACTACCGCCGCCCATGATCACCCACAACACCAGCGGCATTGCAGGTGTGCTGCCGGCCTTTTAAAAAGGAATATACTCTATTTTGAGCTAACCCATCGCCTGTATATATGCCAATAGCGAGGACGAATCGCTCTGTCGATTAAAAAAATCTACTAGGCTGATCGGATTTCAATAAAATCTGTAATACAGGTAAACTACCTATATCATCATTCATCACCATCGACTCGAATAGAAACTCCGACGACTTTTTTTTTAATGTACATGGACCGGCCTGATTAATAATGTAATTAGGAACTTACGATCAAATTTCTTTCGAACTAAGTCCAAAAATACTAATTACCTATCCACTATACCTTTTACTGTGGCTGCGATGAATTCACAAAACTGAATAACGACAGCTTTAGAACTGAAGGCGTTTTTGTAAACTAAATAAACTATGGCCAGGTGGTGCTAAATACAATGGCTAGATATGGTTCCTACGTTACAACAATACAATGCTAATTTTATGTAATCGGCCTACTTTGATATTGTTTCCAGGTAATTATGTACGTGTCTTATATAATGAAGATATTTAAGACTTTTATCTAAGCTAATAATATAATATAAAATGTAAATTTGGCGTTTGGCGTTCCATTGTTTCTGCCTACCCTAATGGGAGACAGGCGTGACAGATATGTATGTATGTATGTAAAATGTAAATTGAAATTCATTATAAAGAAAAAAAGAATTATCTGTATGGAATGCAATGTAAAGGATAAACTCAAAAAACACTCAATTGATATTAAAAATTCTTTCACCTATACAAAGCTGCATTATCAGCATGAAACCTGGTTTATTTTTTATTAAAAAAAAAACACGCTAAGCCAAGATGATTTCTAATATACATGGCAACCTTTCATGTTTTCAATTCAATTCAATTTATTTATTTATCTGAACATCGGTGCAAAATTATCTTAAATTATAAAAAAATATCCCAAACATGTCCTGCCCTTTCCGGCGTAGAAATTTGTAGTTTATGTGTTATTTTTATATTTATATTAAGTTACATAAATATTAAATATTTCAACAATGATTTGAAAAGAAAATGAATTAAGTCATATTTACATCGAATAATAACATTTATTTAAAATATATAACTTAACTACACTCAGGGTTTGCTGGAAGAGAACTCTTACAGAGTTAAGCTCGCACGTTGTACATCTTTATTTTATATATATATTATATGTTGTATTTTTTTCTGTGTACAATAAAGAATAAAGAATAAAATAGGCATCATAATTTTTAACTCCTTTTATACAACTGGATTAGGTAATATAGTACTTATCTATTCGAATATTTACACCACAAGTTTACCCTGTCTCTGAATATTTTTTTTTTTAATTTATTCAGAGAAAGCGTTGATATTTGCAACTATCTAGCTAGTCATAGTATTATCTGTAGATGTCTAATTCGATTTATTACATCACCCGAGTTCAGTAAAAAAAAAAACTTAAAAGAAATCCATTTTCAGCATACGATGTGATTCCATAACGTTTCAAATTTCACTTTATTAGGTAAGTGGTTACGTGCAAGACCATTGTTATACGCGTTCTCTGGGATCTATATAATATTTAGGTAACCTAATTTTACAGTCACTCTCCAAGGAAATTATTGCAGTTAACATGTTTTAGAATAAAAGGCGGTAATTCAAAGTACGTATCTATCTGTTGCCTGCTACTTCATCATCATCATTTTTACCAGGGGGAGACTTTGTACAAAAGTCGATTGCTTGGGTACCTCTGTCCCATTCGTGTTTCAACCGTGAAGCAGTTGTGTTTGCATGGCTGTGTTTCGGTTTAAAGGGTGGGATATGGCGTGAATTTACAGGGTACAGAGGAATAACACCTGAGTCCTCAGGAATGCCAACGCATGGGGGGTATCATGGGCAAAACAGTATACTCTGATACTTCCATGGTACTGCTCATGTCTATAGGCGACGGTTACCACTTTCCATCAAGTGGGCAGTCAGCTTGTTTGCCATTCTAAGTTGTATACAAAAACATCTAGGTACGACAAATTGTTTTGTCTGATATTAACATATTGTGTACGACAGAAAAGACTTTTTTTTTTATAGAAATTTAGGAACGTCGAACACGTGACACCGCTTGGGTAACCCTGCAACTTTCCCTACACGTAAGGCTTCCTTGTGAAACCGCAAACTCTTTTTTTTTTATTTTCCTTAAAAATAAAAAATATAAAAAAAAAAAAACTAATAAAATCGTCACTATTTACAGATGTCCAGTGTCTACTTCACATTCCGGTCATCTGTGATTCTACAGTTTATTATAAATGCCCGATCACAATTTTTGCCTGGCCCATTCCCGTACCCTGCTCCACCTCAGTTAGGGCCAGCGATGGGAGGCGCAATGCCGTCAATTATTCCTCCTCCTATGGGGCCAATGACGCCAATAGCGGGGCCTTTTCCCCTGCAACAACCGAAGATACCTGTCGTCGTAATGCCTTACTACTCCAAGTTGGCTGATAAAAACAGATCTAAACTACACAGGAAAAGAAGATATTTCCTTAAGAGACATGTAAAAGAGTCATCTTCATGTGACACCGGCGACTCGACAGATTCCTCTAGTGACCTTGATTTCCGTGCTACCAGACGCAGCGTGACGAGCAAAGGAAAAAGGAGTCGTCAAGTGTTGACTCCTGTGGTCTCTTACGTCACAAAAGACGGGTACGTGGTTTACCAGAAGAAAATAAAGAAGGAGAAAGCGAGAGATTGGTTGGAGATGGGGGAAAGAAGTAATTTTCATGATAGCGTTGAAAAAGACTCTGAGAGTCACGAGATGCGGTTAAAAGACTTGAAGAATCAATTAAGATTGTCCAAGAGGAGCAGGATTGAACGTTGATTGTTTTGTCTTGTCCATGACAAGAGATTTGTACACGTATGAAATATCTTTTTAGTAACTCCAATTTTTTTATACATATTTTTATGTCAATAATTTGTCTTTTTTTCTATCTATATCATCATCGAATAGGCCTCCCCTATTGGGACGTTTTGCCAGTAGTTGCCACGCTTGGCAAATAGATTGGCAACCGCAGTTACATTTATAGTGATGTATTAAGTGAGACGCCGAGAAGATGTCGATCTCCACGCGGTTCTCCCTGGAAACCGTCGTGATTAATTCTAGTGGAATTCATCACGATGTGCTAACTGATCTGCCTTTTTATCCTTATTTGTCATCGCTCACTGGTGCCTCGCCAGTGTATCCCGTTAGCGCAGGCGGGGTTACCATTCCATTTTCACCCATCAAATAAATATACCTTATCAGGTCGACTTCTACGCAATTCCTTTTGGAAATCTTCGCAATTAATTCTTGTTGAATTTGTCATAATGGCCCAACTGACTTGCTTTCATCCTTACCTATCTTTTCTTTTTTGCCTTTATCCTCATTCTTTCATCCTCAACCAGAGTACCGCAATTTTTGCTCTAGAATTTGACATATAAAACTTTATTATGGTTTATAATGAAATTTTATTCATTCATGTCAGGAAAATAATTGACAATATTTCATTCATAACTTCATTCTCAAATCACAAACAAACACACTCACCAATTACTGAGCAGAGAATTATTATTTTAATTCTTCACGTTCAAGAGTTAGCACTGCATAAATATTTTAAAAAGCCATTAATATGATGCTATGTAAACATTTAGACCCATCCACATAATACAATAAACTCTTTTAGTTTAAATAGTTTTCGTAGTATTTTATTAAAGTATCGATAATAATATGGGTATTGAATGGTATCGTATAAAAGAACTATTTCATTACACAGGGTAAATATTTCAAATTCAATGAAAAACAGTCACAGATACTTATATATTTGTTACGTCTATTTCCCATTATGATATCCTGTAGAGGTTTTATTTATATTCCTTTTAAAAATAGAATTTCTTTATTTTCTTTTTCTACATTTTGTTATTAGAGAACGTCATTTTTAAATATCACTATTATTGTACTAGGAAAAATATAATATATATTTATTCAGTATTTTCTATGTTTTCAGTATTCGTTGTATGGAACAAACAACGAACCATTCAGCTTCATATAGTTAAAAAAAATATATTATATTTGGTTCATTAAATAATAAATAGAAAGTTTGTACTTAGCATCATATTTGACAGTGCTCAGATATTTTTAAATTATTAATGCTTATTATATAGAGATGGTTGCATAAATTTTATATAACTATATTTTTATTTGAAATGACGCAAGTCGATCTGAAGTGTATCATTGCTGTCATTTCATTCGTTCATGTATCGTTTTTCATTCATTTCATTCAAATCGTAGTCGACCACAGATTAGAGAGTAGTCGGCGCGGCGGTTTATACTGACACTGTCGTATTTATCCGCATGTATGATTTTTTACTAATAGAATTTTAAGTTTTTATTTGATTCCATATCCTATAATGTATTTTAAATAAGTTCCGATATGCCGAAATGTCCAACGCTGATTCGGTCCTGGAACGGAGTTGGCGGGTGATAGTGATGAGCAGTGATTTGTGTTGATGTAGTTTATCAGGAAGGACTACTGTGTTTCTGATAACGATTTGAAGATGGACCAAGACTGGAAGAAGAACTTGGGGTTTCCTGTCAACTACAACAGTCAAAGTTCTGACGATGACTTGTAAGTACTTGGGCGGTTTGGAATAATAAATAAAAATAGATAACAATTCGACGTATACTTTTGAAGGACGTAACCCAAAGGTCAACTGTAATTAGCAAGTTATAAATCTCTGCTCAGATATGTCCAAATGGTTAGTGTTGATGATTATCCATGTTAACTTTAAACATGTCTTTTCCTTATTAAGAGTCCTTGATGCTATGTTAAATATGAAATAAATAGAAAACTATTTATTTGTTATTTCACATAGAAATACAATATCCTCTACAGTATTATATATTTTTGAGAAGAATATTCACTGCAATATGAGTAAAGTAAATTACAGATGGTCTAAAAGGAAATATCCAAAGCCAAAAAGCAATATTAAATATATATATATAGAAAAAATATAAACCATTTCACATTATATGTAATTCAGTAAATTAAAGGGGAGGTTTTTCCCTTTAAGCAGCTATTGGTTATGAGCACTTTAGCTCTTTACCCAGACGTACTGATATGACGTATAATTTATTTATTTATTTATTTACACTTTATTGCACCAAGTAAAAAGAAAAATAACAAATATAATAAATATTAATGAGAAGTGATATAAAAGGCGGCCTTATCGCTTTTACAAGGTTTCGTGTAAGTCACAGAAGGTATATAATTTTACATGTAAATCATATCCAAGTGATGCAATGTTAATTATGATACTCCATTATTTATCTCTAAAAATAATTCTTTATTTGATTCTCTTGATGATGATGATGAAAATCATTATTATGAGCATCAATATAAACTAAATTTCAGTCCTCAAAAATGGTAATGCATGGGGGCTATCATGGGTGAAACAGTATACTCTGTTATGTACACGGTACTGCTCATGTCTATAGGTGACGGTTACCACTTTCCATCAGGTGGGCCGTCAGCTTGTTTGCCATTGTAAGTTGTATAAAAAGAAAATTATACTAGATTTAAGTCAGAATTACTTTAAGTAAATTATAGTTTTTATAAACTATTATTAATCTCTGAAATGTATTGAATCAAAATAGACTGTAATGTATTAAATTGCAAATTTATTTCATTTTTGACATTTATTTTTTAATGTATTTTCAAGTCACTATTCTAAAATGTCTTTTTTTTTATACAACTTAGAATGGCAAACAAGCTGACGGCCCACCTGATGGAAAATAGTAACCGTCGCCTATAGACATAAGCAGAACCATGGACATAACAGAGTATACTGTTTCGCCCATGATACCCCCCATGCATTGCCATTCCTGAAGACTCAGATGTTATTCCTCTGTACCCAGTAAATTCATGCCATATCCCACCCTTCAAACCAAAACACAGCCATGCAAACACAACTGCTTCACGGTTCATCAAGATCTTCTCAACTTCAAGCACAAACAGTGATATTTTATGGATGCTACTGAGAATCCTTCAACCATTAAGCTCCCTTAGTCGCCTCTTACAATATCCACAGTTTTTTTTTATGGGTGATAAAGGTATACACCGGCGGGGCACTAGTGAAAGATGATAGGTGAGGATGAAGTAAGTCAGTTAGCTCATCGTGATGATTTCAACAAGAATTGTTCATGATAGTTTCCCCCAATACCCACGAGTTCGGTAGGGTGGCCCATTCTATGCCAGGACAACATGTCTTATACCGGGGAAAGGGATTATTAGCAATGGAGTTCGACATTGCTAGCAATATGCCCTATCAGGTCGACCTCCACGTGGTTCCCCCTGGAAACCATCATGAACAATTCTTGGTGAATTCGTCACGATGGGCTAACTGACCTGCTTTGCTTCATACTCACCTATCATCCTTCACTGGTGCCCCGCTGGTGTATACCAATAGCGCGGGTGGGGTTACCATTCCATTATCACGCATTAAAAAAAAACATGTCTTATACTATAGTTCACTCTATAACTATAGTATATTGTGGTAAACCATAATATTGTTAAATCAAGATAACCAAATCCTGTTATAATATGTTGGTCTGGCACTCAGCACTCACTGGACATGTTACCAGTCATGCTAATCACATATTATCAGCATGTTATGAGCCGTAACTAGTTACATTCTGATAGTACTCTTCTACAGTATCTAATCCCATTAGAGATATGGGAAAGGATTTTGATTCAGATACTTTATTTACCATGTAAACAAATTACATTTAGCTCATTAATTAAGATGATTTCTGGATTCCCAAGGAGGGTTGACGTCAGGCAGGCGGCCGGTCGTAAAACTATAAGCCAAATCTTTTTGTAATATGGATAAAACCATATTACGCCGACCCCATATAATAATTGGGATAAGGGTAGGAAGATTTTTTTTTTTTATACAACTTAGAAGTGATAACCGTCGCCTATAGACATGAGCAGTACCATGGACATAACAGAGTATACTGTTTCGCCCATGATACCCCCATGCGTTGCCATTCCTGAGGACGCAGGTGTTATTCCTCTGTACGATGAACGAGAATACTACTCTGAAGATGATGAATAATGATGATTTAGATGTTTATTTATTTATTTAACACTTTATTGCACCAGAAATAAAAATTATACAATGACAATTGAATAATTAAAGCAGTGATTCTCACCCTTTTTTTTTGTTGCGGCACATATTTAACGATTTCAAAATTTGGCGGCACACAAAGAAAAAGATAAAAATTATTCACTTACTATGTTACAACACACTGCATAAATAGTTTACGACAAAAATTTTAAATATTTGCAAAATTTGGCGGCACACTTTTAAAATTTGGCGGCACACAAAAGTGCCGCGGCACAGTGGTTGAGAATCACTGAATTAAAGTGAAATACAGTAACATAAATACAGATTGAAATATACACATAAAGGTACAAAAGGCGGTCTTATCGCTAGGGCAATCTCTTACAGACAACCTTTAGTTTTTTTTTTTTATGAATGGATGATAATGGAATGGTAACCTCGCCTGCACTGTCGATATACACTGGTGCCCCACCAGTGAGGGATGATAGGTGAGGATGAAGCAGGTCCGTTAGCCCACCGTGACGCATCTAACAATAAATCAATCACGATGGTTTCCAGGGGGAACGGCGTGGAGGTCGACCTGATACGTTGTATTGCTAGCAATGAGTCAGTTAGACCCTAGTAATGGGGTCCAATCCCTCCCCCCCCCCCCCCCACGGCAAACTTTGGTACCAACTTTGGTTTGGTAAGGAGAACAGATAGATGTGAGTAGGTGACTGGTAGCCTGCATTATTAACAATCCCCTCCCCCCGCGGTAGTCGCCATTGGGTGAGCCGTATGCTCGTTTGCCCCCTGTTATAAAAAAATAAATAAATAAAATTGTGAATTAGTTTTTGTGGGTTATTTTTTGTTTGTATATCTCTAGTTGGTAAATTCCCTTGATATCGGTTGCGTATGTATTATGAAATGCATTATACATACTTCCTCCACACATCTGTCCGTTTTATCCGACGCAGTATTTTACCGGTGGGGATTCCATTGTCTCATATAAAAAAATATTAAATAGGTATATTCAATGTAGCATTATTTATCGCCATCTTCTTTTTACTAATGTCGCCGACACTAGTACAGAACTCTTTTCTGTACCTTTGTATTATATTTTTTCTAAATTGCTGTGCGACATACAAAAATATAAAAAAAAGATAAAAAATAAACGTTTCATAATTCCTACACCTTCGGATGTATGACCGGCGTATATTTACCGATTGGAATGAAAAGTAGCTAATTGTATTGTATGCCCGATGTATGGGTACGCTGTGTTTTCCTTTAAGACGTTAATAACATCTTACGAAAAATTATAATGTACAGCTCACAATAAATATTTATTCTATTCTATTCTATAGCCTGTCTCCCTCCATCTTCATCCCATATAGTATGTGCATATCAAATTTCATAGTGGGTTAAGCTATACAGTAACGAACAAACTCACTTTCACATTTATAATAATTTATAATTAAGAAGGATAATTACATGTCTGTGTATTTATGCAGATCATTGTTCAAAAATATAATATTAGTAGCTAGTAATCGTATAAAAACTATCATTTGTATGTCAAAATAAACATAGGGTAAGTAGAGAAATAGTTAATTCTATTTTAATTTTATAAGCTTTCACTTCATTATATCTGGAATAGCAAACAAGCTAACGATCCACCTGGGGGAAAAGGAATTGTTAATAACGAGGTCTAACAGACCCATTGGCAGCATTATACCGCGACCGGGGGAGAAGGGATTGTTAGTAGTTTTTTTAATGGGTGATAACGCAATAGTAACCCTGCCCGCGCTATCGGTATACGCTGGCGGGGCACCAGTGATAGATGATAGGTGACGATGAAAGCAGGTCAGTTAGCCCATCGTGAAGAATTCCACGAGAAGTAACCACGATGGTTTCCAGGGAGAACCACGTGGTGGTCGACCTAATAAGGCATATTGCTAGCAATGAGGCTGTCAAACTCCATTGCTAACAATCCCTTTCCCCCCGCCATGCTATATATAATACAGTGAACGCTCTATATAAGCAACACATTTGAACCACTTTCAATAAAAAAAAATCTTATTGAGAAAAATTGCTTATAGGGGAAAAAAAAAGAGTATAAAAATACTTACCGTCTGGAAAATATTTTTACTTATTTTTTTTTTTACTAACTAAGCTGAAAAGAATAAAGAAAATATAAAAAAATTTGCTTATAGAGAGGTTGCTTATATAGAGCGTTCACTGTACTATAAAAAACATCCATATCCAATAATTTATTTTATTTTTATTTATTCTTTATTGACAATTTAAAAAAAAAATATCTGGTAGAAAAGGCGTACTTAATACTATATAGCATTCTCTCCCAGTCAACCTTTGGCTAAACAGAAATTCTATTATGCGGTGAAAAAAATTACAACACGTACAATATATAATAATTCACATTATGTTAACCATACCACCGTGTTATAGTAAAGTTAATGCGTTAAATTAACTAATGCCAGAGTCGTAATCGCCGTCACACGTTATCTAATGGCAATTCGTACGGATACAACGAGGAGAGATTTGTTTACTGTGACGTAGACGATACGATAGTAATCGGATGTGATAAGGCGACCGACAAACAGCCGCTTCAATAGAACACGAGAGATTATTTATTTTTAATAGTTCTATATTTTTACTAATGATGAAAATAAAATATTTATACATAGATAGATACTTTATTACCATTTAGAATTGACGTAGGCATCGTTTAATACGTAAGACAATTTAGAATTTCCACCTTATTTCCAGCAATCTCTTTCAGACAACCTATCTTTCTAATCTTGTTTGTAGATTGCAGTGAATAATAAAAACTGCAGTCTCAGATAGTTTTAATTTTTTTTTAAAAGACGCTTATGTGTAGTGTAAGTCTTGTGTATATAATACAAAATTCTAAATACTGCAAAAACGCTAAAATACGTAACATTTTCAGCGACCTTGTATGCTTGATAATTGAAAGAGCCATTCGCAGTAAGCAGCTAGGCATTTGGCGCGTCAAATTATTGCGAGCGTCAACTCGAAGGCCGAGTCGAGAACAATTTTTACGTGTTCCGGTCATTATTTTGTTGTCATTGCTTTACTAGCAGAGTAATAATACCAGAGAAACTTTGTACAAAAGTCGTTTGCTTGGGTATCTCTGTCCCATTCGTGTTTCTGCCGTGAAGCAATTGTGTTTTTATAGTTGTGTTTCGGAGTTAGGGATGGGATATGGCAGAGAAATTACAGTCATCATATCATTTTATTATTTTATATTACTTTCGGCAACATGCGCATGACATCCCTGACGTTATAGGCGTCCATAGATCACGGTAACACCGTTTACCTTCAGGGTCGTATGCTTGTTCACCGACATAGTTGTGAAAAAAAATTATATCTGCCGTTTAACATAGGGCTCTCTCATAAAGGGACTTTTGACAGTAGTTGTCAAGCTTGGCAGTCAGGTTGGCAACCACAGTCAGGCTTTTAGGGATGTTTTAAGAGGATCGCTGCTGCCCATCCCTCGCCCGCCCTTAGTCGTCTCTTACAACACCAACGGGAAAGGAAGACGTGGCCCGTTCTATGCCGGAGCACACACGCATATCCAGTAATATCTACTAATGGGGAAAAAAGAAAATAATTGTGTGTAGTATGTCTTGAGGATGAGGATGAGGAAATTTGTACATCACAAACAGGTATTTCCACGTGCGTCTGCTAGCCTCCGACGACACGACTGTAAACAATTATTCGATTTTAATTCTCTGTGCTCTTAGGAACAACTTTTATGTGTTCCCATCCATGAAGCGTCGTTTAAATAAAAAAACAAAACAGGCATTATCTTATTTTCGCATATGGGGTCCTATAAGCCGTTGCACGTTGACCCATACGGATCTTTTGTGCTTCCCCCTGCCTTATACTATCATTTCATAGATCCTTTGTGTTACCAAACCGATATCCCGCGGGGGAAAAGGATTGTTAGTAAAGGAGACTGAGAATCCCATTGCTAGCAATATACCCAACCAGGTCGACCTCCTCGCGGTTCTCCCTGGAAACCATCATGGTTAATTCCTGATGAATTCATCATGATGGGCTAACTGGCCTGTTTTCATTCACATCTATCACCCTTCACTGGTGCTCCGCCAGCGTATCCCGTTGGCGCGGGCGGAGTTACCATACCATTTTCACCCATCAAAAAAAAAAACCAGAAGTGTATAAGTACTAATGACAGAATCATGTTCGTCCGTCCAGTCGACGAACTGACCGCACCGTTTGTTTACTGATAAGATAAACAGCTCCGTGATAAGTATTTATTTACGACTTATAATCATTACAGTTTAATTATTATTATTATTATGAGGCTTTTCAGAAGGTTCTCGATTGGTCTTGTTTGTATATTACGTGGTTACTTAATACTGAATTGATTTTTATATCTTTTTACAATATATTTTTTAATGGATGATAATGAAATGTTAACCACGCTTGCTCTAACGATATACGCTGGCGGGGCACCGATGACGGACGACAGGTTTTTTTAGAGGATGGTATTGGAATGTAACTCCGTTTCCAATTTTGGTGTTCTATTCTTTCCTCCCTACCCTAATGGGAAACAGGCATGATAGATATGTTAGTGTTACCAGAGGGAGACTTTTTACAAAAGTCGTTTGCTTGGTTACCTCTGTCCCATTCGTGTTTCAACCGTAAAGCAGTTGTGTTTGCAAGGCTGTGTTTCCGTTTGAAGGGTGGGATATGGCAGTGAATTTACAGGGTACAGAGGAATAACACCTGAGTCCTCAGGAATGGCAACGCATGGAGGGTATCATGGGCGAAACAGTATACTCTGTTATGTTGTATACAACGAATTGTGCCTACCTGTATTAGAAATATTATAATAATATTATAAATATTATATTTGTATGTATTTATGTGTATATAAACAAATATATTTATATGTATATGTTTATTTATGTATGTGTATATGATTATGCTGTCACAGATATTTATTATTTTATATTATTTTTACAGATCTTTTAACGCGCCACCTACCTATTTATTCTTTAATTCCTTCTATCCAAAGGTTGTCTGCAAGAGTTTGCTTAGCAATAAGTTTACGTTCGTTTACGTAAAAACTATACATGTAATTCCCTTCTTTACCGTTCCACCAACACTTTCAATAGAGAATTTTTTGAATTAGATCCGTTTTATAAATCTGTTCATATTTTTAAAAGTAAATTAACTCAAAAACTTGTATGTTAAAATTAAATCGGTACTTCTTCTTTCTTTTTCTTTATCTTTGATACTTATATATATATATATATATATATATATATATATATATATATATATATATATATATATATATATATATATATATATATATATATATATATTAGTACCTTGGATTTAATTGCTAAATTTCATGCGTGTTCCCATGGGACTTCATAAATAATTATCTCTATGTTTTTAAAATACTGTTATTGGCACTGTTAGGTCTATTGCTCTAAAACTGCAATGTATATTGTTGTTAATTATTTTGTAAATGACTGTTTGTTGCCATAAATAAATTAAATAAAAAAAAAAGACCGCCTTTTGTACTACAACTATACTTATCGAAAATTGTTCAACAAATCCTGTAATGTTGGTGCAATAAAGTGTTAAACAAATAAAATAAATACTTAATCTAAGGCTAAGGCAAACTTTACATACATATCTAAAAATATAAATTGCTTATCTCGCCCTCATTGTACTGTTTTTGAAAATGCTGTAAAGTTATTAGTATCTATCTAAAAATTTAATTTCACTATCATTGATTTATTATGTATATTATAACTATATACTCTTGGCCACAGCAGAATATCAGTGTTTTGCTCTTTTAAGGGCAAAGCAATAAACTGAGCTGTGACCATTTTGTGTTACTATGGCACACGCATGAAGGAATGTTAACAAAGGAGATTGTTAGATTATGTAGTTTGTTTTTGTATTTTTGTTTTTTTATTTGTGCTTTTTTTATTTTTATTCTTTTGTCTCTTTTGCTGTGTATTACGTGTATGTTTTTTTTTTATTGTAATTTGTGTGCTGTAAGTAATGTAAATAAATTGTCTATCTATCTATCTATCTATCTATAATAATATTTTGGACTTCAGTTTGTTTATCGTTGCATAATGCTGTAACCTTGAGATAAAAATAGACTTTGTGCTATTTGTGAAGTACCACCGAAGACTGCTTATTATCAGAGATTATTCTGTCAATTGCTTTGATTCATAAGGAAAAATATTTCAATCAAAGTTCAATTTTTTTTTTATACCACTGAGGTGGCAAACAAGCATACGGCCCACCTGATGGTAAGCGGTTACCGTAGCCTATGAACACCTGCAATACCAGAGGTATTACGCGTGCGTTGCCGACCCTGAAGAAACCTCTTAACCCTTCTTTTGAAGAACCCCATGCTGTAGTCTCTTAGGAAAACCTCGGCAGGGAGCTCATTCCACAACCTAAGTGTTCGTGGGAGGAAACATCTCTGAAACCGCGCTGTACGCGACCATTGAGGCTGTAGGAGAGAGACAGCTTGATAGGAATGATAGAAAGTTCATGTCGGAAAGCAATCGAATCCTAACGATACAAAAAGGTAGACCCATCGGCAGACGGATGGTCGAGGGATGAGCAGGAGCGTCCCTCTTAAAACATCACCAAAACCTAATTGCGGTGGCCAAACCGCCTGCCAAGAATGGCAAATGCCGGCAAAACCCCTAAGTTATATATTTAAAAGGTGTTCTGTTCATTTCAGCGACAGTAACGATGTGGTGATACGGCATCCGCGTCAGTCATCTCGGTTCCTGCTGGCCGACGGCGGCGATGGCTCCGAGGCGGACCTCCTCGGTACCACGCCGCCACGATCCAGGATCAGGGACAAGGAGAAACGCAGGTAGTTCTATGCACCTCGAAAAAAAGCCTGGTCTACTTGGTTTTTTAATGGGTAACAATGGAGTGGTAGCCCCCCTGCACTTTTTTTTTGATGGGTGAAAATGGAATGGTAACCCCGCCTGCGCTAACGGTATACGCTGGCGGGGCACCAGTGAAGGGTGATCGATGAGAATGAAAATAGGCCAGTTAGCCCATCATGATAAATTCATCAGGAATTAACCATGATAGTTTCCAGGGGGAACCTCGAGGAGGTCGACCTGGTTGAGTATATTGCTAACAATGGGATTCTTGGTCTCCATTACTAACAATCCCTTTCCCTCTACTCCCCCCCCCCCCCCGTCACTGTTCCAATAAGGATAATCTGTGTCCATCAAAACGCAGTGTTATCTGTGATAATACTCTATTGCCACGAAACATTATTTGTGGCTTTTAACAAAATGAAACGGAGGGAGGCGGTAGTTAACTTTACCAGAGGTAGACTTTGTACATAAATCGTTTGCTTGGGTACCTCTGTCCCATTTATGTTCGTACCGTGAAACAGTTGTGTTTACATAGCTGTGAATGAATGGATGAAAACTCTTAATTTTCCTCTTCAAAAAATGATACAGATTATAACTAATAACAATATATAAATAATAACAATATGTCTTTCTTTTCATTTAAAAGTTTCCTCTTGTCGGTGCAACTAATTCACAACAATATGTACACAAACATAATTATTAATTAATTGCTTTAAGCTAATTACATAAAAGCAAGACAAAGAGGCAATAATGGCGGCCTCGTTGTTACATAGCGATCACTTCCATGCAACCTTAGGATGGCGAGGAATATTAAAATTGTATTTCGATTTGAAGGTGGGATACGGCAATGAAGTTACTGGATACAGATTTTTTTTATACAACTTAGAATGGCAAACAAGCTGACGGCCCACCTGATGGAAAGTGGTAACCGTCGCCTATAGACATGAGCAGTACCAAGGCCATAACAGAGTATATTCTTTCGCCTATGATATTACTCATGCGTTGCCATTCCTGGCGACTCAGGTGTTATTCCACTGTACCGTGTAAATTCACTGCCATATCCCATCCTTCAAACCGAAACACAACCAAGCAAACACAACTGTTTCACGGTAGAAACACGAATGGGACAGAGGCAACCAAGCAAACGACTTTTGTACAAAGTCTCCCTATGGTAAAAGCAGATATACAAATTCGATTTGAAACGTACGATATATGATATGATTGTGTGTTTCAACCGTAAAGCAGTTGTATTTTCATGGCTGTGTTTCGGTTTGGAGGGTGGGATATGGCATGAATTTACAGGGTACAGAGGAATAACACCTAAGTCCTCAGGAATGGCAACACATGGGGGGGTATCATGGGCGACTAGTATACTCTGTTATGTCCCTCGTACTGTTCATATCTACAGGCGACGGTTACCACTATCCATCCAGTGTGATCAGCTTGTTTGCCATTTTAAGTTTCATAAAATAAAATAAAAAAGTTAAAAATAAATCGGTGTGACGACATATCGTCGTAGTCGTAGAATACTGACGGATCTTTATATGTAATTTTTGTCAGATCCGACGGTATTCTACGACTATGACGATATACAGACAGACGGCGCCGTCAATGATGATATAGGAAACCTATTATGTTTCTGTCTTAAGAAAGAGGATTCATTAACTAGTTTTGTTTGGAATAATCTGGAACTTTCGATCATAAACATAGATAGTGTCCCTAGAAATAAATAAATCTGTATATTTTAAGATATATATTTATAGTTTACATACAATGCTTCGGAATTATAAAACTGTATTTTAGACCGTGAGTTTTATCACAGAGATTTTATTTTTTTACTAGTTTTTATTCACGTCTTTGTTCTTGTATTCGAGATATATTGATCGGTTGTGGTTAGAAGTGTCCTATTACCATTTTTGTTTCAAATACTATTAATATACATAATTTTATCACAACTGGTTTAACCGTTAAGAAATCCCTAGAGAATAAACAACCTCACTTTTACATTTATAACTTCTTTATTTACTATCTAATTTATTTATTTAGTCACCATCTAAGGAAGCTTGTAGCCTGAGCGCTGTAAGTGCATACATAGTATAGGCCCACCCCCATTCTTTTCCGTGGGTGTCGTAACAGGCGACTAAGGGAGCTTATGGTGGAGAGATGGGTAGCAGCATCCCTTTTGAAACATCACCAAAAGTCAAACTGCGGTTGCCAACCGTGGCAACTACCTTTGGAGTAGGCTATGTTCAGTCGTGAACGATTAATACAACAAGAGAACTTGACTAATTCCTAATTTGCTCCCTTAGAAATCAGTTAATATATAAAACAGTCAAACTTGGAACGGGTATTCACCCCGGATTACTGAAAGATTGTTCGAGTCCCGTTAGGTTATAAAATTTTTCAAGCTATTATGTTCATTGCAGAAACATCTTGGAGACCCAAGTGAATACACAGAAGACGCCAAGAGTAAGGAAACCAGTAGATGACAAATACGAACAGTCACCGTCTTTAGGTAAGATACATTTTAGGATTCTATGGCTACTTCTCATGAGAAAAAAAGTGGCGACCTCTAATGTCAAGACTTTGTAGGCAACCTTCACACGAAGGCCTTTGGCTGTGACTTACTGAATTACAGTTTTAAGTATATTTCCCTCATATTTCTGCTTCTAAATTTCTTTTCTTGGCTGTGGATGTAGCTGTGCTTCCATGGCTATATTTCGGTTGGAAGAAAGGGTTATGGTAGTAAAATTATAGGGTACAAAGGCAAGATACTTTAGTAGTCAGATATGGTAGTGCATGAGAAGTAACTTTGGCGTTACAGTGTATTCTTTGATGGTCATGTTACTGTCCATGTCTGTTAGTGACGGCTAAAATATTCCATCAGGTTGGCTGCTAGTAGAGAATACGATCTCAGGATCCCGAATGACAAAGGCCAAGGCCGTTATATCGTCATCTTCCTGCCCTTATCCCAATTATTATTTGGGGTCGGCGTAATATGTTTTTTATCCATAGCCAAGGCCGTTATATATGCAGTTATAATAATTGTAAATTTATTGTATAAATTAAAACAAATAATTACTAATATTTTTTGAATGCCCACAGACGCAAAATGTAAAATGAATCTTCTACCTAAAACTTCTTCTATATTACCACTAATATAAAAGAAGTAGAATAAAAATTGATGGCCTACTGTCTTTATCATTCGGGATCCCGAGATTGTATTCTCTAGCTGCTAGCTTGTCTGCAATTGGAAATTGCATGTACAATATTAATTGTAAAGTACGATGTTTCAGAACGTTTGAAGAGACGCAGCAATCTGAAACTGGTGAGGTCAAGGGCCCGAGATTGGAAACAAGATCAATCAGATTCGTTACCGTCACCAAACCCAAACACCGTCGTACCTACGCTGGTAAGCTGGGGTTCTACTATGAAACTGATTCGAAATAGTTCTGAATTTTATGAATCACTTATCTCATTCAAATTTCATCTCTACATTGTTTACTCATTAACAAAAGGAAAATATACTACAGATATCTTATTTCCTTTCAGGTCGAGTCATGTAACCGGTTCATGTCTCTCACCTCCCGTTTAAAATGTACCGAAGGCCAAAAGGAAGAGGATTTGGTGGAGGAGCGAGTGCGTGATGGAGAAGAGGAATTACCAGCCAATAGAGTCAACTTCCACAAAACTTTCTGCATGCTCATCAATATGGGCAACATAGAGAAAGGCTGCAGGAGGACTGTGAGTATGATAAAGTTCCGTCTCTTACGGCACCCACAGGAAAGGAAGTGTGATTCATTCTATGCCGGGACTTACGGCTGACAATAACCCCCTTATGTTTATTGTCAATTTACTTTCAATTCACTTGCGTCGATTGGAATTAATTAAGACATGACATGACCTAGAATCAGACCAGACCAGCGAGAGAAACTAAACCAGTGTGTATGTGCATTGCAGTGTATTACAATAAGCCCTCTCATAGTAAACAGGCGTAATAGACTTTACCGAGTAAAATAGGTCTCTTTTGGTGGGATAACTCACACATGTAGTTCTTCAGAAAATTAAATCTGTAACAGATAAGCCGCGAGGAGCAAGTGTGGCAGAACGAGCTGAAGGATCTGATCTGGCTAGAGCTACAAGCGACGATCGCGGGCCGATCTCTGGCCGAGCAAGACGAGTTCCTGTGCTCACAGCGGAACATTGTGCCCACTATCGTGCAGAACATCATCGACTACAGGTATCTACTGAACAGCACTTGCTACATCATCACAACTCTTTGACACCGCACAGCTGGCCACAAATCTTTCTCTCTAAAAAGAGTTTAAGTCCATGAAACAAGGATATACTTATCAGGGTCGGCATATGACACCCCTAATATTAAAGACAATATAGTATTACTGCTTATCATCAGACTGGATGATCTTGGTACAATAGTGAGAATGTTGATTTGTGTAAATGAGGCTCCATTTTCGATTCCTGATCAGACAAAATTAGGAAATTAACTTTTCTGAATTGGGTCTGATTTCAATGTTCTGGCTTGGGAACAAATGTTCGTTGTCTGCAATTACTTGGACATTAACACGTTGGGACCGGCAGCGAACTTTCGGTGTGGCCGGCGCCGGTCCCTAGGGACCGGCAGCGAACTTTCCGTGTGGCCAGCGTCGGTCCCAAGGGAACGGCACTAGAATTTTTCGTGTGGCCAGCGTAATATACATCTAAAAACGTCCAAAATAGCGCGACAAAGAATTCCTTATCTCATTAGTACTAAAGTAATCTCTGGGCGATAGCATACAACATTGTATCTCTCGCCGGCTACTGGCTGAACGGAAAGGACAACAAATTCGGCGCCGGGTTCAACGTGTTAATAACGGGTACTCATGGTGACTGTCAATACTCAGAACATATTTATATATGGCTTATAGCGCTATTTATTAAAAAGGTTATTAGCAATCTAAATATCATTTCATTTTTCCAGATTCGTAAGTTCCGAAACGTGCAAATACCGTTCGAAGACGCTAAGCTTCGAAGGTACCAAAGAAGATCTGACCACTGGCCCTGCTCATGATAACACCGATACACAAACTAATGCTACGACAGAGGTTAAAGAAGGTATTGTGTTAAAGTACGCTACTTATGTCTTTATTTCCTTGCTATAAAGACTGCTTCGAACTTCCTGGTTGTTTTTGGTTTTGATCAAGTGGACCATTGAAAATTGTCTTGTATAGCACCATAGACATCACATAGTATACTGTACTATGATCTCTATGGTACATCTTATAAGTTACTTCTGAGAAGTACGGTGTTATATCTTCGTACCCTGTGATTTCTCCATTCATCAAACCGATACACGACCATGCAAGAACATCTGCTTCACGGTAGAAACACAGATAAAGGAAAGTTGCCTGTGTATTAATGTCATTTTTGTATAAACTCTCTCTGATGGTTCCTTGTTCTATTTTATTACTCTATTAACGTAGAAGACATTCTATGTTATCACTCTATTAGTAGACAGTTCTGACAAGTTCTCTATCGGGTAAATCCGACACGGATGCCACTCCGGCGCAGAGATCATAGAGTGAACGTCAGTTGCAGAGGAGACGATAGTGGGCTGCCTGTCGTTCGAGTGTGCGCCGTGCACGCAGGCGATCGGGCGTGCGATGCGCGAGGTGGGCACGCTGCTGGACTCGTTCTACAACGCGCTCGCGCTCTACCCGTCCAGCCACGCCATGACCGCGCACCACCCGCTCGTCGCCACGCAGCTCTTCAAGAACCGCCTCAAGGTAACGTGCAGGTGGCACGCGGTCAACTGCACTTACTCACTTGCTAAATGTTTGTGCTTTACCTGACGCCTTACAGTAAGTTTTATATGTGCAACTTAGGACGGTCAACAAGATGGCGGTCTGCTTGACGAAATGCAATAATCGTCGTCTATATATATGTATAAACCGTACCATAGATGTTATAGAATCCTTTTCCTACTGTCACCACCGAAGAATTCATTACATCAGCCTTTAACAGTTCACTGCTGAACGTAAGCCTCCTCTTAAGAGGGTTTTGCCAGTAGTTGTCACACTTGGCAGGTGGATTGGCAACCGCAGTCAAGACTTGAAGATGTTTTAAGAGCGACGCTGCTGCCATACCTCGTACTCTCTTAGTTGCCTCTAACGACACCCACGAGAAAGGAAGGGATGGCCTATTTTATGCCGGGACCATGATGGATATGGGATTTGTCACCAACCGTAGAATTGTCACCAAGTAATTATGGTTATTTGCAGGCGATGTGCCTGTGGTACAACGTGGCACTGCACATGCACCTGAAGGTGGCGTCCGTCCGGCGCATGCTGCGCAGTATGACCACGCGGCAGTCGTGCTGCTCCGACAGCAGGTATCTTTATCATCATTACCATAATTTAGTCACATCCCACTACTGGGCAGGGGTCTTTTCACATATTAGTTAAGTATTCTTTCTCCCTTCAAAATTTGGAATAACAAATAAATTTTCAAAGACGTTCATCATGCAAACAAATAATGGTGATTTAAAGTGATCTTTTCCATGCAATATTTAGAATCATAACTAATTAAGAATTATTAAAGTGGGAACATGAATTACTGAACCGATTTAGTTTAAATTTAAACTGATTTAAAGCAGAAAGAAGGCCTGAAGTTCAAAGATTGTAATAAGATCACATTCATTTTTTTTTAATTTATTGTGTTTTTTTTACAAATTCTAATTTCAACTAATTTACAATTAATTTACCCAATGTCTCTTAATCTTATTATGTACATCGTAAAGAGTAGAATCATCTCATGCATTTAGCATGAATGAATGAAAATGAATCGTATCAAAAGGACAACAATAAATTTCAACAGGCGATCATCAGACAGTCATAAGGCCAGTCAAGTCCGCTTCAACTTGAGCAACAACCCCACAGATTCTAGCAATAGTGACTCCAGCGCACAATCAGAGGTTATTAAAGAAGAAACCGAGGAAAAAGGGAAAGAAATAAACGAAGAAGTACCTGAATGCCAAAGAAATGAGAACCAAGAGACTGAGAATCGCAGTAATGAACAGCCACAAGAGGGAATTCAGGAGAAAGAGGAAAGCCAAAGTGAGAGTGTAGAGAAGACTGCTACGTTGAGCGAAGACGAAGTTGATAGAGGAATCGATTGGTATTCTGGTAAGTAATCATTCTTTTTTACTTAAACTTAATTAAAACCGAAAACTGGGTTTGATTGAAATTATGTCTTGGTCAACGGCACCAAATTGTAACAAAACTGTTTTTGAAATATGCAATACAAAGCTTTGCCTTAAATAAATGCAAGCCACGAAATAGTGTATATTACGATGTAAGCACGATTTATTTTTATATAACATAGAATGGCAAACAAGCTGACGGCCCACCTGATGGAAAGTGGTAACCGTCCCCTATAAACATGAGCAGTACCATGGACATAACAGAGTATACTGTTTCGCCCATGATACCCCCCATGCGTTGCCATTCCTGAGGACTCAGGAGTTATTCCTTTGTACCCAGTAAATTCACGCCATATCCCACCCTTCAAACCGAGACACAGCCATGCAAACACAACTGCTTCACGGTTGAAACACGAATGGTACAGAGGTACCCAAGCAATCGGCTTTTGTACAAAGTCTCTCTCTGGTAATTTCACTTTGATATATCATTATTAGACAATGGGTGGAAATACTTTGGTATTTACATGTTCTGTAACGTATTCATGTCTGTAGTATTGATTATCATCAATATATCTGCCAGTATTTTTTTCTTCTTTCCCTCTCTGATTGAATAAACAAACAATGTTGTGCATTTACTGTTACATGGCGCCACTGATAAATGTGGCCTTGATATGTACACTAAATTCATGCCATTAATATATCCTTAAGTAGAAAGACTGATATTTTATTTTGTCTTTTCGTGAACAGAGACGAATGGTCAGATCACGCCGGAGATCGTGATATCTGGACAGCGCGGGCAGTCGTCGGCTGCGTCTTCCGAGAGCGGATACGCGTCCGCGACTGCAGCCGAGCACGGCTCGCTGGCCGAGCTGGCGCGGCTGCGGCTACTCGGCCGTTGCGAGGTGTCCCCCTACAGGTACATATCACTCGCCCCCCACTTGCACTCCAGCTCACACGGCACGCTTGACCAGTTAGCGCGGCTGCGGCTGCGAGCCTGTATCACTCGGCCTCTACTTTTCATCCACGTCTTATGAATCGTTGGCTGGGGGAAAGGGATTGTTAGTAATGGAGATTTACCAGCTCTATTATTAAGCAATATAGTCAGATCGATCTCCACGCAGTTCCTCCTGGAAATCATCGTGGTTAATTCTAGTGTTATCACGATGGGCTAACTGACCTGTATTCATTCTCAACTGGTGCCCCGCCAACGTATACCGATGGCGCAGGCGGGGAGAACATTCCATTATTCCACAAAAAAAAAGTAGTTAGCCAAGCAGGCACGACTGCGGCTGCTGCCAGGTCACTTGCCCTCCACTTCATCTCACACTATAAGTTACAATAGCTTCTCACCAAGAACTTAAGGAGTTACATTTCTCGCAAAATTGTTAATATTGTGAAGAGAGTAGACTGCTATAATGGCCATCTGTCGGCAGGGCCTACCACCACGAGATGCTGAAGACTCAGAGCATACGACGCTGCATGTCCTTCATGGACAAACTGCGCAAGCACGTACTCGCCAAAGTCTACCTCACGCTGGAGAAGCCTGATCACGCCGTTAGTACCAATAAACTTATCTATTTTTTGTCCCATACAGAACCATAACATTTTTTATGGAACTTAGAATGACAAACAAGCTGACGGTCCACTTAATGGAAGGTGGTAACCGTCGCCTCTAGACACGAACAGCAACATGCACGGAATAGAGTATACTGTATCACCCAGGGTACCCTTCATGTGTTGCGATTTCTGACATTTGTATATGTACTTGATTTTTATATAATCAGTATATCGTGTAGGCCTTAGAAACGCATACCGACGGTGAAGACGCATCCACCGGCGCGTTCGACGACGGCAAACATGTGGATGAAAACGACGCGGGCAACGACAAAGAAGCTATGGTCAACGAACTACGAAGGTATATTTTAATATATGGATATATCAAAGACATGTATAATATGTTTTTTTTATTATTATTGCCATTTACTAGTTTCTGTTGTCTAGCACTTGAACCTTCTCGAGGTGACATTAGAACAAGTGACTCCTTCCCACATTCCTCCAATTTTTGCATAGTGTAAACTTGTTAAGAACATTTTTTTTTGTTCCTGTGTTATTTTAGACTGAATCTACTTGTTTTTTTTTTTTTTTTTTTTCTAGCTCTTGTTGTGTGCTTTATGTTTGTTTTTTGTCTCACAATTTGCATTGGATATTTTAAACTGCAAACTGAGATTCTATTTATGCATTATATTATCTTCTCAAGCTAAAGATGTTAAAGTTTGCATGTTTGCATCTCAAACTTTTTGACAGATATGGCTGTTGGTCTGAGGAGTGTCTTGCGATGCGACTCCCGTCTTATCGTAATTACTTCCTGCTGCTTAGCAGCATTTGCCTGGAGGCCGTTCATGACTATCTCTCCATGAGGCTCGAAGATCGACCCGAGAAGCCGTCCTGTCTCACCATTAAACAGGTAAGACCATTTTATTTAAAATTTGGCATAAAAAAATGATTTGTATGACGTTCGAATACACGAGTTCGTACTCGCATTCATTGATTTTTTCTTTTGAAATTATTTAGTTTCGGTTTGCTTATACATTTAAATTTAATTTTGTTTTAAAAAAAAATTGTAAGTTATTTGAGCGAGTAATGCTCATGCCAAACTACGTCCATTTCAATCGATTGCGATGATCAGTTAAGTATTGTATTTGTTCTTTTTTTTTATGTAACTTTAAAGCTAAGGTATCATGAGTCCATACATTATAATTTTTCTGCCATATCATACCTTCCAAATAGAAATTAGTGTAGACTTGAGATCGACCGATTATTATTCGCTTCAGCTAATCCACGAGCTGAAGGAGGGTCTGGACATCGCGACGGAAGCGCGCGCCGACTTCGTGCGTAACGTGCGCGTGTCGCTAGAGGGCGGCGCGGGCGGCGTGACCGGCGCGGTCGGCGCGGCCGGCGCGGCGGCACGTGCCGACCTTCTGCTGCTGGTGCGCACGTACGATGCCACCGTCGAGGAGGTCATGCAGGTACGTACTGTACCAATCCATGTGCGTTTTGACTAGTTCCAAAAGTGTAAAAATTTGATGAAACTTGTGCGCGTTTTGACTGTTTTAGTTAAGAGGTACAAAAAGATGCGCTTCCTGGTAATGCGTTTAATAATGCGTTATAAAATTTTTGGACTTTTTTTTTATACAACTTAGAATGGCAAACAAGCTGACGGCCTACCTGATGGAAAGTGGTAACCGTCGCCTATAGACACGAGCAGTATCATGGACATAACACAGTATACTGTTTCGTCCATAATACCTCCCATGCGTTGCCATTCCTGAGGACTCGGGTGTTAATTCCTCTGTACCCAGTAAAATCACGCCATATCCCACCCTTCAAACCGAAACACAGCCATGCAAACACAACTGCTTCAAGGTTGAAACACGAATGGGACAGAGGTATCCAAGCAATCGACTATTGTACAAAGTCTCCTATATATATATATATATATATATATATATATATATATATATATATATTCTTCATACTGCAGTGAATGGAACAAATGAAGCCAATCACTCGCACTAAAATTATATCTTAGGACCCTCAATTGATCCGTTCGACGTGAAAATAGAGACGCAACACATACCTTTCGAATTCTTTATCATTCAGCACATTTTTTATTATTATTTTAATAATGAATTTGCGTGAATACAACCTACTTAGCTGTATCAGATTATAAATAGAAGACACATTTGAAAAGACCAACGTAATTTAAATTAATATTTTGTTTTCTGCCAGCAATACTTGTCGTACCTGACGACGATGTCGGAGACCGAGCAGCTGTCCCGCGCGCACCTGCAGGCCGAGTGGGAGTTCATGGCGCGCCTGGGCCGCCGCGTACACTGTGCCGCCCGCCTCGCACCTGTCGCTCACACGTATGTCACACCGTCAATGTAGCCTACATAGACGCACACACATGTGCGTTTCACCAACTTATCAAATTCCTTGTGAAAACGCAAAAAATATGATTTTAAAAAACTTTTCTATAAGTTTACTTATTAAGGTTTTATTTTTTTTATTTATCATTTAGCCTTTAAATGTCCACTGCTGAGCATAAGCTTCCTCTTGGGAGGTTTTGCCAGAAGTTGCTACACTTGGCAGGTGGGTTGGTAACCGCAGTTAGGCTTTGGAGATGTCTCAAGAGGGACACTGCTGCCCATCCCTCGCCCTCCCTTAGTCGTCTCTTATTTATTTTCTTTTTATATCAAAGAGGTAGCAAATAAGCAAACTATTAGTGGCCAGTGTTTAATCTCATTGTTTTTCCTTTTTATAGAAATATCACGTGCAACCAATTGGAGCGTGTTTTGCAACAGTTGCGTACAAAATTCTCCAATATGAAGGAAACTATGAATACCATCGATTACAAGTTCGAATCTAAGATGTATGTATAATTTTTATATTTTCCAAGAAATGTATTTTAATATTATTTTTGTCACACATATATTAGGTATTATATACTAGCTGACTCGGCAAACGTTGTTTTACCATATACATTATTTCGAGAAATATATGTAAAACATTTATCCTACTAAATTTTATTAAATTTCGAACTGCTTGCATAGAAAATTGTTTATTGAAAAAAAAAACAATTATGGCGCGTGAAAAATTATTATTGTTCATATAAAAAAAATCGCAATGTTTGAAAAAACAAGGGGTTGATCTCACGTAAAAGCATTTGTATGTTCGTCCATCAAATTTGAATTTGTATATATATATATATATATATATATATATATATATATATATATATATATATATATATATATATATATAATTTGGAATTGGAATAGTCAAATAATTAAAAAAAAAAGGTGATATCTGTTATGTCCATGTTTCTTTTATGGGAGAAAAAACAAATGGCAACTCCTTCTTTTCTACTAGTAAATGTTGGCGGGGTAATGAAAAATTTGAATATAAACTGACGGCCCATCTGATGGATAGTGGTAACCGTCGCCTATAGACATGAGCAGTACCACGGACATAACAGAGTATACTGTTTCGCTCATGATATTTCCCAAATGTTGCCATTCGTGAGTACTCAGGTGTTATTTTTCTGTACCCTGTAAATTCATTGTTATATCCCACCCTTCAAACCGAAATACAGGCATGCAAATACAATTGTTTCACGGTAACAAACACCGTTCGAAATGCGTTGGGTGATGAATATATATTAGATATATAATTTTGAATGGGAAATTATTACTAAGTAATGAAAAGCGACTGTATTACTAACGATTCTCACTACTAATTTATTTATTTATTTAAGAACAACCAATAATACTTTATTGGTACGTTTACATCTACTTAAAGTACATGAGAATATGGTAATATTATAAAATACTGCTTTAATTAAAGAATGCTGTTCTTTGGCTTCGATTCGATATGTTTATTGTGAGTGATTCAAGTGCGTGCGTGCGTGCGCGTGTATGTATCGGGAGCAGTCGTGCGTGCGTGCATGCGTGCGTGCGTGCGCGTGTTGTGCGTGTATTGTACACGCCCTGCACTGCACTGCACTGCACTGCACTGCCCTGCACTGTATGCGTGTGCGCAGCACGGGCGCGGGCGCGGGCGCGGGCGCGGCGGTGCGCGAGGCGGTGTACGCGCTGTGCCGCGCGACGCAGGCCGTGTACGCGGCCGAGCGCGACGCGCTGCTGCACGCCGTGCACGCCGCGCGCGCGCTCCACGCACGCCTGGCACGTGCCGCCACCGCCACCGCCGCCGGCTACCGCCGCGAGCGCCACCGCATCTTCGTACGTACCGCTCGACCTCCACCTGCTTCCCCCTGGAAACCATCTTGGTTCATTCTAGTTAAATTCGTCAAGATGGGCTAACTGACCTGTCTTTTCATCGTCACCTATCATCCTTTACTGGTGCCCCGCCAGTGTATACCATTAGCGCAGGCGGAGATACCATTCCATTATCACTTATTAATAAAAACATCCAACTACCAGAACACAAGGTACAAAGAAATCGCACATTATTTGCTCCTCTCGTTCACATTGCGTCAAAAATTTTACAATACTACTGCAAACAAGCTAACGGTTCCCCTCGAGTAAAGTGGTAACTGTCACCCATGAACTTATTCTATATGGTAACATTACAAAGCACACAGTGATAGTCGTGACACTCCTAATACACCATCAATACCGAACACTGCTAGATAGATAGATAGATAATTTATTTGCATCACTTGCAGCACACAAACAGCAAAAGACACAAATGCAAAGTGAAAAAAAAAATAAAAAAAAAGATACATGTACAAAAGATAAAAAAAAAACTTAAAATTAGAATGCATAAAATTAATAAAAAATTTTTTTTTTCATGAACCTGTTCAAAGGTGACATACAAAATGGCACACACAGTCATGGTTTGCTTTGCCCTAAAATCAAAGCACTGATATTCTGTTGTGGCCAAAAGTGCGCCACTGGGTAATATCATGTTCCCTCATTAGACTTCAATATTCCACTGTCCCGCACCCAGTACAGAAGCAATTGCTTCACAATACAAGCTTCCACTATTTACAATGATGTAGTAGGGATAATGAATTGGATCATGGTACCACTGTATGTGATAGCTTTTTTTTTTTTATACAAGTAATTCAATTTTAAATTTTCGTTAAGTGTATGTGAGTAAACAAGCTAACGGCCTACCATGAATGTTTTCCGAAATTTCCGGTACGTCGCCTATAGAAATTTGATGTTAAAATTACATAATACATAACAAAATTATCGATCCTCTGGACTATTAGGATAGGATTTATGATGAACGAAACGTTAAGCTCCATTTACTGGGTCGATTTAGGTACGAACAAAAACACGAAATTGAGTCCGAAATTTCAGGAATTTCATTTCATGTACCCTGATGTCAATTATTCATTATAGTTGTATCCCACCCTTCAAACCGATAATAAATAAATAAATAACAGAACTCCTTCAGGTTGAAACAACGAATGGTTAGAAACAAATTTCTTATATAAATATACATCAAAAAGTACATTTTTAGATAATTTACAAAATCAACATTCCATACTTTCGAAAAGTGCAAAATGGTATTTTTTTAATTACATTTCCTTTTCTTTATAATATTAAATGAAGTGGCAATGGTCTGGTCACACAGCTCGAAGAACCGCCAACCGAATGGAGAAGAAAGGCTCTTGAGTGGCGACCGCGTACGGGTAAACACAGTGTAGGACGACCCCCCACTAGATGGAGTGACGACCTGAAATGCGTTGCAGGGAGTCAGTGGATGCAGGTGGCTCAGGACCGTTACTTATGGCACTCTATGGGGGAGGCTTATGTCCAGCAGTGGACGGATAATGGCTGAAATGATGATAAAATTACAGTATGTTAAAAAAATGCCCTACACTTAATTTAGTTTGAAGCTTTTAAATACAACATTGATCTTAATACAGGAGAAACTGATGTCTGTCCGGGAGTTCATAGTGCGTCACACAGACATGGTGCTGGAGAAGAGTCGGACGGTGGACGAGGAGCTGGCGGGGGAGGTGCACGAGGGACTGGTGGCCCGCGTCCGGGAGATGCTGCTGCAGATGTTCAAACTCGGTTTCGAGGTGAGCACACGGTACTGTGTTTATGTAATGAACACCCTGTATATTATGTTACGATTTAATTTAGCTAATTTCCTTATAGGATGACTTTACTTGTACATATAGAGACAGCTTTTTTGTATGATTAGTAACTAGCTTAGTACGTATACAAAATGGTCCTTCGAGCCGGATTTGATTTGGTGATTTAACGTTAACTACATAGAATAAAATGTAAATCAAAGAATTGACTTTCAGTGATTGAGAATTAATACTAATAACTATATTTTGTTCTATTTTAGAGTGAGAGAGTTAAATAAATAACGCTTATATAATATGAGTGAGAATTAAATGTATCCATCGTTATTTATATACTTGTAAAACAATGACCCAATCTCCTATTTTTTTTTACTTTTATTATCTATTTGTTTCTATTATCTATCGCTATTTTTATGTTTGTTTATGACAGATATATTTTTTTTCCTACTATTATTATTGTATCGTGAACACTGCACACTCAGCACCGATGCGTGTCTCTATCTCAACTCCTCAATGTCCGGCGCACAGCTTGACTAGTGTATGTAACCGCACGGTGTCCGTAGCTCCACCGCGAGCTGCACAGGTTCGTGCAGGGGCCGGTGGGTCGCGGGGCGGCGGCGCGGCGGCGGCCGGCCTCGCTGCAGGTGCCCCGCCACCCCGGGCCCCCGCCGCGCCGCCCGCGCCCCGGCACTGTGCTGCTGCCTGGCCCCGGTCTGCTCGACGCCCGCAATCCGGCCCTGGCCGCGCTCGACGACGAGGTCGGATATCATCGGTCGCTCACTCTTCACCGCCGCGCTTTTGTTCATGTCCTGATGGGGTTTTCGCTCTGTGTGTGCTTTTAGTTTTTGGGTGTGTATCCGCTACGTTTGTTGGATGTCCATTGTGCGGACTGAAAAAGAACTAGTTTTGTTATTCAAGGGTTGTCACTCTTGGTTCGCTAACTTCCGTTCATCTTCCCAGTATTTTCACTGAGTGCTTTAAGTGTGTCCGCTGCGTGTGTTGGGTGTTTGCAGCCGGTGAAAGCTAAGAACCTTACGCTATCGCATTACATTACGATCTGTTTTCATTTCTATTGATTAGTGTTTAATTTACATTTAAATATAGAACACAATCTGATTGGGAATTTTTTTTTTATTAATTTAAAAGTTACCAATAACATTCTTATTTGTTATAGTTTTATTTTTTTCTTTTCACATTAGCTTGGAAATCTTGTTGTTTTATAATAATTAAGTGTAGACTATTAAACCGGAAGGCATAACAATTAGGAATGGGTAACATACAGCAATATTGTAGGTACAATATCTATATATTGGCTCAATAACAGTACATTACTGCAGCGGCCAGCAACTGAGGCATTGATGGACGAACGTGCAAATGTGGGTCCAGGCGTAGCCGAGGCACACATACGTGAGTCCATCAATATTGTCGTAGATACATTAGACTGATAAATTTGAATTCATAATAAGGAATAGTGTGTCTACAAGTAGACTTTGTTTTTCAAATTTTTTTTCTTATACCAAGATGTAGGTACTTAGTTTTTATATATTTTTAAATAATTATGTGGCAAATAAAGTTTACTATTTATTTTTATTAGTAATTTTTTGCTCTCCAAAAAAAATGGCAGCAACAGTCATTGCAAAATTAAACTAAACCCTGTCAATTGTAAAGATAATTTTTAAAATCGGATGGTGTAGTCGTGAAATGATAAAAAAATGTGTCAATAAGAAGCAAAGCTTTAATGGAGTTTTTAAAATTGGTCTCGTCCGTAGCAGTCGGGAATGAATGGGCTCTCCAAGCTTACTAAAGTATGACAACGGTTAAACTGAGGGCCTACAGAACGAAACAGAAATGATGTTAAAATTATGATTTAAAATTATGATGTTAAAATTACATAATACATGCCGTTTGGAAATATTAAAAATGTTAAAATATTATTCCTTTGGACTTTTATGATAGGATGTATGACGAACGAAATGTTAAACTCCATTTATTGGTCCGATGATTTTGGTATAAACAAAAACACGAAATTGAGTCGGAAATTTCGGAATTTCATTTCATGGTGGACCCGCTGTTTTCATTATTTTTTAAAGATTATTTAATCTGGATTATTTTTTCCACAAAAAAAAAAAAAGTACACCGACTTCATTCACGGCAATACCTGTTTATTGTTTCGCCTCACTTGCGTCCAGGCGCCGTGTTTTGTTCACGAGATTGTATCATACAATCTCGTAACTTGTTTGTTTGTTTCGTAAACAAAGTCGCACCACTCCATTGCAGATCCACCGCGAGCTGTACAGGCTGGCGAGCGATGCAGCCGCTCGGCCGGCGGCGGGTTGCTCGCGGCGCTCGCTGCTCGGCTCGCCGCCGCGCCGCCGGCTCGCGCGCGCCGACAGCCTCAACGACGACCTTGAACTGGCCGTGTTCGACGACCGCCTCTTCGACAGCCTCCACCCGGACACTCATGTCAGTAATCTTCAGTCAAAAGCAGTCAATTACAAAATTGCTTAACAACGGTCCCCATTCGTGTTTCTACCGTGAAGCGTTTGTTTGCATGGCTGTATTTCGGTTTGAAGGGTGGGATATGGCGTGAATTTACAGGGTACAGAGGAATAACACCTGAGTCCTCAGGAGTGACAACGCATGGGGAGGGATCATAGTCGAAACAGTATACTCTGTTATGTCCATGGTACTGCTCATGTGTATAGGCGATGGTTACCACTTTCCATCAGGTGGACCGTCAGCTTGTTTGCCATTCTACGTTGTATAAAAAAAAGCCTATATCTGAGGGGCACGTTAAACACATATAACTTATTACACTTACTATACTTTATACCTTATACACTATTACAAATATTTATATTCCTTTCATAGTAACTGGATACATATAATTTTAATATAAGTATATATAATATAATCATTTGTAATAGTTTGTGTGTGTGTGTGTGTGTGCGTGCGTGAGTGCGTGCGTGCGTGCGTGCGTACGTGCGTGCGTGCGTGCGTGCGTACGTGCGTGCGTGTGTGTGTGCGTGCGTGTGTGCGTGTGTGTGTGTGTGTGTGTGAGTGTGTGTGTGTGTGTGTGTGTGTGCGTGTGTGTGTTCGTGCGTGTGTGTGTGTGTGTGTGTGTGTGTGTGTGTGTGTGTGTGTGTGTGTGTGTGTGTGTGTGTGTGTGTGTGTGTGTGTGTGTGTGCGTATGCGTATGCGTGTGTATACAGAGCCCGTTTGATGGCAAACGCTCACTTAATAAAATTGTTACATTGTAATCTTAACGTAATTAACATGTCATACTTCTGATAATAAATTACTATATATTTTTTTTAAATAATCTAAGAAACTAGACTATTGTTACTTTTGTAAAAGACTGGAGAAATAAGTTAAAATTGTCAATATGAATCGTGGTAAAGGTTTATACTCTGTATGTTGTGATCACGCAGAACAGCATAGAGCGTCTGCTGTCCGGCGAGCAGCCGCCAGAGGGCGCGGCGTGCGACGGGCTGCCGGCTGCGGGGCACGAGGCGGCGGCGGACGAGGCGGACGAGGCGGACGAGGCGGACGAGGCGGGCGACGAGCCGCAGCGGCGCTGGGCGGCGGCGGTGGCGCGCGCCGTCATCCAGTTCGCCAAGTGCTGGATGCACTTCGTGGTGCAGCGCTGCGACCGCGGCCGCGGCCTCCGCCCCAGGTACGGCCCTCCACTCCTTGATACTTGTATTTGAACAAATACCCAAGCTATTCAAGTTTTATTTATTTATTTATTACATCCACTGGGTGAGCCTTACAGTCTTCCAATACGCACACCCAGGAAAGCATGAGTACAATAACATAAAAAGGAATGTTACACAAAAATAACAAGAATAATATAAAAAGATTTAACTCAAACCAAAAACGTCTGAACACAAATACTCTGTGGTCACTCGACGAAACTCCAGCAAGTTGGAGGCAAATACATCCAATTGCGGATACTGGCTCAAAATAGCATTGAGTAGGTTCAATGCAAGAGGAGCTTGTTTAGGCAACTCTGTTCCTCGTAATGGAACATCACCGGAGGAAGACTTTGTACAAAAGTTGTTTGCTTGGGTACCTCTGTCCTATTCGTGTTTCAACCGTGAAGCAGTTGTGTTTGCATGGCTGTATTTCGTTTTGAAAAGTAGGATATGGCGTGAATTTACAGGGTACAGAGGAATAACACCTGAGTCCTCAGGAATGGCAACACATGGGGGTATCATGGGCGAAACAGTATACTCTGTTATGTCCATGGTACTGCTCATGTCTATAGGCGACGGTTACTACTTTCCATCAGGTGGGCCGTCAGCTTGTTTGCCATTCTAAGTTGTATAAAAAAAAATCTAAACGATATATATTATTAGCTGTTATTGTCTTTACCTATTCCAATAATGAAGTACCACGTTCGTGATTCACTGTTCATCCCAGAGGTTGACTGGTAGAGAATGCTACTAGCATTAAATCCGCATTTTCTACCATATTTTCCTTTGATTAATAAAGTTATTTAAATAAATAAATTAGTGTAACTAATTCACGTGAACAAAACGTCGAGAAAAAATTAGTAACATATGTTATAATGAGCAATTTATTAAAATTATATTCAGTAACGGCCTTAACCTAACTGGAACACCCCGAACAAAATGGCGTCTACTGCCTGACGACGAAAAATGTCATCAAAAATCCGCGCTGTTCACTCCAAACACAAATTTGACACGACCCCTTATTAATTCTGTAGCGTCTCTCTTATACCCTTGACCCTTGGATCTAGGCTGCCCTGGGCACCGTCCAACTGGACCCGCACCAGACACCAGCTTTAAGAGAGGGCCCAGTCAATGACGGTGATATGTATGTTACTGTTAACAATTTTAAAAATAATTTCAGATGGGCCAGTCAGGGCTTGGACTTCCTAACGCTGGCTTGTGATCCTTGTATAACGAAGCATCTTAGCGAAGAGGAATTTAAGGTAATAAATGCATCCACACGCACCAACTCACACACACAATTTGAGCATTCATCATCGTTATTATCTATCTATATGTCTATCTATTTGAAAATATCTAACTATGTATCTATCTATCTATAAATATATATATCTCTATCTACCTATAAATATCTATTTATCTATAAATATCTAATTATGTATTTATATATCTATAAATATCTATCTATCTCTATCTATAAATATCTATATATCTCTATCTATCTATCTATCATCATCATCATCATATTAGCTGCTAACGATCCACTGCTGAAAATAGGCCTCCGCCGAAAGGTTTTTTATGGGTGAGAGCGCAATAGTAACCCTGTCAACGCTATCGGTATACACTGGCGGGGCACTAATAAGAGGTGATAGATGAAGATGCAAGCAGGTCAGTTAACCCATTGTGACGAATTCCATAAGAGTTAATCACGATGGTTTCCAGGAGGAACCGCGTGGAGGTGGACCTGATAGGGATAAATGTCAGCAATGAATTTGTTAAATCTCATTACTAGTAGTCCCTTTCCCCCCTAAGAAAGGTTTTGTCAATAGTTGTTACGTTTAACAGGCAAATTTACATTATGTTACAATTAATTGTTCTTAACATTATGTTTGCGTATAATAAAGAATAAAGTAAAGGTAAAGGTTTTCCTCCATTTTGTTTGAATTGGGCAAACAAAATAACTCACTTGTGCCTTTAAAATATGTTAACAGGGTACCAGTAGTAGATAATAGGTAAAAATAAATCCAGGCTAGTTGATTCATCGTGTTTAATTGAGATAAATTAACAATCAAGCATATTGAATTCGCATGTTTTAAAGTTGAATATATTGCATTGTTCTCCATCAAAAGAATAGTACATTACTGCAATGGATAGCAGCTGAGGCATTGATGGACGAATGTGCAAATGTGGGCCGAGGCGTAGCCGAGGTACACATACGTGAGTTCATCAATACCTAGTTGTGGCCAAGGCTTGTATAGTACTTTTCTCAAACAATGCGCGGAAATCAAAAAAACAATTTTACTTTTTAAGTTCAATGACGAATAACGAACAGTAATAATTTTTACGCGCCATAATGTTCCTTTGTTTTTTTTTTTTTAATAAACAGCTTTCTATTTATAAGCCAGTTCGAAATTTAAATAAAACTCTTTATTAGTTACCTCCTCGGTAGCCATGTTTCGAGGTAAAAAGTCATTCCATTTTTAAATTACAGAATAGATATGAGTTTACAGAGTAATTTATCTGGCCGCAAAACACCGACAGATACGGAATTTCATACAACTTTTTCCGGCCGCTGCCCGCATTTATCTGGCCAGTACGGCAATTTTGACTTATCTCGAGGAAGATTGTCAAAATAATGCTCACATTTCCAAGCGTGTTTGAGAAAATGACTTAACGATGTGGTGTGTGTGCTGCTTGTGGTGTGGTGTGTACGTGTTGTTGCGTCCGCGCAGGAGCTGGAGATGCTGATGGACGGCTGCATCTCGCACGTGGTGGGCAGCCGCGCCGCCGCCCGCCACGCCGCCCGCCCGCCCACCTCCGCCCGCGCCCCTCGCACTCCCCGCACACCCCGCGCCCGCGCCGTCCGCCCGCAGGTACGTGCGGGTACACACAGTACATCCTGGCACACCTCACACCTTACACTTTTTATTTATTTAGTTAATAGCCTTTAATTACTGTTTATACAATAATTATACAAAATTTATACATTCACAACTGTTAGTAAATAAATAAATACAATAACATTATTTGGTTAAAAGTAAATTAGTATATTAGCAATGAGGAGGTCCTGTTTAGGGTTAAGGAAAAAAATAAATTATTAGAACTATTGAGAACAGAAGGGGAAAAATGTTGGGACACTTGATACGACACGACAAACTTATGAACATTACAATAGAAGGTAAGATAGAAGGAAGGAGGGGAAGAGGGAGACTGAGGCATAGTTACATCGAGCAGATCAAGGAAGGAGTTGGTGTCGTGTCGTATCAAGAGGTGAAGGGACTCGCTGAAAATATAAGTGAGTGGCAAGAGCACCACCGACAAGAGCGCAGCTCTTAAATAGAATAGATAGATAAGATTCAACTGTTCACGTCTTTATTGTCATGTTATCTTCTATCCGTTTTTCTTGTGACATAGACATCCTTCAACGATTTCCACTTCTCTCTGCCTTGTGCGGTTTGACACCACTTTGGTCCTGCCACTTCCTTCAGGTAATCTCCCCATCTCGTTTTTTGTATTGGTTGTCTCTGTTTAATATACCATTCGGTCATTTCTTTAGTTAGTTAAATTCTCGTTTCGGTCCCACATTATATGCCCATTTCAACACCATTTTTGTACATTCCACGATATCTTATACTTTAGTATTTTCTCTTTTTCTTTTCAAACAAATTTTGGTCTGTTTTTTTCCATATTGAATTCTTTTCCATGCCATCTTGGCATATCTCTAACTTTTTCTCATTTGTATTAGACAATGGCAAGGTTTGACATCTATGTTTCATATCCATATGTCATGTCATACTATTAATATATTCTAATGGTGACCATGAGTTAGTTTGTGACTGTTAATTGACATGCTTCATTTTATTTTCAACTTTATTGACGATTTTATTGCATGACTGTAAAATAATTAATGTTATGTAATTAATTGTAGTGTACGCCCGATGTATGGGTAGGATACAAGTGTAGGTAAATTGTAATGTAAAATACAGCTCACAATAAATATTTATTCTATTCTACAAGGTGGGATGCAAGAATTAAATATTATTTTTTTTTTATTTTTTTTATTTATTTATTCATCAGTACAAATATGTGTACACGGCAGACTTAATGCTAAAAGCATTCCCTCCCAGTCAACCATAGGGAAGTGTCAGAATACTCGAATGCGAATTTTTTTCTCTACTTAATGGGCATTTCCTTATTCAATTTTATTTTAATATATATACGAATACTAAATTAATTCCATTTGCTACCTACAAATTACTACACTATGTTAATTGGACAACACAATTTTATTACATTTTAATGTACCCCACACATTTCAAGGCACTTTATTCCACGTACAACCACTCTTTGGAATCAACTTCCAGCAGCAGTATTTCCGAACCGATACGACAACATAACCTTCAAGAAAAGAGCATATTCCTTTTTTAAAAGGCCGGCAGCACACCTGCAATGCCGTAGGTGTTGTGGGTGACCATGGGCGGCGGTAGTCACTTACCATCAGGTGAGCCGCATGCTCGTTTGCCCCCTGTGTTGTAAAAAAAAAAAACATTCTCTCATAATAAATTCAAGATTATACCCCCCCCCCCTACTCCCCTCCCCTTCCCTACACTAATTTCAAGTAACGATTCCAACATGTACAGAGTCCTGCGTCGTTATGCCGCGGCGTGCCGCCGCCGCCAGCGCCGCCCGTAGAACCAGATCCACTGCTCAACTTCCGCGGATTCGAACTTGCTGGTAATTTTTTTTATGTTTGTTTTTTGTTTTCAAAAGTTCTTTATTTATCATAAGTGATTACAAATATAATAAATTCCAGTGTACGTAAGCCTAGAATTTACAATCGGCCATAAATCGTTTGGCGAGTATTATACACTCCTTCAAACATTTAAAATAGAGATACAAGTTTCTATAATTCTACACAACATAAAAAAACTAACATTACATGATGTAAATTGAGTTAATTATAATCATAAAATAAACACAAAATGCACATATTTGTAAATTATGCATTATAACAAAAATCAAACAATTAATTTTGGGAGGGTAGTTTGAACCCAAATAGTACCAAGTTGGTAACATTAATATTAGTTATTACTATTAGCAAGCGGCAGGTATCAGCAATCATGACTGTCGAGAATTGTGCGAACAATAGAAATAGAAATGGTGCGTGCCATCTTAATCCTTATTTCAGTATGCAAAAAGAATTTTTTTTTATGGCATTTAAGCGGTACTGTTATTTACGGTAACCGATTTACTTAATTTACTAATAAACTAACTGCTCACAGACAATAATAATCCCGTATACTTCACAAAATGTTTAATGCATCCGAGATTCACTGTTCTACATTATTTCAGGGTTGCTAGTCGAAAATAGATATAATAATTTTGGTATTTTTTTTTTCACGTCATGGATGAAAAAAAAATCTGACGGAGTGTATAGAATAGACAGTAGTTTTTTATGCATTTAACTGTTTTATGCCGTCGTATGGCTAACGTTATGTCTGACGTATTTTTAATTGCATAAAAACTTATTGTTACTGTAGACAGTTCACTGGGTGTAGCTTGTCGTACGGAGTATACAATATGACATTGATACGTATGTAATGACAAATTGAATTTCCTGGGTACAGAGGAATAACACCTGAGTCGCCAGGAATGGCAACGCATGAGTAATATCATAGGCGAAAGAATATACTCTGTTATGGCCTTGGTACTGCTCATGTCTATAGGCGACGGTTACCACTTTCCATCAGGTGGGCCGTCAGCTTGTTTACCATTCTAAGTTGTATAAAAAAAAAAAATTTCGCGTTACTAAATCTACTGTAGCAAATTATACAATCGTAAGTAATTTTTCATCTCTCGTATTTCGTATGCGCATATTTTGGACGTAGAAAAATCAAGGAAACTGATTAATTTTAGATGGCATATGAAAACAAAACATGCATCAAGTTTTGAAATTAGATCTTTAGGAATACATCAGTAAAAAGTGCATCCAATTTGGTGCTGTTTTTTCGTGATGTCAGAGTAAATATACTGAAAAAGAAAAGGTTTTTAATAAATTATTGTGTTGGCTTCTGTTGTTCTAATTGAAATATATTTATTTGTGTACAGGCATCGTCCAGGTACAATTTTATTACATACCAACATTTGATATACTGACATTTTGTTAATTGATCGAAAATTATTTTTTTATATTTAGTATGGCAAACAAGCTGACGGCCCACCTGATGGAAAGTGGTAACTGTCGCCTATAGACATGAGCAGTACCATGCACATAACAGAGTATACTGTTTCGCCCATGATACCCCCCATGCGTTGCCATTCCTGAGGAAACAGGTGTTGTTCCTCTGTACCCAGTAAATTCATGCCATATCCCACGGGCCACGTGATGGAAAGTGACTGCCGAACGTGGTGGTATAGTGACGTGCACGGTTGGTCCCAGTGTCGGAGCACAGCCGGCGCGTGTGTTCAGCGCTGGAGGAGGTGGAGCGCGGCCGCCAGGAGGCGCTGGCGGCGCGGCGCGCGGTGGGCCGCGTGCTGGCTGCGCGCGCGCCGCAGCTGGAGCGGGCGCTGCGCCAGGTCACCTTCAAGTGGCAGCGCGGCCTCAAGATCGGCGCCGGCACCTTCGGCAAGGTAGCCGCCGTCACCACCGCCTTACACCTGCAACACCTGTCACTTGTTAACTAACACCTTACACTGGGACACTCACACTATCAGCTGATAGCCAGCCCCTTTTGCTTAATATGAGACACTACTGATATATATATATATATATATATATATATATATATATATATATATATATATCAGTAGTGTACGCACAACCAGTCTTTGGAATCAACTTCCAGCAGCAGTATTTCCGAACCGATATGACATAATCTTTCAGAACATAATCTTCAAGAAAAGAGCACACACCTATCCCCCAATTTACACGGTAGATATATATATATATATATATATATATATATATATATATATATATATATATATATATATATATATATATATATATAACTTCTTTCAACATTATAAGCCTATATTTTTTTTTAATTTATGTTAATTTATAAAAATCATAATTATGCACTCACTTGTAATTTACGAATATGAAAAATTTAATCTTTCTGACACTGAAACTTTCACTCAAATACAATTTTCCGTAGATAAAACTTTAATTTTATGCGAAGAAATACAGACACAGTATGCATGTGCAGCAAGTCAGCACATAAGCTCGGGATTCAAACATAGTAGTATTTAGTAGAGTGCGATAAAAAAAAAACTTATTTGGAAAACCGTGTAAAAGCGAAAACGTGTAAAACAAGTACCGTGTAAATCGGGGGATAGGTGTATTCCTTTTTAAAAGGCCGGCAGCACACCTGCAATGCCGCTGGTGTTGTGGGTGACCATGGGCGGCGGTAGTCACTTACCGTCAGGTGAGCCGCATGCTCGTTTGCCCCCTGTGTTGTAAATATATATATATATATATATATATATATATATATATATATATATATATTATATCTTGGATTATATAAATAGAACCTTGAGTCTCAAAACTAATTGTCAAATAAGCCGACTTTTTTTTTATCACTGTTCTATATACTTACGTATACAATGTATTTTAACGTGTGTATATTTAATTAGTTAATAAATATTTTTTTTACGCATTAAAAAGACGAAATTTTTTTAATGGATGATAACGGAATAGTAACCCCGCCTGCACTATCAGTATACACTAGCGGGGCACCAGTGAGGACGAAACAGATAAACAGATCAATTAGCCGACCGTGACGAATGAACTATAAATCAATCACGATGGTTTCCAGGGAGAACCACGAGGAAGTCGACATGACAGGATATATTATTAGCAATAAGAAAGAAAGAAAAACATTTATTGCCAACAAAATTACATAAATTATCAATTAAAAAAAAACATTACAATTGTTATTGCCAACGTGGCCACCACTCAGCATGTGCTGCAGCAATTTAATTGCTACAGCGCCGATATTCTGTGGTGCCCATGCGTGACACCTCGAACGACGACAGCAATATATATATATATATATATATATATATATATATATATATATATATATATATATATATATATATATATATATATATATATATATATATATATATATATATATATATATATACACACACACACATATATACACATACATACATACATACAAAGGCTACTAGTTCTCATTACTAACAATCCCTTCTCCCTCGATAATCAAATGATAACTTCACCTGCGTTATCGGTATGCGCCGGCGGGGCACCAGTGAGGGATGATATGTGAGAATGAGTAGCAAGTCAGTTATGCCATCCTGACGAATTCTACTAGAGTTAATCATCATGGTCACCAGGGGGAACCGACCTGATAGGTTATATAGCTGGTAATGGGGCTCTATGACCCCATTATTAACAATCCCTATCTGGGCGCGCGAGTGGAGTGAATGATGGTGTTGAATGCAGGTGTACACGGTGGTGAACACGGAGAGCGGGCAGCTGCTGGCCATGAAGGAGCTGAGCGTGGCGGCGGGCGACCGCCGCGCCCTGCAGCGCGCCGCCAACGAGCTGCGCGTGCTGCAGGGCGTCGTGCACCCGCACCTCGTGCGCTACTACGGCTGCGAGCTGCACCGGGTACCGTCTCATTACCACTCTACGCTTTACCTCAACGTCACCAATATATTTTTGATCAATATGACGCACACTCTTGGCCGTGTGGTCTCAGTATAGAATACGCCACCCCTTCCTTTCCCGTGGATGTCGTAAGAGGCGACTAAGGGAGAGCGAGGGATGGGCAGCAACATCCCTCTTAAAATATCTTTAAGGCCTAACTCCGGTTGTCAATCCACCTGCCAATTGTTTCTTTTTTAATTTTTTTTATACAACTTGGAATGGTAAACAAGCTGACGGCCCACCTGATGGAAAGTAGTAACCGTCGCCTATAGACATGAGCAGTATCATGGACATAACAAAGTATACTGTTTCGCCCATGATACTCCCCATGCGTTACCATTCCTGAGGACTCAGGTGTTATTCCACTGTACCCTGTAAATTCACGCCATATCCCACCCTTCAAACCGAAACACAGCCATGCAAACACAACTGCTATACGGTTGAAACATGAATGTTATTGTGTAGTTACTAAAGCTATATATCCCTAATTTAAAGACAATTGATATCAACAAAACTTGGAAAATTTCATTAAACATTTTGAGCCATACTTGAAAAAAATTGTAATAGCTTTGAACGAAGTGTAGAACAGTAGAAGAACTAACAAGAGTAGTAGTAGTAGTAGTTTTTGCTAATTGTTAACTGGTAATCTGCTTTGTGGCTTGATGTTGGATTGGGTTGTAACAGGAGGAGATGCTGCTGTTCATGGAGCTGTGCGTGGAGGGCTCGCTGGAGACGCTGGTGGCGGCGTCGGGCGCGCTGCCCGAGCCCACGGTGCGGCGCTACACGCAGCAGCTGCTCGCCGCCGTCATACAGCTGCACGGCCGCAGCATCGCGCACAGGGACATCAAGAGTGAGTCCGCACGTGCCGCCTGCCCTTCTTCCATTATGTGCTCTGGGGGTTTATTAGGAGCGTTTAAAAACAATTCTACGGATTAAATAGAGCTACCCTGAAAATTGGCTTTAAATGCATAGACAAAACTGACCTGTTTGTCATCGAGAGGTCTAATCCTGTCAATTTTTTAATAAGCTCCCTGGGCAAGTTAATGATAATAAAATGATGGAATCATCAATCGCTCAGGATTAGAAGCCCTGTGTCTCGACTATTGGGTCCAATTGCATTTACAAAACCCCTCCTGGTTCCTCCTGGAAACCATACTAAATTATTGTTAAATTCGTCATTGCCATCCTGCCATCTCTCACTGGTGCCTCGTCAGCATATATCGATAGCGCAAGCGAGGTTATCATTCCATTCGCCTCCATTAAAAAACCGGTTACAGTAGCCGTTGTATATTAAATGTATAGTATGTTAAATGACTGTGTATAACTGTGTTTCATAGTGTTAGAAAAGAAACTAAACATTTTTTCTCCTTCATGCTCATTTCCTTATCTCTCTTTCTCTCTCTCTGTCCATATCTCTTTCTCTATCTCTTTTTCTCTCTCTCTCTCTCTCTCTCTCTCTCTCTCTCTCTCTCTCTCTCTCTCTCTCTCTCTCTCTCTCTCTCTCTCTCTCTCTCTCTCTCTCTCTCTCTCTCTCTCTCTCTCTCTCTCTCTCTCTCTCTCTCTCTCTCTCTCTCTCTCTCTCTCTCTCTCTCTCTCTCTCTCTCTCTCTCTCTCTCTCTCTCTCTCTCTCTCTCTCTCTCTCTCTCTCTCTCTCTCTCTCTCTCTCTCTCTCTCTCTCTCTCTCTCTCTCTCTCTCTCTCTCTCTCTCTCTCTCTCTCTCTCTCTCTCTCTCTCTCTCTCTCTCTCTCTCTCTCTCTCTCTCTCTCTCTCTCTCTCTCCTCTCTCTCTCTCTCTCTCTCTCTCTCTCTCTCTCTCTCTCTCTCTCTCTCTCTCTCTCTCTCTCTCTCTCTCTCTCTCTCTCTCTCTCACACACACTTGCTCTTTTTCTCTCTTACACACTGTTTCTCTCTATCTCATAGTATATTGCAATATTCGTTCGTAACTTCTCCTCCCGCCAGCCCACCTCTAGCGCGCTATAAATGGTGGAAAGTGAAAGTGGTATGTCACATTTTCAGGTCTATAATTTTTCCTTGCTATAATATATATGATGTATTATGTGTGTACTAACAACTATAAGTTATTGTAATCGAGTTTTAATATAAGTTTTTTTATGCACCTTACAATGGCAAACAAACATTCCTGAGGACTAAGGCGTTATTCCTCAGTACTTTGTAATTTCATTGCTGTATCCCACCCTTGAAACCGAAACACAGCCGTGCAAACACAACATTAAGATAATCAATGATGCCGTGGTACGCACTGTCCGCCAGGCGGCAACATCTTCCTGACCAACGAGGGCCACTGCCTGAAGCTGGGCGACTTCGGCTGCGCGGTCAAGATACGGGCGCACACCACCGCGCCCGGCGAGCTGCAGGGCTACATCGGCACGCAGGGTCAGTACAGTATATATAAAAATTAATGCCGCTTTTCGTTGTAATTTTATAACTCAAGAACGGCCTCACCTATACAAACCAAATGTTTACGCTTTGTTCCGACTATTTAGTAGATGGTTTATGTGAAGTTTGCGCAAAATCGGTCGAGCGGTTCTTCATTTATTACATTTTTTGTAACAAACGAATTCAATAAATGGCGGATCATTTTGTTAATGGGGATTTTTGTGTCAAATTCAAACTTTTTTTAAAATGGGGATTGTGCTGTCAAATTAAAACGTTTTTCAGTGTTGACAGTTTTTTTTTGTTTGAATAAATGAATTTGATGTTAACATTTTTTTTTTTTTATTATTTCACTTTATACGTAGCGAAGCACGTGGCGGGCCGCTAGTACAGTATATTTATCTTAATTAAAACTAGCTTTTACGTACGACTTCGTCTGCGTGACTCTAGCCGATTGATGGACATAAATAGTAATCTTAGATTATATAGATAGAGTGTCTCCATAGAAATGTTTCGAGGAAAAGCGAGTCAATTTTTTCATACAATTTTGCGTGATAAATACGTTATGGTTCTTTTATAACTTCTATATCTATTTTATTTTATACTAGCTGTTGCTTGTTGACTTTGTCCGCGTTTCCGTCGTTTTCCGTAAAATAAGTAGCCTATGTCCCTCCTCACGGTTCAGTGGTTTTGATGTAACAGACACATTTCCCTTCACTGCTCTGCTCCTATTGATCATAGCGTGATGAAAAGTATACTATAACCTGCCCCGGAGTATGAAGAATAATTGTACCAAGTTTCATTAAAATCCGTAGTTTTTGTTTCTATAACGAACATACAAACAGATAGACAGAGACAAAAATTTTACTGATTGCATTTTTGACATCAGTATCGATCACTAATCACTGCCTGATAGTTATTTTGGAAATATATTTCATGTACAGAATTGACCTCTCCACAGATTTATTATAAGTATAGATTATCACCAGAGGGAGACTGTGTACAAAAGTCGTTTGCTTGGTCATCTCTGTCCCATTCGTGTTTCAACTGTAAAGCAGTTGTTTGCCTGGCTGTGCTTCGGTTTGAAGGTGGGATATGGCGTGAATTTACTGGGTACAGAGGAATAACACCTGAGTCCTCAGGAATGGCAACGCATGGGGGGTATCATGGGCGAAACAGTATACTCTGTTATGTCCATGGTACTGCTCATGTCTATAGGCGACAGTTACCACTTTCCATCAGGTGGGCCGTCAGCTTGTTTGCCATACTAAGTTGTATAAAATATATATATATATATATATATATATATATATATATATATATATATATATATATATATATATATATATATATATATATATATATATATATATATATATATATATATATATAGAGTTTTTTACATCAAAATAACTAGCTTAGTCAGATATGTTTCCGATTTTTTTTTGTGGATCACATTTTTTAATAGTCGAGAAAGCTCGACTATTAATCGGAGACATCCGGGACCCTTAATCATGAGCGAGTTTTACGAAACAAAATATACTTTTGCTCAAGATGTTTACCTCCTAGCTGTTGCTACTTTAGCTAGTATGATATGGTGACACAATGTTGTGTTGTGATGCAGCGTACATGGCGCCGGAGGTGTTCATGAAGTCGACGGGGCACGGCCGCGCCGCCGACATCTGGTCCGTCGGCTGTGTCGTCACTGAGATGGCCTCCGGGAAGGTAATCATGGCGTCCATACGAAATATAAAATGTCCGCCTAGTTTTAAAACGAAACTTAAAGATTTTTATTTGAGCAAGTTGTCGTCTTCTTAATTTGTTCATTTGTCTGGTTAGCAGTTACTTATTTCGTCAGATATCTAAAAATTTTATAACTTTGTGTTTTACGTATACATGTGAGCAGTATTTATATATTTTTATGTATTCGTGTAGGTGTTTATATGCATGTGTGCATGTATGTGTATTTATTTATTTATTTCTTATTGCATTCCATAATATATTTAGTAGATAACATTTCAATTATGGACCCTGTTGGGCACAGCGAGTACGAGAGAGGAGGACAACACTTCTTTCACTTTAGAAATAGTCTAAGGATCTGTTACAATATTATCCAGTCATTGAAATTGTATCACGATACGTACGTAGTTTCTTATTATTATTATTCATTATTTAAGTATTGGTGTGTATCTATTTATATAGTAATTGTTATTAGTATTATATAGTTATTATATATATATATATATATATATATATATATATATATATATATATATATATTGTGTGTATATATGTATATATAATAATGAGTAGGAATATATATTTATATTATTGCATGTATCACATTTCCATATTTAGAACTAACAGAATTTTTCATCGTGCCTCCCACCAAATTGTTTATAATTACTCCTCTCCATCCAAAGGTTGCCTGGAAGAGATCGCTCTTAGCGATAAGGTCGCCCATTGTTTTCTCATTGTGATTGTTTCTTGTAATTGTTTGTATTTATAATAAGTTTATTATTGTAATCTTTTGGAGGAAACAATAAAGAGTATCTATCTATCTATCTATCCATTCATATACATAATTACTATTTCATTTACACTACATATTTGTTTATAGTATTATAAAACAAATTGTGTACCTTGTGTGCGTACAGCGTCCGTTCTCGGAGTGCGACAGCAACTACCAGATAATGTTCATGGTGGGAATGGGCGGGCGGCCGCAGGTGCCCGACTCGCTGTCGGCCGAGGGCCAGCAGTTCTGCCTCGCGTGCCTCACGCACGACCCCGACCTCAGGCCCAGGGCGGAGGCGCTCATCCTCCACCACTTCGTCATGGTAATTTTTTTTTTATTATAAAGAAATAGAGTGGTATCCATAGTTAGTTACTATTGGTTTATGATGCCAGCCTTTAACTGTCCACTGCTGAACATAAGCCTCCCCTTTGGGGGGTTCTGCCAGTAGTTGCCACGCTTGGTAGGCGGATTGCCAACCGCAGTCAGGCTTTAAAGATGTTTTAAGAGGGACGCTGCCGCCCGTCCCTTGCCCTCCCTTAGTCGCCTCTTACGACACCCACGGGAAAGGAAGGGGTGGCCTATTCCGTGCTGGGACAACACGGCCATAGGTGATGATAGGTGACGATGAAATCAGCTGATCTATTGAGTGGCAAACATTTTTGGCTATTATGTTTATTAACAGTCCACTGCTGGGCATAGGTCTCTCTCATAGACTGCCATAAGGAATGGTCCCGAGTCAATTGCGCCCACTGACTCTATACAATGCATTAGAGGTCGCTCCATCTAGTGGGGGATTCGTCCTACACTGAATTTGCCCATATGGGTTTTTTTTAATGGATGATAATGGAATGGTAACCCCACCCGCGCTACCGGTATACACCGGCGGGGCACCAGTGAAGGATGATAGGTGAGGATGACGTAGGTCAGTTAGCCCGTCGTGACGAATTCAACAAGAATTGTTCACGATGGTTTCCAGGGGGAATCGCGTGGAGGTCGACCTAGTAAGGCATATTGCTAGCAATGGGGCTGTCAAACTCCATTGCTAACAATCCCTTTCCCTCCGCCCATATGGGGTTGCCAGTCAAGAACCTTTCTTCCACATCGGTTGTCGATTCTTCGAGCTATGTGACCTGCTTATCCTTCTAGCTGCATCGATCACTTTGGTCCTTCCACGGATAGATATATTCATTTTATTTTACTTGATGTTTGTAACACAATGGATGATGTCCACCATATGATATCCGAATGTACGAAATACAAAACACAAAGGGAAGTATTGATACAGAAACATAGTCTCAATAGACAGGAGATTGGTTTATTTTCAAAAATATACTCGCAGAGCCACATTCCGGAATGGCAAAAATCTTTAATTACTATATTTTTGTATGAATAATTCCCTTTATGAAAATAGACTACTAAGATTTTATGTATTATTTATTTATGTATCAATGTTTTATGTATGTGAGGTATTTTATAAAATTAGGGTATGATGAGGCCGACGTATTCGACGTATTAGAAGGATAAGCAGCGGGTCTACCATGAAATGAAATTCCGAAATTTCGGACTCAATTTCGTGTTTTTGTTTATACCAAAATCGGACCAATAAATGGAGTTTAACATTTCGTTTGTCATACATACTATCATAAAAGTCCAAAGGAACAATATTTTAACATTTTTAATATTTCCAAATGACATGTATTATGTAATTTTAACATCAAATTTCTGTTTCGTTTGGCTCCGAAATTTCGGAAAACATTTCATGGTAAGCCCTCAGGTCACATAGCTCGAAGAATCGACAATAAAAGCCTCTAAATAAAAAATTTACTTGTTTCAGAGTAATCCCGACAACGACTGCAAATGTGAGCCGGCTTATCTCATATAAGTACTCATACGGACACTATGTTTAATATATTATTATATATAATAGTAAATATACAAAATTGCTACTTATTTTATTTTTTGTAATAATTTTTTTTTAACATTTTTATGGAATATTATGGGAATTGTGATAACAATACAATCACATTTGAATCCTTCTTTGCATGATTTTTTTTATTGGTGAAATAAATTAAGGTGATATAATTCATGTTCAAAATTAATGGAAAAATGGTTAAAAAAATAAATTTAACAGCTATGTTTTTTTTTTTTTTGCTGCAATGGACATTAAAAAGGTGTCCAGACACGATCAACCTGAAGTGAACTTGTTCTTTTATATAACTTTTGGACATTCAATGTTATGATGGAAATTTCAAACATTATGCAAAGAAGGGTTAAAGAAATAAATACATACATATAATAAATAGAATGTAAATACATAGATGAATACAAAAAGACATACAATAGTAATGTAATTCTTTATTAGATAAAATTTTATATATGTATATAAAAATTCATACATTAAGTGGTAGAATTGAAACGATATAGAAGTGCTTTATCATCATATCGGCCTTCACTGTCCACTGCTGGACATAGGCCTCACCATTGGGATGTTTTGCCAGTAGTTGCCATACTTGGCAAGCAGATTGGCAACCGTATTTAGCCTTTGCTGATGTTCTAAAAGGGACGCTGTTACCCCATCCCTCGCCCTCCCTTAGTCGCCTGTTACAAAACCCACGGGAATAAAAGGGGCGGTTCATTCTATGCTAGGACCACGCAGCAGTGCTTTATAAAAGAGGCCTATTTAAAGAAACGTAAATTTATATTACTTGGTAAGCTTTTAATGTATTAAGTGATAAGAAACGAGCTCGCCTTCATATAGGTAATAAATAAATACATAATAGAAAAATATATTTTATGTAACTTGTTGAAAATTCCGTCTTAAATAAATATTGATATTTAGATAAACAGATAGATAGATACTCTTTATTGTTTCCTCCAAAAGATTACAATAGTAAACTTATTATAAATATAAACAATTACAAGAAATAATCACAATGAGAAAACAATGGGCGACCTTATCGCTAAGAGCGATCTCTTCCAGGCAACCTTTGGATGGAGAGGTGTAGTTTTTTTTTTTGGTGGATGAAAGTGGTATGGCAACCCCGCCTGCGCCAACGGGATACACCGGCGGAGCACCAGTGAAGGGTGATAGATGAGAATGAAAACAGGCCAGTTAGCCCATCATGATGAATTCATCAGGAATTAACCATGATAGTTTCCATCGACCTGGTTGGGTATATTGCTAGCAATGGGATTTTTAGTCTCCATTACTAACAATCCCTTTCCCCCGGAGAGGTGTAGTTATAAACAGATATTTAATTATATATTTTTTTTATAGTTGCCATTGCATTTTACTAATTGTTAGACAGATGCATTTTAATCGACTATTTATTATATTATATGTAATATATAAAAGTTATATTTATACAATGTTGTGTCGGTTTGGTCATTTGGAGAGGATGGATGAAAGAAGAATTACGAAAGAGATTTATAGAGCAAGAATGAATGGAGATGTCGGTAGGGGCCGCCCTAGACGGACGTATGTCGACCAAATAGGCGACGTGCTGAAGAAGGGCCCAATTAAAAGTACCCGTAACCGGCGAGCGTGTATGAAAAGATTGATGAATGTGGAGGAGGCGAAAGAGGTTTGTTTGAATCGAAGCATTTGGCGTTCCATTGTTTCTGCCTACCCTAATTGGAGACAGGCGTGACAGATATGTATGTATGTATATTTATACAAATATAAGTAAATAATCGTGGTAGCTATTCACTACTACAGACACGTGGTAGCGAAGAATAAGAGATGATAAGATGTAACTGTATAGGTGATGAAGGTATGGGCACTGAAATAAAATTATCAACTACAATCTCTATGGAATGACAGCAAAAGACAGAGATAGCAAATGTGTGTGTAACTATTAAAAATATATGTGGTACCCTTTTCAACCGACATCGAAAAGGAGGTATTCGATTGTATTTTTTTTTATGTTTACTACCTCATAACTCCGTCAGTTTTAAACCGATTTGCAAAATTCTTTTATGTCTAATAATAATAATAAACTCTTTATTGTGCACAATAGAGGTATATACAATTAGTTTAGGAGTATTTATACAGAATGTGCGTATACAAAAGGCGGCCTTATCGCTAAAAGCTAAAAGCAATATCTTACAGACAACCTGGAATTGAATTAAACTTAATCTAAATCTATTTATATATACAGATTGGAACCATAGAAATTTTATCAAAATCGGTTTAGTAATTTAATTTCTAAATCAAAGTAACTGATTTTGCCACAATGAAGGTCTGTTTTTTTTTTTTATCTGTGGAACACAGTCTTGTTTTACAAAGGGCTAAACAGACCAGACGGTACTATCGTTGTCTAAAACTTAAGTTAATATCATAACTTCACATTCCTTATTTCAGTCTGATTTGTTTTAATGTTGTATTATTGTACATTTTAACATGTAATTCATTGTACATATTTTGTGGGCAAATTTATATTGTTTTGTAGATGTCACATGTATACATGAGTTATAATTTTAAATATACATATATATACGTATACATATACCACATATAAAGTGTGTTATGATGAACTTAAAAGTAGGTTGAAATAATGTTAGTCAATTTTACATGCATTTAATGCTGGATTTTACAATAATGATATATATTAAACATTGTAATATGTACGGGGTGAAATTGCATTTAAAATATTAGTTTTGTGTCAGTCATACGGAACATTTTTCTAAAGAAACGTGGCTTGGAAAACGTCCAAATAGTCTAGCTTTTTAAACTAACAATTCACTTATATATATATATATATATATCTATCTTTTTAAACATAACAATTCCATATTACAAAAATAATAAAAGATTATATATATATATATATATATATATATATATATATATATATATATATACATGCAATAATAAACATACAGCTTGTCTGATGAGAAACTGTTTTTATGTATGTTTATTTATTTTTTCTACTTTATTTAAATTTTGAGAAAAATTATCAATTTCAACCTGTATATAGTTAGATAATAAAATATAGATAACATTGCAAGTAACGGAACTCGATGACTAAACTAGTAGTTATCCAGAGGCCAGTATTACGATACGCAGTTGTTTTTTTTTTTTTACAGTTAGGCATGTCCTCTCTTGTCAGCTGCAGATTGTCTATGGAATTTATAATTGTTGTTATATATTAAACACGTCTTAATTATTATCTGTACAAATTGTTTTATCTATTGTAGTTACTAATCTGTACATAAAGAGTATAATGAATTGTATCTCAAATTATACTTAAATTGTTATTTTTATATATAATTAACACTAAACCGTCTTATCCTCTCAACTGTGTCGCGTCCGTTCAGCGGACATATACATAATAATGTCACATATACTGTTTTGTCTAAACTAGCTTGGCGATAAGCTTAAATTATTGTAAACAAACAACCTCTTGTCCCTGACACCAAGAATGTACGTAAAATAAAGAAATAGTAGATCCACTTAAGTGTCAATTGAAGAGGGACTTATCTGGTCCATGTTTATAAACAAGTGCTGTATAAAAAAAATGTATTGGAACATAAACCATTTTATTTTTATTTTATCAAGTATATAATATTGTACAAAAATACATATAATTTTACATCCAGCAACGTCTTAGTTTTTTAATAATTGAAAAATAAAAGGTAAGTTAGGTGAGCCCATTTTATTTCTCATAGAACAGTTGCAATGCAATTCAAAGTCGAGTGTAGTCTAAGAAATTACATAAAGAAGACTAGTTGGAATATAAACCTAATTTGAACTTTGTATAATTCCAATTAGATTTCGGGAAAAACTGTTTTTTTTTTAAACATATACGCTAAAAATACCTAGTCTGTGTAAAGTCCGCTCACGGGACGCCACAGATGTGGATTTTCCACCATTTTGCATGACACAGTTGAAAGGCTAAAAGACTTGATACATTTTAAATGGCATGTGTATGTTAAACATAGTCGATATGAGAACGATGTAAGCACATATATATAGTAAAAATATATGATTCGTGTGTGATTACGCCACGTGACACTTGTTACTGTTACGAAATATTTATTTTGTCACTTTCATAATATTTTGTGAACAAAAATGAATTATCAAAATTGAAAACGTTGTATTATTTCGTGGGATTGAATGTTATTCGAATTTTACATTAAAAAAAGAATGGCAGAGAGTGTGATGTTTGATGAATGCCCATGGGCAGTAGCATGCTACTTCCTATGAATTGCCGTTTCTGAGAACTTACCAGAGGGTTTGTACAAAAGTCGTTTGCTTGTGCACCTCTGTCCCATTCGTGTTTCTATCGTGAAGCAGTTGTTTGCATGGCTGTGTTTCGGTTTGAAGGGTGGGATATTGCAGTGAATTTACAGGATACAGAGAGATAACACCAGAGTCCTCAGGTATGGCAACGCATGGGGGTATCATGGGTGAAACGGTATACTTTGTTATGTCCATGGTACTGCTCATGTCTATAGGCGACGGTTATCACTTTCCATCAGGTGGACCGTCAGCTTGTTTGCCATTCTAAGTTGTATAAAAAAAACTATGGAACCTTTGAAAAATCTAAATGACAGCGGCCATGCAAATACAAGTGCTTAGTGATAAAAACAAGAGAGAAGTGCGTACACAGCCGACTTCAACTTATTTAAAAAAAGGAAGATTTGTTACCTCATAACTCCGTCAGTTATAAACTGATTTAGAATTTTTTTTTATCTGAAAAAATATACTTACCAATACGGTCGCATATAAATTCTATTAAAAAAATTCAGTAGTTTTGAAACCAAATAATAATTTTTTTTTTTTTTCACAATTCAAGTCGGTTTTACAATACAATCTTTAATTAAGTTTTTTTTTTAAAGGCCATCTGCGAGTACATTTACAGCGCGCCATTTTTAATGGGATAGAAGATCCCTTTGGAAAGTAAATAATTATATCTATCTATCCTATTTAAGAGCTGCGGTGGTGCTCTTGCCACTCACTTATATTTTCAGCGAGTCTCTTCACCTCTTGATATGACACGACACCAATTCCTGCCTTGATCTGCCTGATGTAACTATGTCTCGGTCTCCCTCTTCCCCTCCTTCCTTCTATCTTACCTCCTATTATAATGTACATAAGTTTGTCGTGTCGTATCAAATGTCCCAACATATTTTCCCTTCTGTCCTCAATAGTTCTAATAATTTGTCTCTTTTACTTAACCCTAGCCTTAATTCTAGCATTATAAAAAATAATTATGAATAACCATAACATAAAAGTGGACAAGACGAAGGAGCCTTGGAGTTGGTTTCAGAGATGTTTTCTCCCACGAACACTCAGATTATGGAACGAACCTCCTTGCCGAGGTTTTCTCAAGAAACTACAGCATGGGGTTCTTCAAAAGGGGGGTAAAGAGGTTTCTTCAGGGTCGGCAACGCGCGCGTAATACCTCTGGTATTGCAGGCGTTCATAGGCTACGGTAACCGTATGCTTGTTTGCCACCTCAGTGGTATAAAAAAAAAATTGGGTTGGTTGCACAAAAATACAGTACTTTCCATAAAATTTTATTGAGAGCAACATTGAATTTACATCGACATTTAGTACCTACTTACAACTACTGATATGTTTGAGTTACACTTGTGCAGGACACTCCAACTCCTCTATGATATGTACCAGTTATTCTTAACACTGTTTATTATTCATTTTTTTTTTTATTTTCAACAATTTTGTCTTAGCGGATTTTTACGTTTCAAGACTAATAGCCCGTCAATTGGGAGGAAAGGGTTAGTAATTCTAAGGTAGATTCTAACGTCCCCATTGTTAGCAATATACCCTATCAGGTGGACTTCCACGCGGTTCACCCTTGAAACTATTATGACGAATTCTTCACGACTGACGATTCGATGTTTGCTGGTGTGTTCACAGTGTAAACGCGCGTTCGTTTTTTAAATATTATCTAATAATCCTTAACACATGTCACTACACAGGAATACCGCGCGTGAAATTGTCGAACTATATTACAGTCAAACACTTTGGATGGATTGTGTGAAAGACGATATGGCCAGAATGGGAGTGAATGCGGAAATGACTGGGAATAGAGAAGAATGGAAGAGTAAACCATATTACGCCGACCCCAAATAATAATTGGGATAAGGGTAGGAAGATGATGACGATTACAGTCAAGCACTTTGATATGTGACAGAATTAGGAGCACTACTTGGTACCCAATCAATTTATCATCAACATCTACATACTTAGAAATTAGAGATCCTTGTTTCTTAACGTAGGAGCTTTTTTTTATATTAAAGGTGCTTTGTTTAGGCATCCCGTCCTCGGTATTAAATATGGGTGACGGAATGCCTTTTCTGATTGATGCGTTGTCTTCTTGAGGGTGCAATCCAGTTATTAGGGGAGCATAGTTTAAGAATGGACGACCGGGGACTACTAATAAAATGAATATGTCGGCCTTCAAGCAGACAGCTCCTGTTCTCTGCCGGTTGTACGCTCAAAAGAAGTCCTTCGTAGGAGTATTTAAGAGAGGGCTGACTGGACAGTGCCTATCCCAAAATTGTCTAGTGGCCACCACAGGATCTGAGCGGAACTTGCAGCTATGCACAACAAGATATGTGCGTCTTTTCAAGGGACTTGCAGGTCTACTCTTGAAACTAATATCAATTAAATTTAATACCAATGACAATTTTGTATTGGCCTCATGAAATAACAATAAGGTTATAATTAGTATCGGTTTACAATAGCTTGCATTGGAATGTTGCACTAATATGCATCGATCAAAACAGAATAGGATTTTTTTTACTAGTGTTGCAATTCTCGAGTGTGTGACGTTTCAATTCCAATATTGACCTATTGGAATTTATTTACTGTGTACTGTATATCTATCTTTTTAATTTACGGATAATCTGGTAGTATTGTTTTATTGTTACCCTATTCCCTTTGGCCGCAACAGAATATCAGTGCTTTGCTCTTTTGAAGGCGAAGCAATAAACTGAGTTGTGGCCATTTTGTATTGCTATGGCACACACACAAACGAAAATTGTATTTAGCTTTATGTATTTTTTTTTTAATCATTTATGTTATCTCGCTTTTTTTTGTATATGTATGTTGTAATTTGTGTGCTGTAAGTAAGTAATGAAAATAAATTATCTATCTATCTATTTCAAGAGTAACCCCACAGATCTTGGACAGTAATCCTAATTAGCCCAATATTAACGGCACGCTCGAGATCGGAGCCTACAAACTAAACAATAATAACATCCACAATAAGATACCTAGTTAGTTCATAAGAAACTGGAATTAATGCGATTATTTAGGTGAACAATTGATAATGTACTTGAATTATCTAGTCGTCTCGAACGAAGAGTCTACTGTGAAATGAAATTCCGAATTTTCGGACGCTTTTTTTTTGTTTTTGTTCATACCAAAACAATACCCAATAAATCGAACTTAATACTTTATTCCTCATAAATCCTACCATAAAAGTCTAAAGGAACGATATTTTAGCATTTTTTTTTTTGCTTTTTGCTTGGGTACCTCTGTCCCATTCGTATTTCAACCGTGAAGCAGCTGTGTTTGCATGGCTGTGTTTCGGTTTGAAGGGTGGGATATGGCGTGAATTTACTGGGTACAGAGGAATAACACCTGAGTCCTCAGGAATGGCAACGCATGGGGGGTATCATGGGCGAAACAATATACTCTGTTATGTCCATGGTACTGCTCATGTCTATAGGCGACGATTACCACTTTCCATCAGGTGGGCCGTCTATGTAAAAAATTTTATAAAAAAATAATTTAATATTTTATTATATATAATTTTAACATCAAATTTGTGTTTTTCTTTCGGCTGCGAAATTTCGGAAAACATTTCATGGTAGGCCCTCAGACTACACCATACAAACAAGACCACTGTCGGTGTAACATGGTCGGAACGGTAAGATAATGCAGGTAAATTATTATACTTCCCCTAAATGTTATTTCCCATTTCTTGTTAACCATAAAACATGCAGCGTCATAGTCTAACCTCCTTATTCATAAAAACGTCAATCTCCTCATAAATCTATTTTAGCTTTATAAGCGTTTTATCCATATCTCTTGCACTAAATTCTCAATTTTTTTTTTATAATACAGAAGGCAAACGAGCATGCGGCTCGCCTGATGATAAGTGACTACCGCCGCCCATAATCACCAACAACACCAGAGGCATTGCAAATGTGTTGTTGGCCTTTTAAAAAGAAATACGCTCTTTCCTTGAAACTTATAACGTCGTATCGTTGTAATTTGAAAGACAGTGATAAAACATTTTTATGCAACTTACAATGGCAAACAAGCTGACGGCCCACCTGATGGAAAGTGGTAACCGTCGCCTGTAGACATGAGCAGTACCATGGACATAACAGAGTATACTGTTTCGCCCATGATACCACCCATGCGTTATCATTCCTGAGGACTCAATATTATACTGACGTTCAAACAGTTAAAATAGTTTTGAAGGACTTATTAGTTTTTATGAATAAGGGGGTAAAAGTTAAGACATGTACCCACCAGTGGCCAGAGCTCATTTACATGACGATAACTCACCGAACCATACGAATACAAAGATAAATGATAAGGAACGTCTAAATCCGACAAGATGCCTACTGCATATTCATACAATCGTGACATTAGCGTAACATTTACATCTAAATATATAACTATATATGTAAATAAATACATTCAACTAGAATATAAACAATTAACTACTATACGTCATACATAACATATAGTTAATAATTTAATATTTATTTATACTAAATAAAGCTGAACAACATTTTTATTTCTTTAAATTTTATACAATGAGTATAATCTGTCAATAAAATATAAATAAAGCAGATAAAACATTTGTTATTACTTAATACTACTAAGTAGTACTAAGGTTGGGGGGAAAGGGATTGTTAGTAATGGAGACTGAGAATCCCATTGCTAGCAATATACCCAACCAGGTCGACCGTCTCGCGGTTCCCCCTGGAAACTATCATGGTTAATTCCTGATGAATTCATCATGATGGGCTAACTGGCCTGTTTTCATTCTCATCTATCACCCTTCACTGGTGCTCCGCCAGCGTATCCCGTTAGCGCAGGCGGAGTTACCATTCCATTTTCACCCATAAAAAAAAACTCCACATTATTATGTAGATAGAGTTCGAAATGCTATTTAGACGAATACAATGGTAATATTATTAATAACTCACACTGACGCCTGATTGTTTCTACATTGCACCCGTGCGAAGCCAGGGCGGGTTGCTACTTACATATAATATAAATATAAAAATCTAAAAGACTGTAACAGTAAGACAATAAACAAAGGGTGTATACTTAAATCCGTTCTTTTTTCTGATTTTATACACTATACCTCAATTATATATTATTGACAGATTATTATATAAATTTAAGAACAGAAGTATAAACGTATAAACTACTTGGATTATGATTTTATAACAATAATAATAAGAATGTATAAATATAATTATACAATAATTAATTGTAATTAATTATTGTATAATTACGCTGGCTACATATATTTTTGTTAATATATGATATTAACACCAATATCTACATATTAATCACATCCAAGGAAACTTAAAATATATGTATGTATATTAAATTCCTTAATACATCTACAAGCTGCTCGTGCTTTAACCATATAGTAGGTAGATATAAGTACCATAGACACATTCATATTTTGAACAATGTACCTGTCATTAATTGACCAATGTTATAATAATTTTTATACTTGCCTGAGTGGATAATTATTTATATTTTAATCTAAAGTAATAATAAATCAATAGACAGTTACTTATAAAAGTATCTGTATACGAATTTATTATTGCTCGATTTTTTTTTATTGACTTGACAACCGGTAGATATCTATGTATGTAAATTATTAATTTGCCAGTAGCAATTACAATAATAACAATAAACAGTGAGTTAATACACTTAACAAGTGATTATAATATTTCTATATCTTTAGGATCCACGCTACATACTTAACTCTAATGTTGCTAACATTCTAATAAATCATGAACACGGTCAACTTATCATATTAAAAAAGTAATAAAACAATTATAAGTTATATAATTTTACTACTTATATATATATATATAAGTAATATAAATTCAGGACATATGACTTATATTAAGTAAGTTACAAATTAAATAGCTGACTAAACATAACATTTTAAATATTCAAAAATATTGCTCTAGATTATTTAAAAAATTAATTGAAAAACATAAATAGATACTTAATACTATAGGTAGGTTTGCATTTGCATTACTCTATTCAATTGTTACACATTCAACCATTTAGCTTTAAAAAAAAATATTATATATTTAAACAATTCTTTACTCACCTATCTATAGTACTGGTTCATAGTGTTCACGTAAAAATTATAACATAAAAGTATAACGTCTTTCTAAAACTTTTATTTGCTATGTTTAATATGTCTTCACATCAAATTTCAACAGATTGTATTTAAATTTTTAAAAGTTTATAATATTTTTCCCTTTACGCTAATATTTTTTTTTAATTTTTTCAATGATACATTTTTTTTATTATAACACGACATGTGACAACACTATCCTGAGCGAACACAGAGACGACATGGTCCATGAATACGATTAATCGAAAAGAGAACGTTCTACTCTCAACGGTTGGCCGCACTATGCCAGCTCACTCGCCTCTCTCATACTCACATGGACGCTAGGCTAAGCATTTTACATTTTATATTAACATTTTTTAATTTTATTCAACATGAAAACACTCCACAGCTATTTCCTAACTTTTAACACTCGTGCATAGTTTCCTTTAAATAAAATTATAAAGCCATTGTGCTTTATTTAAAAAGTTTTAGTTGCCTACCTATAAATAGGAAGGCAGAATTTTATATATCTTGTTTTATAACGTTGTTATTCTTGACATGTAAAGAGACATGTAAGTTATATTTATATAACTTAAAGATGTATAACTACTAAGTATAAAATTACTTAGTAGTGGTAAGTATATTCTACTGTGTATGATTGAAATATTTTTTTTAATTATATTATAATTTACTTCCTTATAATAATATATTAAATATATTAATTAGATGATATGTTCTCATATCACTATAAATTACTTACACTAAAATTTCTTTGATATGTTTGCGATATTCTTGGCCATGCCTTGCATGAATGGCGGCATTGATATGTATAAGTTTCATTATTTTATATATTATTTATATAATTACGCTTAATGCTAATTTATATTAAATTAAACAATAATAAATAGCATGAATTATTCAATTTTGTTAATGTTATTAAAATTTAACTCGGTAAAATTTTTAATAAATAGATTTATATTACGATAATATTCACGTAAATATCTGACGAGACAGCAATTTAAAGCTTTATGTAACATTGTTAAAAAAGTGCTAATTTTATTTTCTTAAAGAAAGCAGTTAAGTTGTAAGTAAAAAGTATCTATTCCGTTATCATGTGACTAAAATAAACTTAAAATTAAACTCACACTCATACCTATAGTGCTTGTTTTCATCTCTTGCATCTTTAATTCGGTCACATTAATTTAGTTTCTCTCAACACTAAACAATTGACACCAATCTACCCATTAACGGTTCATATTAATCACATTAATATGCTAATTAAAATCACTTTATCGTTGTAATACAAAATTATGACTTTTATATAATTATAATTTGCCAATAATAATATTACTATGTAATAATATATTACAAATCTAAATTTTATGATATCACCACAGCATTGACAATATTTACGACTTATCACTAATCTATTATTTGGAACAGTGTTAGTAGGTAGACAATTTAGACACTTACGTAGGTGCATAAGTATTCACTACAATTAAATAGTGCATCGTAGATAGTACTATATACAGAAAGTATATAGTCCTTTGTATATTTATACTAGTTTTAATTAGTTGCAAATGGCAAACAAATTAAATCATTTCATTTGAATTGAAATATATTGTGTCAAGGTCGGGTAAGTACCTACCGTTTAGTAATTTACTATTATAATGGATGTAATATTATAATGGATGTAATATTCTATTAACATTTTTTCATTTCCATAAGTATATTAAAATTTAATGTAGTAAAGGACAAATCTGACGTTATTTCGAAAATAACTTAGTTACCATCTTCAACTGTGCTGCAGCACTCTCATTTATTTATTTTTTATACTTTTATAACTCGTATGATTTATTAAACGAGCGTGTCCTAAACTGTTTAGAATTGGTGTAATAATTTACATGCTCATTTCAAGCATCAACTTAATTAGTAGATATAAAATTAACTTTCGAAGTTACATCTTTTTTTTACATTTGACCAGTGTGATATTTATAAATAAGTTTTAACAAATGTATAAATAGACATCTGAAATGTGTATATAACTATAAAAATTTATATAATACTAAGCTAAAATCAAGTAAATAAGTAGGTAGATGTAATATAGATTAAATTATTGGATAAGTTTATTTGACTAAATATAATCCGTAAAGTTTGGGTATACCCAGGAGTTGCAAATTTATAACAAACAGTCAAGCTAGTTATTTACTAATATAATAATATTCGGTTGATAGACTTTTTTTTAGGTATCAATAAAGTGGCTCTTTTTATTATTTTTTGTTAACACGTTGTTTCGGGTACGATCATATTTATCTTTTTGTATAAATTGATTATAAACATAAATACAGTTTTCAATACTTAGAGTAAGAAATACTATATTTTAATATTATATGTAGAAGGAAAGATAATTACTATACCAATAAGAACGCGGTATTAAAGTTACCCAAATTTCCTCAATTATATAATCCACTTTTCCATTTTTATTTTTCAGATAATTATAATTCTGTTTAATTAAAGGCAAACTATGTGCATAATATTTCATATTATTACATTTCTAGCCAATATTTAGACACCAAACAAACAGACTAAGCTAGCAATCAATCAGTGTCGACACTACACTTACAGGCAACGTGCACATTGACTCTACATTGCTTTTTCATCTAATAAATATTAATTGGCTATAAAAAAAATAGTTTTACTATATTTTTCTACTTAACTAAATATTGACTATACATAAAAAAAATACTAGATATAACAATATTTAATATTTTAGTCCCTTTTTTGCTGACTACACGCAATAAAATTCAAAATGGCGACCACGTCGTCCAGCTAACCGACATAAGACTTATAGAGCACGGCAACAGTTTCAATAAACTCTGATAATGTATTTATATACCTAAATAAACTAATTAAATACAATTTTCACTACCAAGCATCTTATACCAAAATTCTAATAACATCGACAAATTGTTTATATTATTTATAATTTCAACATGACTAATATAAATTAAACATTTATAATTAATATAATATAAATAACCATTATTATATTTATATTATACCTAGCAATTAAGTCATATTTGATATGTATTCGGTTTGACTCATAAGTTTTCATTAAAATTGTGATTGTTTTTAACATATTTATAGTTTATAAAAATTACTTTTAAACACTTTTCAAATATAATCAACTTGGCTTTCAGTTTTTAATTCGTTTAAAATGTCCAATAAGGTGCATATAACTTACTTTTATTACTTATTCTTTCCAAGATATCTTTAGCTCTAATTTTTTAAATTATGAAGCCATATTTTAATTTTTTGATATGTATATTATAAATTGACACCTCATCTTTTCACAGTACTGTACTTATTCATATTGTATACCTATATAAATAAACATTTTGGTGAGTCCTACATTTCAACAGTGATTTATTGGGACCCATTTTCCGATCACATATGGGCACCGTAAATTTGTGTGCCGATTTTCAATACAGATAATATTAAGTTTACTTTCTATTTTGGAACATAAGCTTCATGGAGTCCAGTGCTTCTTCCAGGAACTGCCGGAACGCTTCAGTGTTGGTCACGCTCGAGGAAGTGAATGACGATATGCAGAAGATGACGGATTCCTTCTTCGGATTGTAGCTGCAGCCGTATCCATCTGGGACTACTGCACCGTATCCCATAAACGTGCCGTCTGTAGTGGTTGCAACCTGGGAGATCACAAATGTAGCCATAAGTACTTACTTTGTACTAAGGTAATAAAATTGCATACGGTTAGCCTAATGATGAAGGGGGAAAGGATTGTTAGTGAGGCGGACTACTCCCCTGGAAACTATCGTACTGAATGCCAGCTGTATTCATCACGATGAGCTAACTGACCTGCCTTTTCAATTTCACCTATTATACCTCACTGGTGCCCCACCAGCGTATACTGTTAGCGCAGGCATTCCATTATCATCCATTAAAAAAAATCTAATGGTGAGCGATTATAAACCCTTTTTTGAAGAACCCCTTGATGTAGTTTCTTAGCCAAAACCTTAGCAGGAATTTACTTCTATAACCTGAACGTCCGGAAGAGGAAACACTTCAGAATCCACGCTGTACGTTTCTAAGAGGAGAACTCCATGTTGAAACTTGAAACAACTCGCTTGATAGAAAATAGTAACCATCACCTATAGCAAAAAACGACGTCATGGACAACCCGGAACTCACTATGACCCTCATAGTATATTATTTCTTTGCGTTACCATTCCTGAGGACTAGGGTATTATGATGACGATGTCAGCCGTTAACTGTCCACTGCTGCCTTTCCCTTGAGGAATCTTACTAGTAGTGACCACGCTAGGCAGGCATATTTTTTACCAGATTTTTTTTTATACAACTTAGAATGGCAAACAAGCTGACGGTCCACCTGATGGAAAGTGGTAACCGTCGCCTATAGACATGAGCAGTACCATGGACATTATAGAGTATACTGTTTCGCTCATTATATTGTTGATAGGTGTTATTCCTCTGTACCCAGTAAATTCACGCCATATTCCACCCTTTAAACTGAAACACAGCCACGTAAACACAACTGTTTTACGGTTGAATCACGAATGGGACAGAGGTACCCAAGCAGACGACTTTTGTAAAAAGTCTCTAAAAAATATTAATTTGGTACATAATAAAGCCCTCACCTGACTAGTGCTGAGTTTATATTCAATCATTTGTTTGTATGTGACGTCGGTGAACAAGGGTGGGAGTTCTCCGAGGGTTTCTCTCGCCGCCTCCCGGAGCGCTATCAGGTGGTTGTCTATGCCGCGGCCCAGAATGTTCGCTTCCATGATCGAAGTCTGCTGACGGGCTGCATCTTCGAACTTCTCAAGTCTCTTCTGTTCCTAATGGTAAATATGTAGTATAAATACCTATAGTCGATATAAAGGTACTAGATACGCAATATTTTATGCAAAATGTCTTTATAAAGTGAGGCTACTTGTACTCTTTCACAGATTTAGTAAAAGATGTTTTTTACGACTTTTATACGGTTTTTTTTAATTGAAAATCCCTTCCTTACTCTTGGTGTAATTTATCGTAATACTTAACCCTTCTAGCTTCCTCCAAGCGCCGCCAATATTTAATAATGAAATTTCTAAAAAAATATTATGTTTTCTATTAATTTCACTAAATAAGTTTAAACAGCAATGTTTTCTATGCGCTATATATTATCCATATATTTTCTGTAAAAAGAGGAGAATAAAATATTGATATGAGCACTTCACTACGGGATATCTTTTCCCGACTACAACCCAACCCATTAGAAACCTACGCAACAATGGACACGTCCGAACCTTTGAAAGAGTACAAGAAGAACTCACTTAAAAAAAAAAGAAATTCCAAAATCCACACATAAATTTCCACAAAATGCTTACAATACAACACAACTATGCAAAATGTATTGTGCATTTTAATAAGTAGATAAATGTGAAATAATATTAAGAAACCGTGAAAAAGTGTAGCAAGAAAAAAAAAGGTGAAGAACTTGCATCAAGATACCAGAACAGATAAAGGTTAATATAGTATTAAAAGTATGAAAACAGCGAGCGAGATAGAAAAGAGAAAAATATTTTAAATGTCACAGACAGTAACTGATCATTCTCCCGTTTTATGGAACTGGTTCAGCAAGCAGAATGTTAGATAAGACGATGAGAAAATTCAAATGAAGAGTCGTGAATTATATTCAAGTGTCGCTTGTATTAAATGTATGTTTACGCTTCAATTAACCCCATATTACGGTGGTGTGTGGTCTGGTGTGTCCACTACTCTTACATTATAAATGTCCTCACCCCGTACAAATTGAACGAGACCTTTTTCTGGGTGTCGTCGGTGGGCTCCGTGAGCGGCGACTTGTCCGCCGAGCACATGGCCTCGGACCAGGCGCGCGCCGCTTCGTGGGCAGACCTGATGTTGTCCACGCGACCAGCGCGGAATCGCCGTAGGGAGGCGGACTCGTATGTACTCACTAGGTAGCCGTACATCCTGTGAAGCCACAGTTGATAGTGGATTAATAAAGATCATATAATATTTGGAAAAATACGTGATGAAAGTGGATGAGAGGTTTAAGGATTAAGGTCTTTGAAATTCGATTCCATCTGCTTTACATATATGGGTTTTGGTGTGAGTGCAGTATTAAATTGTCATTAGCAATAGATGTGGTTTGAGATCCATGTTGGATTCAAGAGTTATCCTACTGTTTGTTTGTTTGTTTGTTTTTTTATTGATTACTATTATAATTTAATTGCTTTCTATTTGTATATAATTATTATATTCTTTTGTTTGTTTTGTTTTGATTTCTTTTGCTCTTGTTTTGTGCGCTACTGTGTGGGCCGCATGCTTCTTCGATTAAATTATTTCTTTCTTTCTTTCTTTAAACAGATAAGTAGATGGCATAATTTGCAGCGATTCGATCCTGAAGTCTTAAATTTCAAAATTTTTAAAACACGTTGACTATTTTTTTATGGGAAATGGAGACAAACGAGCATGCGGCTCACCTGATGGCTAGTAATTACCACAGCCCATTGATACTGACAATACCATAAGAGACAACACCGATACATTGCCGAATTTTTAATAAGGTAGAAATCTATTCTTGAAGGATCCCGTTGTCACATTGTTTCACATTGTACTTACCATTCTTGTACCTGATTGCTTCCTTTGTAGTAATAAAAATAACAAACATTCATCATAACCTTAAGTCTTAACAAAAATAAAAAATATCCTACATAATATAACGATAAGTCCTGTCTATTACAAAAAATGTCGTCAAAATTGGTGTAGTATCTATTGTCGAAGATACCGCGTACCTAATATACACGCTAAAAAAAAAACAGCAATATTGAGACCTCCACCTGGTACCGTTTAAGGAATCTCTTTTATGTATAAAAATCCATATTTCACGAATACAAAAATGGAAAGAAGAAAGAAATATATAGGAATGTACAATATTACCTATGTATGTAGATATATCACTTTTGCATATATAATAGATAGATATATACTCTTTACTGTTTCCTCCAAAAGATTACAATAGTAAACTTTTTATATATACAATTACAATAAATAATCACAGTGAGAAAACAATGGGCGATCTTATCGCTAAAAGCGATCTCTTCCAGGCAACCTTTGGATGGAGAGCAGTAATTATAAACAGTTTGATCGGAGGCACGATGAAAATTCTGTTATTTCTAAATATGTAATACATATAATAATGTAAATATATATTCTACCTACTTGTTATTATCCTATTACTACCTACTTATTATTATATACATAATATATACATTGTAAATAACAAAATTTGTCATACATACTTATAATAGGCATACTGCAAAGCGAGCTGTATGTAGACGTCAGGACTGGTGCGGCATGATTTCATAAATTCGCGTCCGTACCCACGGTACGTGTACACCTTGAAATCCAAGTCCAAAATGGCCCTGAAAAATAAACCAGTATTTTTTTTGGTGGATGAAAATGGAATGGTAACCCCGCCTGCGCTAACGGGATACGCTGGCGGAGCACCAGTGACGGGTGATAGATGAGAATGAAAACAAGCTAGTTAGCCCATCATGATGAATTCATCAGGAATTAACCATGATAGTTTCCAGAGGGAACCACGAGAAGGTCGACCTGGTTGGGTATATTGCTAGCAATGGGATTCTTAGTCTCCATTACTAACAATCCCTTCCCCCCAATAAATCAGTATTAGGAGACCATGGAAGTAGATGAGGCAAAGACGCATGTGTGGATAGACATAAGTTTTTGGTTCTAGTTGACGAGTTGTAGGACTTTTCCAAATGATTTCCAAAACAATGTTTATTTTATTTATTTATTTATACTTTTGCAGACATTGAAAAATGTCTACAGGGCGGACTTAATGCCTGATGGCATTCTCTACCAGTCAACCACCACGCCAGACAGAGAGAGCAAACGGCGGTGCACAGATTTAAGAAAATAGCAAATGAAATAAATATTTTAAGGGGTAACAATTTATGATAAATAAATCAACAGACTTGAAAGTATTTGTGTACTCACCGATCCAACTCCCTGGCGGCGTGATCAATAGTTCTAAGCACGTCAGGTGTGATGTTCCACCTCATGGCCTGCGGAGCGGGCAGCAGCGCGGGCGGTGGCGCGGGCCTCGACGCCACCTCTGCCCGGGCCAGCGCCCGCTCCGCCAGCCGCACCACCGCCACACCCTCGGCTGCGCTGTGCTCGTAGCACATGCCCACGGTGCCGTCCGAAGAGATGATTAGCTAAAAACAACAATATTTTAATATCTTTACATATCTAAATATCTCTTCTTTTTGTTTTGCTGCCATCTTCTGTCGGAAGACAAAGGGACAAACTTTTAAAGGGATCTGAACAGTTTAACCTGTGTTATCGCATTGTAGAGCGATGGTTTCCTATTTTTATCAAAGAATTCTTTTATGTTTTATTTGTAATAACTACCAGTTTAACTTCCGTGTAATTGAATCGAGATACCTCGACTAGTTTGGGGAACAATTTGTGATCCTTAGTCATGAGCGGCTGTGAAGTGAGCGATGTATTTTTATGAAACTTTTAACAAAAGAATCCTTTGTTTTTTTATACAACTTAGAATGGCAAACAAGCTGACGGCTCACCTGATGGAAAATGGTAACCGTCGCCTATAGACATAAGCAGTACCATGGACATAACAGAGTATACTGTTTCGTCCATGATACCCCCATGTGTTGCCATTTCTGACGACTCAGGTGTTGTTCCTTGTTGAATTTACAGGGTACAGCCCTGTAAATTCACGCTATATCCCACCCTTCAAACCGAAACACAGCTATGCAAACTGCTTTACGGTTGAAACATAAATGGGCCAAGGTACCCAAGCAAACAACTTTTTTACAAAGTCTCCCTCTGGTATTCCTCCCGAATTCCAGGCAAGTATGATTATGTAACATTGGATTTAAAGAATTTATTTTTTTCTGGATATTGAGTTCCCGATTTAGGTACCACAAGAATAACCTATCATCTGTACATACATAGATACAGTATTGTTATGTAAAATCTTTAATATTTCACGTCAAAGTAATTTAAGGTTTATATGACTGTACTGTTTAAGCAACTCACCTGTACGGTCTTATCGAACCAGCGGTTGGCGGAGTGGTGGGCGGTGCCGGCGCCGTGCATGGCGCGGAGCATGGCGTTGGTGTCGGCGTCGGTGTCCGCTCGGTCCCCGCCCGCCTCGTCCAAGCAGAGGATGCACAGCGATCGCGAGATAAGCTCCAAGTTCATGCGGTTGTTCTCATCTGGTTGTCAAGAAATATGAAGGTATTTATCATATCAGTCTTTAACTATCCACTGCTGAACATAAGCCTTAGGGTGTTTTGCCAGTAGTTGCCACGTTTGGCAAGCGGGTTGGCATTAGGGTGTTATGAAAGGAGAAATAGAATAATTAATAAGGAGGTGTACTTTGTAATGAAGTGTGAAAAGCTATTTTCTATCATACAAAAAACCGCCATATCTTTGGTATATTTGAACCATTTTTATTATTACAAAATATATACCTACATTACGTTACTATATTTTGTAATCGTTAGGAATGGCAACGAAGAGGGGAATTGTTCATGTATAAAGGTGGTCGCTACCACTTTCTATCAGGCAGGCCTGTAGCTAGTTTTTCATTTTAAATTGTATAAAAATAGTTCTTGCCGTTTACAACGGCGTAATAAATAACAATAATGGATTTACACTTAAAATAGAAATAAAAATATCCACGATTCTATATTCATTTGTCTTTGTTTGATGTGGACGAAAATCTTGAGGAGATTGTCTACCTTTTATGAGGTGTTCCCTAGTCTTGGCCCACTGATCCCTGTTCATGGACGTGAGCAGGCCGACCTTGGGGGCGGGTGGGGCGCCGGCCGCGTCCACCATCACGTGCAGTAGTTGAGCTTGGATCTCACCCGGGGTCAATCTGCCGCGGTCCACTGCTTTCACCGGGATCGGGTAGAACTGCACAAATACAAATATTATGTTACAATATACCAGCTACAACCACCTTCATCCGTAAGCAATTAGTAAAAAATGGTAATAATAAAAGATATAGTTTATCTATGTATCAATTAGTTATGTCTGATTATAGTGTTTTATGCGTTAAACTATATATTTTAACCAGAGGGAGACTTTGTACAAAAGTCGATTGCTTGGGTACCTCTGTCCCATTCGTGTTTCAACTGTGAAACAGTTATGTTTGCATGGCTGTGTTTCGGTTTAAAGGGTGGGATATGGCGTGAATTTACTACACAGAGGAATAACACCTGAGTCCTCAGAAATGGCAATGCATAGGTGGTGTCATGGACGAAACAGTATACTCTGTTATGCATGTCCATGGTACTGCTCGTGTCTATAAGCGACGGTTACCACTTTCCATCAGGTGCGCCGTCAGCTTGTTTGCCATTCTAAGTTGTATAAAAAAAAAAGAAAATTATTCTATACATACAGCAAAAACAATAATGCGTAGTTCTTTATCTAAGTACATAAGTTTTCTATTTTTGTAAACAAGACATTAGCTGAGAAAAATTTTTGTCTATCGATTTTGGCACGAGAAAGTTGCATAAATATTCTTCTTTATTGATTAAATTTTTATAATTTAGTAATCTAGCTGACTATGGCTGTTAAAATGAAGTCGTTTTGGTATAGAACTTAGAATACTAATTAGATTGATAGATACATAGACAATTTATTTGCATTACTTACAGCACGCACATGAAAACACACATATATTCAATTCAATTTATTGCATTCATTTCATTTCATTATTAAGATGTTAATAATTAATAAAGCATATTGTAAAACCTGTCGGACACAGCGATCAGGAGCGGGGAGGGCGACGTTTATTAAATTTTCATGAACATTTCAATAATTAAATAATTCAATCTTAATTTTATCAATTTAATTCAATTTCAAATTAATTTAATTATTTTAACGAATTTTTTATTTCCATATGTTTTATGTTTTAATTTAATGCAATTTATATATATATATATATATATATATATATATATATATATATCTAATTATATTATATACCAAATTAATATTATGTATCAAATCTTGTAAACTCAGAATAAAGATTTTATTATTATTAAATACAAATAATATTTATATTTATATATATATCGGCGTAAGCATTACTGTCTGTAACTGTGAACGATTACCTTTATAGTACCTTTATAAAATATTTCCATAAACGCAAATGATTTTCTATTAAATCATAATTTCGCGATAAACATAAATTAAATGATTGTATTTCCTTTTGCTCAAACAGAAATGGGATTCTCATTTGACTATTATTTCTATTTAAATGAATTAAATAAATGATTGTATTTCCATTTGCTGCAAACAGAAATATTTAGTATTTCAATGTATCACACTAACAAATTAATCAATATCAATGTTTTATAATAGACTAAACAATTGTAAGTAATTGTATTCACTTATGTAAAAGAAAAATAAGGTATTCAAATGACTGTTCAGTATTTTTACTAGAACACATTATTAAATTAACTATTGCACAATGTTAAGGTTCAACATAATTGTAAATAAGTTATTTTTATAATACTTAGTTACTTCTAGAAAGTTGTAATAAAATAAATAGAATAAATAAATAAAGTTGTGAAACTGTGAGCGAGTCCACGAGCGCGCATTTGATTTAACGGAAAAAGCATTCGTGCCTTTGAACAACATAGTTATAAATGTATAAAAACAGAATTTTCGGTCGAATAGTGACCGAGACACTGTACAGTATTGATGCCTGAGGGCTATAAATATAAGTGTAATTGGTAAAGTAAAGAAATAAAATGGTTCAAAGAAGAAAAGTATAATTTGTTATAGTTACAAATGAATAAAGAATGAATCAAGACAAAATCAAGTAATTTCGGTAATACTAACATCACTATGCCAAAAATTAGGCAAAAACACAAACTGTTTCGTTTTATATATAAACAGTAAAAAGAGATAAAAGAATGCATATATAAAAAAAGCAAAATATATAAAACTTGTAACAATTTTTTCCTTCATGCGTATGCCATAGTAACACAAAATGGTAATTCTTAGTTCTGTTCTATGCATTTTCCATCAGTCGGCTCAGATCGGCTTCTTCTGTTATAGGTATGGGTTTCATATTATATGAAAGTAAAACAAATAATTAATTAACCGATACATTACTTGGGTGATCAGTCAATTAAATGGAGTAAGCAAATTGCAAAACGTCCACACTTACAAACTTTGCAAAACCAAGTTAAGTGATAAAGTGTACCGCGGCGGTTTCCAAGTGTTAAGTAAGTTACCTTGAAATAGAACTAAGTAATGAAGTTATGGCGGGGTTAGGGGACAACTACGCGGGGCGAATTGAATGAAACGTTGTGGAACCGATAGCTAGTTTTGAACGACATTTCTAAAGAATATAATTTATAGATATAATTATATTTATTTTGATATATTCTTATGGTTTAAGTAAATAAAAAAATTGTTATTTTGAGAAAGGACGTCTTTTGGGTTATCACTTTAAAGTTATAGAACCAATTATATACTATTATTTTTTTAAATATTTGTATATAAATAGGTGGAAAAAAAAATTATGTCTTGACTCTCTAAAATACCAGAAAAAAGTCGTAGTATATCTGGAGAGACGAGCTCGACTAAATTAAAAAGGCTTAATACGCCTTGACCAGCAACCGTGGGAGGAGAAAGCAGTTAAGGGGAGGGGAACCTTTGATTAGCAGTGGGACATATAGGAGTTTGTAATGGTCTGAGTAAGCTTTCAATGAGAGAATAGAAACTTCGAATTTCTACGGAAGCGACAACCGGGTTTTACAGTGACAAATATTGGAGTTACTTACATGATTTCTGCATGCTACAACCACCAACTCCTCAGTTTCCGTGTCAGATCTCTTCGGCGGTAGCTCGAGTCTATCGCGTACCATTTCAGGTATACGACATACTCCTAACAGTCGGTAGAACTGTTCCATGCACAGTGGCTGGCCTTTCTCGCGGCTGGTGGCTCGCTCTAGAGGTAGTTCTCCTCTGAAGAATAAGAAGTATTAGATAAATTAGGATAATTTCTTTCCACTTATTTTTTATGATACTTAGATTGGCCGTGCGGTCCTGGCATAGAATAGGCCTCTCCTTCCTTTCTCTTGGGTGTCGTAAGAGACGACGAAGGGAGGACGAGGGATGGGCAGCAGTGTCTGTCTTAAAACATCTCTAGAGCCTAACTGCGGTTGCCAATTCGTTTGCCAAGCGTGATAAACACCAAGTAGTGGTGAACTCTAAACGAGGCATCTTCAGGCAAATTATTAAATCGCTGCTTGAAGCCTAGTGTTAGTTCGGAACTCAAACTACGAAAAGTTTCGCTGTTTAGTACTGAACGGTTCTGGTAGTAAAAGTGGGGGTCAGTCTTCGAGTGTTGACAGTCTACTATCATACTAACGGCAGTAGAATTAAATAATTCGAATCAAATACCCAGTGATGTGGACACCTAGTTCAATAAAAAAAAAGTAGTATTTGAAAATGGACTATTTCCTTGTGGTACCTGTCCAACATCTCTTTGTAATCGAGTAGATCGTCAATAAACAGTGCCCCCAGGTCGGCCACCTCCTCCATCTTGGCGAAGTGGCGGCGAGGGAACACCATGCCAGGGTTGGAGTTGATTGGCAGTGGGGCGCGCACCTTCAGGTACATGTCGTCCAGCCACCAGTCCGTCACCTTAAAACACAGGTATTTTTTAGTGATGGAAAAATTTCAAATCGAGCGGGATTTGAATCCGCACCTACACTACCTACCAGCATATCATAACTAGTTCGACTTTCCACTTCATTAGACATTTGGTGTTTTTTCTTTTCTCTATTATTGACATTTCTAATATCATTGACATCTAAGAGAAAAAATTGTACAGATTTCATTTAAAATGATTTTTTATATATTATAATAAATAGAATATTGTTACTGTAAGATCTGAAATAATTTAAAATGTCTCCATTTATAAGACTTTACTATTTTGCACGCCATTAAAACAATGTGGCTAAATATGTGATTCTATAACGCTAATTAAAATCTATTTAAATATGGTGATTTATGCAAATAAATTGTTATTGTTAATTCGAAGCCATCTTAATTTGGCTCTCGATAGAAAAATGTACGAATTAAAAGATAGTGAATCAATTAATTACTTTATTCATCAGTTATTTCAATTTACAAAATCTAAAAATAATGATTATATGGAACAGTGGGACTTAGAAAGAATAATGTCCGTCTAGATCTTCGACGTTTTCTTGTCGTTTTAGTTGATACTGTCGTTCGAGGCTCCCAATTATCCTTTTCATAATAAGAGGGTGCATCGATATACCGGGAGTCTTCTGAAATGTCCAACAATGGCGGCCTTAAGAAATAATCTTTAGATATCGACCGCGATGTAGACCTTTCAAAATCAGCACTGAAAACGTAATTCCTTATTGAATCTATTCTATCTCTCAAGAACTTAGGTTTGTTTATTGAAGACATGAAGGTAGGTTTATCCAGTACTGATTCCAACGAATTTATTAGTTGAGTATCAGGTTCTTTTAGAACTCCTTGAATAAAGTTCAGTTTTTCTTTCCAAGTCATACCAGGCTTGTGACGAGTTAAATAATCTTCTCTGTAAAAATTTTCATTATTTTCTTTTATCAAAGGTTTCGGTCTGAAATAAGTCTTAGAGATGGATCCTTTTCTCTGATTTTCAAATTTAGGACGCAGATTTACTTTTTTTGGTACAGTTGTGACTTGTGTGTTTATAGCAAAAAAAATCTTACTATGTGTTTTTGGAATATCTAATATAATATTTTTTTGTGTCGTAAATCGTTTTTGTGAGAAGATATCATTTGAATGCATTGCAAGTTTTTTTTTGTTCATTTTGTTCCCTATCTGGATTCTTCTTATTACTTTTCTTTTAGTTTGTAATGGCATCATTTTAAATGGGTACAGTTTGGTTTTAGCAAACGGCTTCAATGAGAGTTTTTTCGTTCTATTATTACTTTTCTTAGTATTTTTAATCATAGCTGATCGAATATTTTTTTCTTTATTATTTTTGTAGTCGTCATTATATTCTTTAGCTTAGAATGATTTGATAGAGTTTCACTTTTTACTGTATAATTTGTACCATCCATAAGTTGAATAAAGCCTTGTACAGTTTGAAATATTTGACCACTATGATTTCGTATCAATTCACACGTTGTAGTATTCTTTATAAATGGCAATTGTTCAATAGGTTTACAAATATTTAACAATGATTTATTCTCTGTAAGTTTTTCATTGTATAATGAGATATCTGTGTACAGGTCGTCTTTAGTAGTGGGTTTGAAAGTATTATATTTTATCGTTTTGTGTCTCAACATTTCTTCCATAATTGTTTGTTTTGTCCATTCATAATTAGATGTTTTGATAATAGTATAACTATTATTTTTGGTATCATTTAAATTAGGTTTTAAATGATGTAATAAAAATTGATCATTTACACTTTTGTCATCTTTGTTGTTACTTGTAGTTAAATTATTTTCTATAGGGTAACGATTATTGTTGCTGATAACCTCTTTAAGTAGAGTATTATTTTGTTCAATATTAAAGTTGTTATTTTGGCTAGAGATATGATCCATATTATTTTTAGTTTTTATATTGTATTCATGAAAAGATTGAAGGGGAACACGAGTTGATTTAGAAAGATATGATTTCATATTTTTGTGAAATTCAACCTTATAATATTCTTCATTACTATTGGTAGTATCATTTTTCCTCAGTGACTGGAAACTTTGATCTAATCTTGTAACATCATTATTGTTATTTATTTCCTGCGTGAATAATTCTAATGATTTATCTAATTTACTATTTGTGTAGACATTTTCATATAATAAAGCAGTTTTAGTAGATTTTCTAATGGCTAATCCCGTTGTTAGTGAATAATTATTATTTGCAAAGATATTCTTATTTAAAGATACATTTATGTTAGTTTCTGCAGTTATAACATCTTTTCTCTTATGTACATTACTAGTTTCTGAATACTTTGCCTGTACCTTATTTTTATCTCGAGCTTCTTGTGTGGTCTCACTTACGTTATTATATATTACCATTGTGGTTGTATCTTGTACTGACTCTCGTATGGGTACTGCAGTAGATTTATTATTTGCATATAAGGTAACTTGTTCTGTATTTAATAAATTATTTTGCCAATCTAAATTATTTGTATTGTTATAATATATTGATGTTGTATTTACTAATATATGAGGATTATAATATTGTATTTTAAATTCAGTGGTGTTATATTTATTTTCTAAAATAGTTTTATCTGTTATTTGTTGTATATGCTGGTTATTTGTACTAGAATTCTGAATTTTTTTGTTGGTCAAGAATCTAAATTCTGAGTCCGAAGTTAAAGATCTGTCTTTATTATCAAAATTACTATTAGTAGGAAACTTATGTAGTCTTATTATTGTGTCTGTTCCGCTTTTTAGAATATTAGTTTTCGAATAATTCGTATTTACGTTATCTTCAGTACTAACTTCTTGTATTGTCTTATTGGTATTATTATATATCTGACTTGGCATAAAGCTTATATTGTTTGTTGATTCTTGTATAATCCTTGCAGTAGATGTATTTCTTGCAAATGCAAAAATATTTTTTGTATCCAATATATTATTGTGACTATCTATATATGCTGTATTATATTTAGGTGTAGATATAACCGATACAGCAATATTTTTAACTTCTATTTTATTTAATAACGGTTTATTCGTATCGTAATCATTATAATTTGTATAGTTATGATCTTCAAATGTGAACTTACTTAGTTTTTGTTCATGATTTCTAATATGAATATTAGAGGATTTTAGTGTGTTATTAATTACAATTTTGTTATTCTGTATAGCAAAAATATCTGTGTTTGGTAGTTTATCAGTAATACTTCTTGTGATTTTGGAGTCAATAGTATTTTTATAATTTCCATTTATATCTCCATGAACTCTAGTATTTGATGTTGAATTATTTGGGATATTATTTATAGCTCCTGTTGATATAAAATGCTGCAATTTCTTATTAATCAGAGATTGTGTAGTAGAACTATAAAAGGTTTTTGGTACTCTTTTTTGATCATCAAATTTTGTTTGCGGTTGTATAGTTTTTTTTGAAAAATATTTCTTGGAATCCAAATTTTCATGTTGTGTTACTTCCATAGATAATCCTTTATTATCATTTAATTTATATTTAAATAAAATATTTTTCTCAATCCAATTTGGAAATTCTCTGTTTATAGATTTTGTTGATTCCTTATATATAAGTTCTTTACTATTATTTAATACCTGAAAGTTTTGATAATTTATAGAAGTCTGACTATTATTTCGTATATACAACATAGACAGATTTTGATTATTATTTATTAAGTGGCTTTTTGCAGTATTATAAGTCTCTATGTATTTTGGTAACTCCAAATTAATTGCAACTATTTTTTTATCATTCGAACCCATTTGAATGTACGGCGTCAATTTTAATACAGGTCTTGTAAATGTCACAAGTTCTTTATTAGTCGAGATTTTAAAAGTGGTTCCTGTTGTTGAATCTTCAGTAGTTCCTAATATAAAATTTTTAAAATTTAATATTTCATTATTATTTATTTGATCTTTCTGTAATGAATCTGAGGTTTGAAGTTGTGTCGTTAACGTATATGGCACTCCAATATTTTTTAAACTAGGTGTAATTGTTTTTGTGGATTTGAAAGTTTTATTTCTCGTTGATTTTTGTAAAAATTTCTTAGTTATTGATTTTTTTAAAATTGTTATGTCGTATTTCATAATCTTTATCTAATATCGCCAAGTTTTGATATTTTTCAGTGGTTAGTTTATTTTCCATATATGATTCATATTTACGTAGATATGCATTATTTTTAGTTAAAATATTCGAAGCAAATGGTTTACTTATTGCATCACTATATAATATAGTGTATTTTAAAATAACATTACTTTTTGCAGTTCCATTATCATTCAAATGTATTTTATTACTCGGCTTCAACTTTATTTTAATCGCTGGCTGGGTCGTAGATTTTATATTTCTCATTAATTTTAGTAAAGACCATTTTTTTACATCTGGTTTAGTTGTTAAGACATTTATTTCATAAGTTAACATTGAGTTATTAATTTGAGAAGAGTTATCTGTTGAATCTAAGTTTTGGGGTTGTAATGGTGGCATATATGTCGATCCAATATGATTTAATTTAAGTGTTGTTACTTTTGCAAATTTGGAAATTCCGTTTTTCTGTAACTGGTTTGAATTTTTTTTAGGATTTGTCTCTGTTTTTTCTTTACGTATTATTTTGTTATCTTTAACTAATTTCTGTAAGTTTTTATGTTCTTCTGATAAAACTTTATTATTTTCTGTATACATGTGAATTTGAGATAAGTCAGTGATATACTTTATTGAAATTTTAGAGCTAGATGACTGAGTTTTTGTAATATTATCTAATGCTATGTATTTTGAATTCGCATCAATTTTAGTAACGTTACTGCTATTATTGTATGTCTTATATTTTGATGTCAACTTAATTGAGGTCACTGGTGGCGTCGTAGATTCTTTATTTATTAAAGCAGAGGGTTTATAATCGCTTATTTGATCGTATTGTGTTGAAGTAAAGTCTTGTGGTCGTGTTACTCTCGTAAGTAATCTTGTCATATCTTTTATTAAATATGCAG